TCCTGCCATTGATTCAGCCATATTTAAAAAACCTCAGTCTCGGAAACCAACTCTTCCTCCATTGTCTTTTTCCCCCTCTCCCGCTTTGCTCTGTTTTTTTGCCAGTCACAGCAGTAGTACTATTCTCGAAAGCTGCAACCTTCTTTGGAAGCATTCCCCTTCCTTCTCCCCCTGACTGCTCTTGCTACTCAAATCCCGCTTTATCTATCATCATCACCCTCTTCACCCACAAACTTACTCAGCAGCTTCATTTCCCCATCTCCTCTCCTGTCTTTGCTCTGTTCTTAATTGGGCAATTACAATTATATTTGTGCTCTGTTCTCGCTCTGATTTTCCAAACCAAGGCTGCAAAGGCGAGGAATTGAGCAAAAGTTCGAATCTTTCTTCTTGTTTTTTGAGTTCTGCTACACCGCTTGTTTACACCTAAAAAATAATCTTGTACCACATTGATTATTTACAAGACATTTATTATCTTCATAAGGCCAGATTATTAATGACAATTAATGTTATTTAAACTGGGCCTCATGATAATAATTTTAAGCCCCAAACTACTAAGTCTCCAAGAAGGAGCTAGTCTCGTCGTGAGTTGAAGAGCCCGACGTGGTCATGAGATCTAGACCACGTTGGCTTCAAATTTAGAGCTCTACATGGTCATGAGATCTAGACCACGTTGGCTTCAAACTTAGAGCTCTACGTGGTCGCGAGATCTAGACCACATCGTGAGACCATGTCCAAGATATGAGCTAACAAGTTGGAAGTAAGAAGGCAAGTCATGTGGGAGAGGCAAGTAACAAGACGACAGTTACAGGATGAAGAGCAGGCGGTTAACGGAGAAACTGCCGAGTATCCCACGTGCAATGACACGTCAGCCACGTCCGAGAAAGAAGGAGAGCAGTTCTTTTTGGAAGTTACTCTCAGACAGTTTCTACGACGGTTATCATCTCAAGGCCTATAAATAGGAGGAGGAGTTGACAGAGGAAGGGGTCGCCAAATTCACACCAGACAACACAATGTCTAATTTTATACCTTTATCCTTTCCTCTGCAATTTTAGTCGTAGTCGTAGATCTGGAGCTCTCTTAGAACCTCCATAGGAGTAGGAGTAACTTAATGTAGATCTGTCTCGAGAGTCGTGTAAACATCGATCACCCTCGTTCGAACTGTGTTTGAAGAGGTGTGAACCGTGTCTTAGTGATCGTTGTCCAAAGAAGTCAAAGTGCAATCAATTTATTTCAACGCAAGTTTTCTCACCGGAGAACAAATTTGGCACACCTGGTGGGACACTTGTGGTCGATTCGATGGCTCCGAGGCGGAGGAATCAAGAAGGTAACGTTCCGGCTGGATTCGTGGTGGAGCAGGTGGCCAACATCGAGCATGGCCAAGCATTAGAGGCGGTGACCGGAGTAAATGGTGGAGGAGAGATCTTGGTGGCGACCAGACCTAGTGAAGATCTTGGTGAAGCCGTGGGGGCCCTTCGTCAGATGATGGAGGAGAATCGCAAGATGCTTGCAGAGAACCGTCAAGTCTTGAAGGAGAACCGCAAAATGGTGGTAGAAAACCGTCTAGCCTTGGAGGAGAACCGCCAAGTGATGGAGGAGAACCGCCGATGCTTGGAGAAGGCCTTGGCAGGTACCAATAAGATAATATCTCAACTTGATTGTTTTTATTCAAGTTTTGATAGGCGTGTGGATAAGCTTTTGGAGATAAGTAAAAACGATGTAAGAGATTTTGGGCAACTGTTAATAAAACCAGTGTCGCAATCAATGATTTTGCCGCAAAATGGTTTAGAATCAACACCAAATAATAAAATTGTGTGCAAAAATCTTTCTCCCTCCTGTGGCCGGTATACCCAGCCAGGAACAGAGAACTTATTATCTCCAGTGGCAACTCAACCGCCCCCTCTACGTGAGGGTTGTGGTGAGAGGTCCACCTCCACTTTGAACAACAGTGATGGGGTCTTGCATGTACAAGTTGATGTTCAACCACTCGTTCTCGAGACAAGATCAGATGAGAGACTTGTCAATGGACGAGATGGTGAAGATTCGTTAAACGTGGAACAAGTACCACCACATGCCTGCCCACCCCCAAAGCCACCCCTATTGAGTGGACAAATAGGCGATTCTGATGGACTCAAAACACCTAGAGCTCAGCAAGGGGGGCATGAAAGTCTAATTTCCCACAAGTTGATGCCGAGATGTCCATCTGGGGGGCTTGTGGTGTCTAAGAGCTCACATCAATCACGAGCAACACATGCTTGTGCTAAACATATTAATTTGGCTAAGTCTAGAAAGGGGAGCATGCCTCCAACCACCTGCAGTGGACATGGGGGCATATCTAACAAGTCACGACGTGAGAAAGCCATAAAAAGTTATGGTAGATTTGAAAATTTGGCTAAGTATGGACAAGACATGTCCAAGAAGCCATATGAAGTGCAAGTCACACATGTTTGCGATAAGCATGCTAATTTGACTAAGTCTGGACAAGGGAGCATGTCACCCACCATGAAGAATGGAGTAGAGGGCATCTTCAAGAAGACACAACAAGTCAAACCCCCACATGGATTTTGTAAGCGTGAGATTATGGACAAGGGTGGATTGGGGGGCAAGTCCATGTCAATGAATAGTAAGTACTCGACACCAACTACAAAGAGTGGACATGGGGGCATGTATAAGAAGTCACCATACACACCATCCAAACATTGTTGCACAAAGAATCAATGGTGGTTGAGTGCTAAGTGTAGGGGCCAACAAGGTTTATTTGTTGAAAGACGAAGACAAGGAAGCTACACGAGTGGTTGTCGACTTGTCAAGCCTAGACCTGGTCCCCAACATCATGATGAGATTAAGCATGTATCAAGTGGGAGGAAATCAAGGCAGAAGAATAATCATGAAAGCCTTGACATGTCAAGTAAGGTGGCCCAAGCAAAGAAGCATGAGACCTCATGTAAGGCCACCAAGACTAGACAGGCTGACCAAGTATCACCCATTAGCAAGCTAGAAAATTCAAAGTTAATGCATGAAGATTCATCTCCCATTGAGGAAAAGAGTCATGTGGTCTATGGATGGCATGTCTGGTTTGATCCATGGACTTGGCAATGGGTGTACACCTTTGGTACATTGATTGTTGCCAAAGGCTATGGAGAGCAGTGACATCTGTCACTTCTTGCCATATAAAATAAATAAATTTATATAATGTACTTATTATATATTAGTTATAAAAAAAATATTGTGGCCAAACGTGGCTAAAAGAAAAGATAGAAGGAAAATATCAAAGTGAAAATCTTGAGTTGGACTTGTTAGACTTCGACATGAAGATCTTGCCACCAAGTCGTTGTAATGGCTTGACATGACGAGCCATACATCAGGCCATGCCATGCCATCTTATCTTGTCCCGAGTAATCACGGCCTGGGGGGCATGATGGCTTGAAACGTGGTAGTATAGGAGTGGTGACCATAATGTCTCTACCAACATAAAAATGAACATTAGTTTGTCTAAGGCAAAAAAGTAGACGACTTGACTTGTCGCGAGGGAGCTGTCTAGCCTTGTGATGAGGTGAGATGAGCCAATCTATGCCAAAATAGGTGCGAAAAATTCTAAGTTATTCTCTCAACCATGTGGCAAAGTACGAAATGTCAATGAGGGTGTAGGTGCTAAAGTGAGGTTGGTGTCTCGTTGAATGCATTAGGTGGCTTGACCATTAAAAGCCGAAATTTGGCTAAGGCATGGGACAAGTCGTTGACGTCAAGTTCTATCCGGCCATGTTGGCATGATCATTAAAAGTCAAAATTTGGCTAAGGCATGGAACAAGTTTTGACGTCAATTTCCATCTCGCCATGTTGGCTTGACGTGAAAAACCAAAATTTGGCTAAGGCAAGGGCTAAACTTTGACGTCGAGTACCATCTCGCCATGTTCGCTTAACGTGATAGTCAAAATTTAACTAAGTCATGTGACAAGTTATGACGACGAGTTCCATCTAGACGTGTTGGCTTGATTATTGAAAGTCAAAATTTTGGCGAAGTAGAATTGGTGTGTTGATAAGCCAACACGTTACTTAGCTAGCTTGGTGGTGTTCAACTACTTAGTCCATAATTCTTATGCACTAAGTAGTTGGGGGGCATTTGTTTACACCTAAAAAATAATCTTGTACCACATTGATTATTTACAAGACATTTATTATCTTCATAAGGCCAGATTATTAATGACAATTAATGTTATTTAAACTGGGCCTCATGATAATAATTTTAAGCCCCAAACTACTAAGTCTCCAAGAAGGAGCTAGTCTCGTCGTGAGTTGAAGAGCCCGACGTGGTCATGAGATCTAGACCACGTTGGCTTCAAATTTAGAGCTCTACATGGTCATGAGATCTAGACCACGTTGGCTTCAAACTTAGAGCTCTACGTGGTCGCGAGATCTAGACCACATCGTGAGACCATGTCCAAGATATGAGCTAACAAGTTGGAAGTAAGAAGGCAAGTCATGTGGGAGAGGCAAGTAACAAGACGACAGTTACAGGATGAAGAGCAGGCGGTTAACGGAGAAACTGCCGAGTATCCCACGTGCAATGACACGTCAGCCACGTCCGAGAAAGAAGGAGAGCAGTTCTTTTTGGAAGTTACTCTCAGACAGTTTCTACGACGGTTATCATCTCAAGGCCTATAAATAGGAGGAGGAGTTGACAGAGGAAGGGGTCGCCAAATTCACACCAGACAACACAATGTCTAATTTTATACCTTTATCCTTTCCTCTGCAATTTTAGTCGTAGTCGTAGATCTGGAGCTCTCTTAGAACCTCCATAGGAGTAGGAGTAACTTAATGTAGATCTGTCTCGAGAGTCGTGTAAACATCGATCAACCTCGTTCGAACTGTGTTTGAAGAGGTGTGAACCGTGTCTTAGTGATCGTTGTCCAAAGAAGTCAAAGTGCAATCAATTTATTTCAACGCAAGTTTTCTCACCGGAGAACACCGCTTAACTTTACAGTTCGAATTAAAGCAGGGTTTCAATGGCGGATTGGTACAGCAGGAGAAATGGGGATTTCGAGGAAGCAGAGGTCTGGTCCTTCGCGAAACAGAGTGAACCCTCCCCTGCTTCTTCTTCCAATACCAACAGGAAATCCTCTGTTTCCTCCTCTGCCACTCGGCGGAGCACTACCACAGCGCCTCGAGCCATTCCGGCCGAATTCCCCGGCGAAGGTAAATCGACACCGGCGACGGCTCAGCGCTCCTCGGCTCCGATGAACATCCCCGACTGGTCGAAGATCTACGGCGCGAATAATGGCGGGTACTATGTTGATTACCAGAACAATGACGATGCCCATAACGATGACGACGGCGACGATGACGTGGTGCCGCCGCATGAATGGCTGGCGAAGAAGCTGGCGAGGTCGCAGATTTCTTCGTTTTCGGTTTGCGAAGGGATGGGGAGGACCCTGAAAGGCAGAGATCTGAGTAAAGTGAGGAATGCCATCCTGACCAAAACTGGTTTCCTGGAGTGATCTCGGTTTGATTATTACCATCACCGCCGTCATTAATTGTTAATTGTGTGGGTTAGTTTAAAATAAACGTGCGTATCCGTTTTAAGCCTCTCTGGGTATTGGAACGGCGGCGTTTCCATTCCAACCTCTGTTTCTGGGTAAAACCCAATTATGGGCTCAACTCAAAGCCCCTAAAGAAATACAGTTTACCTAGCAATGGGCCCAGAACCGGCCAGGCCTTATTCGGGAAAGACGACAGATTCTGTAATCTGTATCATCGACGCCGATGGCATTTCCGATGCCGCGACTTTGGCTTTCACTCCATTCTGTTCAGTTCGTTAATTCACCAAAATGAAAAAGGACAAAACAAAAATGCGCCAGTATCAACAACGACGATACGATAATGACAAAACGGTCCGTTTATTTTTAATTACTAACGTCAATTTACAAACACAACGATATCACCGACGAGACGATACTCTTCAAAATGGTCATAGCTCGAATCTCGCGAGAAATTCGGTCCTTGTTCTCTCTGGTTTAATTGTGTACACATTTCATTAGAAGATTCATTAAGTAAATTGCTTACGAAACTGCTAATGAATTTAATAAAAACTTCATACATAACAATCAAAGTCCATTTCATCTTTGCACATTTTACCCGTTTCTTCCCGGCAAATGCATCACAAAAATAAATAATAAATGAAAGGTCTGGTCCAGTTTCGTCTTTGTAACAGTCGCTAATAAGCTCCTAATTAGGCGTCACATACCAAGAAATAATAAATTCACCCGAATTTGATTTTTGTGTATAAATAAATAATTTTTTTGATATGGTTACAGTGCCGTATATATATTCTTGTTCGTCTTGTTTGTGCCTTGCTCATATTCTGTTTTCTTGTTCAGGTGGAACAAATAGAAACTGCCGCTGGCTGGCTACAGTTTCAGGTATGTGAAAGGTTATATTGCACAGTGTGGAACTGAAAATGAATCGACGGTTTTAGGAAGAGAGATCGAGAGAGGGCGATTAATAGTGGCGATGCTTGGAAAAAGTGGGTGAGAGGGTCTTGTTCCAACTCCATTAATCTCCCCCTCTCTCTCTTCATCTTCCTCCCCGAGAGAAAGAGAGGGTGGGATTCATTCTTTCTTCTGCTGCTGCTGCTGTAAGTGAATTACAGAGTTTTAAGGCAGACCCATTAGTTCGCTTTCTGGGTTCGGGCTTCTGGGTTTGCTCCTGCTCGGGTCGGGTGAGCAGTAGGTGGGAGAAGAAGAAGAAGAAGAAGAAGGAATGTCGGTGAAGAGTAGAGCGGGAGCTACAGAGCTGTGTGCGAAGAAGCACTTGTATTCGAGGAAATGGGCGGTCTTTCTCTGCTTTGGCAGCTTCTTTGCTGGGATGCTCTTCACGAATAGGTAGAAACTTAATTGAACTCTTTTCTTTCATTCGTTCACTCTGCATTTTTTGTTCAACTCGAGTGGAGATGGCAGAATTGCTGTTGTGCCCATTGTTTTAGTCCATTGCAAGTTTCCAATTTTGTTCTAGTTGAGGAAGAATTTATTCGTTCACTCTGCATTTTCATTCAACTCAAGTGGAGATGGCAGAATTGCTGTTGTGCCCGTTGTTTTAGTCCATTGCAAGTTTCCAACTTTGATCGAGTTGAGGAAGAATTTTTTTTTTTGTATTTCGTCCAAATAATTCCAATGGTTTGAAGAACATAGAAAAAACCACTTCGTTGTACAATAAGGGAGAATTTCACAATTATTGGGATAGATTCTTCATTGAAGGGGTCTCATATATAATTTGTCCCAGTAATGAGTTGTTGGGGTGAGTTGGTGACTGGAGAATTTGTTTACAAGAATCGTTCCTTCCCAATAATTTGAGTTGTTGTGAGAGATTCATCAACAGAAGCCTCTGTATAACATGTCGAGAATCAATTAATAAACTCGATTTGTTGGATTGGATTGATCTTCCCTCATAAAATTACTCCATCACATTCTACATGAATGGAAGGACTAACGGAAATGGTTTTCTTTCTGTATCAGGTTGTGGGTGGTGCCTGAAGCAACGAATTTTGTAGTTGAGGCTTGTAAGCCAAAGCTTGTAAGTGTGGTTTTCTTATAGTGATCTTGGAATGAACTGAGCTCTGCATATTTTACCAGTAAATGATGGCTTCTTGGAGTAATTCTTTTTTTTGGTGGAACTTCTTGAAGTAATTCTTGATCATATTTTGGAATCCAAATTGTTAGCAGAAATTTGCGACCCATAAATCAAACCACAGCTCATCACACGTTTCCAAGACCCAACATCCTGTCCAGTAAGATCCTTTTTCTTGTTATGATTTCTTCAAACTAATGAATGATTGGTTCAGCTTATATGGGTGACATTTAAAAAGGGAAAATGTCATGTTGTTGCAGAAGTTTAGATAGCAAGATTTCAATTCTAGAGACGAAATTAGCAGCAGCTAAGGCTAAGCAGAAAGCTTTGGGAAATGGAACCGTTGTAGCAAGGAGAAAGTACACTATGGTTATAGGAATCAACACAGCTTTTAGCAGCAGGAAAAGAAGAGATTCAGTGCGTTCAACTTGGATGCCACAAGGTGAAAAGAGGAAGAAGTTGGAGAAGGAAATGGGTATTGTGATTCGTTTTGTTATAGGGCACAGGTGAGAGATCTTCCTTACTTCTTAGCCAAGTATGGTAATCTTGCATAAAGGGTTTAATCAGATTCAAATGAATGACGGTGGTTGTTAATTGTCTTCCCATTTTCGGCTTAGTTCCACATCTAGTGGCATTCTTGATAAGGCAATTGATGCAGAGGAGAAGATGCATGGAGATTTCTTGAGGCTGGTAAAGATTCACTTTTTTGTCTCTGAACTTCTTAATCTTGTTGTCGTGTGATTAAGTGGTAACGCCAATCATCGTTATATGGTACTTGATCTGGTCTTGTGTGTTATCTGTAGGATCATGTGGAGGGATACTTGGAATTGTCAGCCAAGACCAAGACTTATTTTAGCACAGCAGTTGCTTTGTGGGATGCCGATTTCTATATCAAAGTGGATGATGATGTTCATGTGAATATTGGTGAGCATATGTTTTCTGTTTCTTTTTCATTCATTTCATACAGTTTTGTTGCATAAATCATATACTAGAATCAAGAAAGCTGAGAGCTTTAGATAGTGGTGAGTGGTGACAGAAATGCAGAATCAATTGCTTTTACAGGTGGGTTGGATTTTGATGGGTTATTCACGTGCAAACAGATGTGCCATTTTTCTTTGACAATTTTGAATTTTGATGTATTTGAGTGTATTTGAGATAGCACAACTAATCCGCGTCACATAGCATCTATTTACAACTACACCATATTACCAAATACACCATTTCGAAGCATTCACTTTAATTCTCTACCATTAAGAAGTCTTTATGTGTTGCAGCTACTCTTGGATCAATATTACAAGAACACGTTAAGAAGCCGAGGGTATATATTGGTTGCATGAAGTCTGGCCCTGTGCTTGCCAAAAAGTAAAGCTGTACTAAGATTCGTATTAAGATCAGGATATATAGCACCATGTTGTGCTGACCTTTTACCTTATAAACACAGAGGAGTCAAATACCATGAACCAGAGTACTGGAAATTTGGAGAGGTAGGGAACAAGTACTTCCGCCATGCCACAGGTCAACTCTATGCCATCTCAAAGGATTTGGCCACCTACATATCAGTCAACCAGTAAGTTCGTATCCAACACATTGCTTCTTGTATATAATGGTTCGAAATGTCATGCCACAAGGAAACAACACATTGGACATTTTCCCAGGCAAATGCTGCACAAATTCGCCAATGAAGATGTCTCCCTAGGCTCCTGGGTTCTCGGCCTGGACGTGGAGCACGTGGACGAGAGGAGACTCTGCTGCGGCACTCCACCAGATTGCGAGACGAGGGCTCGTCTGGGATCGACATGTGCAGTGTCGTTCGACTGGAAGTGCAGTGGGATATGCAAGTCAGTGGACAGGATGGCAGAGGTTCACAAGCGGTGTGGGGAAGACGAGAACGCCGTGTGGAGCAAGCAAGGGATGGCGCAATTGCTATGAGGTGTGTCATTGCTGCTTCTCTCCTTTTTTTGCACATTGTAGAGAGAAATCCTGTAGTTTCCTTAACAGTAATCAAGAGTAGAGAAATTTATACTTAATACACACACAGAGAGAAAAAGGAGTGAGAAGAGAAAAGAGAAACTTCAGGGGCTGGCTTCTCCATTTTGGCTGAGACCCACTTGGAACATGAGCAAAGAAAAGAGAGAGAGAATGTTACATATGATTCTTTGAATGGTTTGGAAAGCCATATTGTAGGCTTCTCTACTAACCATGACAACTGAGACAAATAATCGCACCAAGTGTAGAATCTTCATACGCCTGCTGCTATTGTGCTGCCTTCTGGCTTCATAAATAAACCTTACTATTCTCATTTAGTTATATGCAGTTATGAACCCATGTTTCATTTAGTGCATGCATAGAATCCGTACTTTAGAAAGCCTGCATTTACATTCTGTGTAAAGCCATGCAGCAGCTGCTTACATACATTGGCAGAAACCATGCTGCAAAATGTTGTTTTAATGAATGAAAGAACACATACCACATGCAAGCAATATGACATATGAGTGATTATGAACATGAGCTAGTGCTAGTTAAGAGCCAGTGTGGATCCTCGACGAGGAGGGAAGTTCGAACAAACGGGATATTGACGCGGCTCAATCGAATAGCAACCCCCCTGTTACTGAGGGGAGATTGGCTTTCTGATTGAACCGCACCAATATCTCGGTTCTTACACTGGTGAACTCTCAATGCCATTTCTTGATATGCTTGCAAAGTAAGAAAGGAAACATACATTACCACAAGGGAAAAGACCAAGGATTAGCAGGCATTGGAAGGGATGATGATGATGAAAATGAGTTGTTGTGAAGGAGAAGAAGGGGATCGGTGATGGCATTTGGTGATATTGGTGGAAGCGTATAAATAGAGATAGGTAAGGAAGGAGAAAGGGCCGGCTGGAAGCATTGAATTTGTCACCAACCCAAACGATCGAGAAACGAGGGTTAACTAAAAGCTGATTTGGTAAACAGGGGACTATTTGAGTTTTGACAAAATCTGTTGCTTTTATTGTTTGAATTAGGGTAGTTTATATTTTCCATTTAGGAAAATGAATGTGAAGTATTGAAACCTCAATGGGGTGTTAATGCTTCAAAATATCGCAACACTAACTGGTATGAGAGATCGACATCATGACTATTAAGCAAAGCAAAGCCCGATGGGGGTGTTGATGCTTCAAAATATCGTTATACAAAATCCGCTTCGTATGGAAAACATGCTATAGATAGAAGCATCTAGTGCAAAAGCAAGATGGAAATGGTCACACATAAAAACAACAAATGGAGTGCAGCACAACGAGGAATCTATCTACCCATAGACGAACCTCCACATACAACTTCCTTCCAAGTAAGTCCGAGAGCATACAAAACCTGTATTGACTCAGCTTGAGCCGTTGTGACTCATAACCCCCTAGATAGCCAAGGTTGGAAGTGATGGCGCTCACACATTTTTATCGTTGTCGATATATGATGACCAAGGTTGTTCGCAATATTTCACACCGATATGCTAAACATTTACCCGGTACTTCGGCTACCAATCAATCCATGTACGTATTCTAACATCACATGTATTCTTTCAAACCGCGTCTTCAGATACATGAACCGTCTCTAACCTACACATTTCTACCATCCAAAGTATCCCCTTAATTAGATGCCCCATTAATTAAGTATATTGAAGGGGATGTACTTGCTACCAAGGTAGCACCTTAGATGTGCATTCAATTTTTTTTGCAGGGAGGCCAGGCCAGGCCAGGCCAGCCATTGAAAGAAATGATGCGATTCAGAGAGGTTGAGGCCCCTCCTCCTCCTCCTCCTCCTCTTGCCCTTCACTTAGAATGCATGTTTCAAAGAGCTTCTTTCTTGTTTGTTTTTGGTTAGGGTTATGAATTTTGGTTAGGGTTTTGAAGAAGAGGGGCCATTGTCGTTGTTGTACATGTTTCCCATAAGTGTTAGGTAAGATGTGGGCGACCATTAAATGGGGTTTTTTTTGTGGGTGGGTACGTTGGTGTTTGTTAAAAAATCGTAGTCCTTTGGTTTTAAATGCCTCGAGGGATATATGTTCCCTTCCATGCATAGCAAGGGCATGGGGGATGGATGTGGAAATGACAGGCGGTAGGGTTTTCCCTCTGTCCACATTTAAGACACTACATTCTAGACTATATGTGGCGGTAAGTTCTCCTCCAAATATTTACTCTTTCATTGTTGAGAAAAAAGATACCAAGGAATCGACATAGAAACAACGAAAGTATTAGTGAAAAAGAAACCGTAAAAACGATAAGAGAATTCGGTTTGAAGGAACTTAAGCATAGACAACGAAAGTAATAGTGCAGGTGCAGCGGCGGAGGGGAGGTGAGGGGGACAGGGGTCCTAGGACCGAAGTTGGTAAAAAAATTGGGCAACAAAACCCTTTAGATATGTAGGGTTTAGTACGATTCTGTAAGATTTGGACCCCTCATACTCTCGACGATATTAGCTTACCAAGGACCCTGATCAACTCAAAATTCAGTAGATACACAGGGTTTAGTGTTAGTAAATTTTTAAGGACCCTAGTAAATTCACTGTGTACGTGGCATGTTGGGTGTCAATTCTATTTTTGATTAATATATTGGATGTTGAACTTTTATGTGTGGCATTCTCACAGCAAAATAAACGAGGCCGTTGTTAATTAATAGCTTCTCACGGTGTAAGATATAGTCATTGTTGTTAGCAATACCCTTTTAAATACAAGGAGCATAATATGTAAATGAATAAAGACCTAATTTTTTTTGGAGGGACGACACACTCTCTTATTAAATCAAACTATATTACGATAAGAAGAACTATTATACAAACACTCCGGAGCTCCTATTTGGTGCTAATAAAAATGTGTTGAGTACCATTTACAAGATGTCAATGCTTATGCCTGTGACTTTTATTCCTTATTCTATGTGATTATGACCTAGTAACAGGCTAATTGCTTCGCTATAAAAAAAAAAACAGGCTAATTGCTTCCATCTTATGTATGGATGTGGGCATTTGGAGTTATTTAGAAGGCCAAGGTCCAAAGTCCAAACCACGGAATTCCAAATGGGAGAGTAAACAGAAGCTTATGGGTTGTTTATTAATGGCCCATTATTATTTGTTGAGAAACCAAAGTCAACTAATAAACAGTCTGCCTTTGTTTAGGGTTTTGTGTTGACAAAGTAAAGGCTGAGAAGAGAGAAAAAAATACAATTACAAAGGCAAGAAACCAAAGCCTAATGAGTTGGGTCTCCCTCTCCCCATTTGCCATAGCCATAAAAACACGACCTCTGTTTTTTTGGGTACTTTCTACGGCCCCTATATACTAAACTACTAACTAGTAAAGCCTATATATGATGATTAGATTAGTCCTCTTCTTCCTATAAGATTTTAAATTACATAATACGACTGACCACTCTCCATTTGCAGCCCCTACCTACCTAGCCCCTCCAACTTCAATCCATTAACGTTTTGTGGTACCAAGGACAAAAGGACAAGGGGTAGTCCCCAATGGTAAGGATGCTCGGTGGACTGATCGGTTCGTTTCCTGGTTAACAATGTACGATATGTATCGTGTCGTCTTTAGAAGAATATTATGGCGAACGTTACCGGCTTGAGGAAAAATCTATTAGCTAGGTTAGTTGCTTACTTGGATCCACAATGTGCTTGTGGTGGTTGGGTCTAAGTTAGCTCCATTTCGAAAGAATGGATTCTTTATCATGAAAAATTGTTCATGTGTTCTTGATATTCAAAGTCGTTTGTCGAGCGAGAATGGAGCACTGAAAGCATCAAACGCCGAGATTTGGACCTTGTTGTCATTGCTTAGAATCCAACAATCTTGTTTTGATTCTCCTCTTTCTTGGAGCTAGAGATGGGCTACTAATGTCGATAACTCACGCTAGAGCGCGGCTTCCTTCGGTCTCTCCAAAGCTCGAGACATTAATATTGATTCGTTGATGGAATCTGATTGCAAAAGCCGGTTCATTTGTAGTCTGTAGAGGTTGAGGAAAGATGATGATTGCATAACATAAGTGGCAAATGTGTGTAGTAGGGATACAAAGCACATGAACGAGATAGTGAATTTTAGAGATTGTGTCTTCTCCTATCGAGAAAGAAACAATGTTGCTCATCTTCTTACTCGTATATCCCCTAAGATCATAACGAAGTAACCTATTCTCGTAACGAAGTAAGCTGTTCTCATAACGTTCCTTCTCGTACCATCGATTTAATCCCATTGACCCATTTTGGACCGGTCATGTGAATGAGTGTTTGACTAGTTATCTCTATATAAAAAAACATTTATCCTCAATTCCTCATTCTTATTGGATTATGTGGAAGAAAGAGATATATCATATACGAGAAGGTTGTGTGTAGGGTTAACTAATAAATGGAGTTAATTATTATGGGTATTGATGATTGCCATGTTTGTGCCAACAAAAGGACCATAACATGGAACAACTCATCCACTCCCATCTTCATTAATTATATCACTTACTTTGCATTTTCCTCCATGCTACCTCCTTTCTCTCTTCCCCATCTCCTCCTCTTAGACTAGTTAGGGTTAATCGATTAAGGGGTTTAATTGTGTTTAAATTTTATGGACTAAAAGTAATTTAATTGTTACTATTGTTTGGAGACACAAAATTTAACTTTGAAATTTTATTTCTTCCATCCCAATGGTAGTTCCAGATTTCTTCATTCAAATTCATGATTAATACTGTAAATTTTAAGAACAGTGTTTATTTACCATGCATAATTTGGCATTCTTTACAATCCTTGCCACCTCAAGAGACTACTAAAGTGGGGAAAAGAAAAGAGTTTGTTTTCTTATTAGGACTAAACCTATATTTCGCAACACCTCATTATAGTTTGATCATGTTGTCTCAAGAATCAATTGATCCAAACAACTTAAGTTATTGGAGAGGTTTAACTATGGATCATATATCATTTACTAACCTACATCTTCAAACGAAAGTCACTCATATAAGTTTGAAGTTTCAAAGGTCCAAATACCATGTGCTTAAAAGAACCATGATTTTTTAGGAATTACCTCTTTGTCACATAAGATTTTGATATCATGTCAAGTAGTTAATCCCAATAACTCGAGTTGTTAAGAGAGGTTCACTTATTGATCCTATACCATTACTAACATGTCGAAATTTGAACCAAAATTGTCAAGAAGGAGCAAATTTGGTACCATAGTTATGAAAATAGAAGACAACTTTATGACCCGTTTGAAGAAAAAAAATATAGTAGAGGGCAAAATTGTACTATCCACCTAAAATAATAATACGATTTGGGAAAAAAATACATGATTTAGTGTAGGGCTCGTAAACGGTAATTATGTTAACAGTGTAAGCGATAAACGAATCAGAATTAGTGGTTAACCATTACACTAATAATTGAATAAATAATAAACTCTCGTCTAATTTAACTAATTACTAACTGATGATAAATGTTTATCGATTAACAGATTACGATCGTCATCATACTTAGGGTGGAAGATAATAGGCCTCAATCAGTCATAAGCAAAAGCCTAAAGAATAGGATGTGTGACCCTTGCCTACCCTAGTTGTAATAGTGACTTGGGTTCAAATGAGAGTATTTTTTTTTTATTTAGAAAATTGATAATAACTTCAAGGAAGGGCTTTAGAAGAAGCACAATAGGAAGTTGGACTTGCACACAGTAGCTCTACAACAATCAGTAACATGTAACCTTCCATGTAATTTGATGTAGAGTTTACGAGTTGAGAAATTGTTGTTGGGTCTATTATTCTTGTCTACTTCTTTAATAAAATTTGACAATATAATGGTGTAATTTTATACTTGTATTGGATTGAGTTCATATGGATTGATATCCGTGTTAAATTATTTTGGATAAATAGTATTTAGTAGTCAAACCTTTCAAAGTACAAAATATTAGCCAAATGGTAATTTCCATTTCGCAGTTTTTTTAGTAAATATTAACTTGAAAACATGATACTGACTTGGAAGAGACACTTGAAGGTGACAAAAAAATAATTATATTTTGATGCGTACAAAAGATTGAGCTAATAGTTTGTATTTCGAAAAGTTTGGCTAATAATCTGGAAAGTTTGAAAGATTTGGCTGATAAATTGTTTATCCTAAAATAGCAACTTAAAAATTGAACACATAACTATGTAAGAAAAATCTAAAAAAATGCACAATTGAAAATAGAATGAGGTCTTCTGTTGATTAGGTTATCGAATGATTTTTTTGGTATAACATTATCAAATCACTTACTTAACCGTTATTTGATTAACCAACAAAATAACTTATAATCGATTATACGACTACAGTTAACTAACCAATATAAATAATAATACAACTTATGATAAACACAAAGTATTTAACCGAGAACTAGGGGTGAACAAACATACCCGCAAAACGACCCACCCGTCCAAACCGACCCAACCCACCAGTATTTATCGCTAAAACAAAGATTTTGGGTTGGGTGAGGGTTTTGTTTTGTACAAGCCGCCTCTTTTGGGTTGGGTTTGGATTTTGGATTACACAACCCGTAGAACCCAACCCAACCCGTGTTCCAACTATTAGTATAAGTTCGTATCTAAAAAATATTTATGTCGTATATAGCCATACTTATGAGAAAATTAAGATATTTCGCCATGTTTTTCTCTCATGGTCTCCATAATCTAATGCATTATTCGACTTAAAGTTTAGACATAAATTGAATATACTCATGATTCACGTAATCGTTTTTCTTGTGTACAAATAGAATAACATATTGTGGGTGCGTTTGTTTATAACCTTTTAGCCTATTTCAACAAATATCATGAAAAAAACTAGACATATTTTGAAGTAAATCACATTTTTATTAAAATTCAAACAACATTTATGAATTTTGATACCTTTCATCACGGTTTATTCGTTTGAAATTTTAATTAGTTATAAAATATTTTTATGATGTAGAATAATTATATATTTTATGTTGGGTTGGGTTTTTACTTAAAAATATCGCCAACCCGACCCAACCCAATTAGAAACAAACCGTAGGGTTTAAATTTTTTTGGGTGGGTTTGGGTTTGATATTTTCCAAACCGTAGTGCATGAGTTGAGTGATAAAATGGCTAAACCCTGACCACCCGACCCATGTACACCCCTACCGAGAACCAACTAAACGAGTCTGGTTATAACCAAAACGAGATTGTCAGCCCTAATTGAGTGGGCTTTTCTCCGGTGTCCCAGCCCAACTCAATCTCTAATCCATAACAGAATTCCTTCCTTTCTCCTGCTTTTTTATCATTAAATTTAATAAAAAATATATAAAATCCTCCGCAACAAGCCAACTCCCAATAATCCTCTCCTTGATTTCCGGCGCCCTTTTGCTTATTCTTCCCGTCTCCCCCTTTGTTCCTTCTACTTCCGTCCAATCTCTCTCTCGCAAAACTCTTCCTCTCGCCGTCTTTCGTCTCCCCGCGATCGATCACCCGCTTTCGTGTTTGGTATGTTCATCTATTTTTCTTCTTTCTTTGTTTCTTTCTATTTCTGTGCTTCTTGTTTCTTTGCGCGCCGATTGCTGGAAGGCGGGCTCAAGTTTGATGATCGTCTAATGTTTCGCTGTATGAAAATTGCAGGAACTCGCGATCCTAATCCCAGTATCGTCATGGCCAAAAGCTCTTTCAAGTTCGAGCATCCTCTGGGTTCGTTCAATTTCTATGATCGTCTTCTCTTTCGTTTTTTGTACGCGATCTTTAGGGTTTGAACTGTTTGTGCGTTTGGTATAAGGTGGCTTGTGAAAGACGATATCTTTGATGTATTCTCCCTGATGGGTTTATGTTTAAGTTGTGGAATATCTTTTCTTCGCTGAATTGTTGAGGTTGGGAATAGTTCTTTCGAGCTGAGAATGGAAGTTTGTGTGTGTTTAGCCTGTTAGTGTAGTTGGCTCTCTCTATTATTGCTTTTCGTCATCATCTTGTTGGATGGAAGTTGAAACATTGGCTAATGAATTTGGAGTCGACCTACAATGAAACATTAGTGATGCAGTATGTTTCATCTTTCCATGTCCTCTAATTTGCTTTTTGGCTTTGTTTTTAGAGAGGCGCCAAGCTGAAGCTTCTCGCATCAGGGAGAAATACCCTGATAGAGTTCCTGTGAGTGTTATCTTCTCACTTTGCCAACTTTGGTTTCCTTGCCTTTATCATTGTACAGTTGCCTGTTTGCTTATATTATGCTTTCTGGATTCAGGTCATTGTGGAGAAGGCTGAAAGGAGTGATGTCCCTGACATTGATAAGAAGAAGTAAGTTGATTGACAACGGATCATCACTTTGAATCCTCCTATGGCTGTATCCAATGTGCTCATTAGGGTTTCTTTGAAGGTTTATGACCTCTTTTTGATCTCTACATTAGGCAGTTAGTAATGTATTTTAGCTATGAGTTTCTACTAGTTATGCTCTCGTTTAAGTTTTTGTGTTGCATATTGAGAAAAGTATGATGTTCATGTTGAGTGATGAAGCGGTTTTGTTTTGAGTGTTGCTTGATGCAGTTTTGGGGGCTTGATCATAATGTTACTATATATGTGTATTTGAGCTATGGCCTATGAGTTTCCCCTAATTAAGTTCTTGTTCAAGTTATTAGGTGGCATATTGATAAAAGTATGTTGTTTGTGTTGTGTGACGATGCAAATAGTCTTGGGCTTTTGTATAGAAGTTTTGGTTGATTAAGTTCTGTCGAGTTGGGGGCTTGATCATAATGTTACTATCTGTGGATTTGCCAAATCAGGTACCTTGTCCCAGCAGATTTAACTGTTGGTCAGTTTGTCTATGTTGTGCGGAAGAGGATCAAGCTCAGTGCTGAAAAAGCCATATTTGTGTTTGTCAAGAACACATTACCACCCACAGGTTAGTGAAGTTTGCATCTTGTGTCTGATTACAATGACTAAACCCGCCTATTTCAGTAACTGGATCTCTTCAATTTGATCATGTGTACAAAACAGCTGCTCTGATGTCTGCAATCTATGAGGAGAACAAGGACGAAGACGGCTTTCTTTACATGACCTACAGTGGAGAGAACACCTTTGGATGTCTTCACTAAGATGGAGATTAAACAAAATGTCTCTTCTTGTCCTTGATATGATGAAGAAAGCCCCTTTTGGAAGAAGATGTAAATTCTCAGCTCTGGATTTGTAAAGTTTAATGCTTTCAGACTTGACCTAAAAGTTCCATCCTCCTACTGGATCCGGACTTCTGCCATAAGTCGGGCAGTAGAATTGCTTTCAGTATCTGTAATCGGATTCGATTTAGTTGATTAGTCTCTGTTTAGTGCATTTCTCTTCAGTTTGGATTTCATCTCGTTCTCGTTCTCTTCTCTTCTCTCTCAGACTCTGCTGTGAAAGCTGAATCTAATGCCACCAAGAGAGAGAATTTGCAGCAGATCCTAGTCGGTAGTTGTTGGTAAGCTACCTTGAATGTTTTGCATTGTTGGTTGTTGAAATTGCAACCGCAGTTGGCCAAATGTGGCAAAAGAAAGGGTTCAGTCAATTACATGAACCGTACAGAAAAACTCTATCAATATACATATCGAGATTAGTGATAATCACAAATCAACTTCAATGACTGCCATAATCAGCAGCGTAGAAAAGAAGACGGTCTGCAACATGAGAAGAGAAAACAGAACTTCCAAGATTACTTCTCCTCCAAGAGGATTTGTACAACAAAATGAACAGGAAACGTGGGAGGAGGAAGAAGAAATGAAGGAATATTGGGTTGTTTAAACTAATACATAAAAAAAGTTTCAATCTTTCTGCTTCCTCTCTCTCTCTCTCCAGCTTCAGGCAGAAGCGGAGGTCGTAGTTGAAGTAGTATTAGTCGATGTCTTCTTACTGGATTTGGGTTTGAACCATTTGATGCCACTTGTCTTGATCTTACTGAACAGGCCTCCGCCGTTCTTGGATCCCGACTTGCTTCCGGCGGCATCCTGGTCGGCGGCGGTGTTGCGGTGGTCGTCCATTGCGCCGATCCCGCCGGTGCCCCACTGATCTGCCCAGCTTGGCGCCTCGTCGTTCATCTGTCTTTTGCTTGCTTGAGAGAGAGAGAGAGAGAGAGAGAGAGAGAGAGGAGTTGAAGAAATATGAAGTGGGAGATGGATAGATTGGAACCAAATGGTGGAGATGAAATGGAAAAGAAGTAGACAAGCCAACTCACATGATGCCTTATTTCCAAAGCAAGCATTAGGTTCTCTCTCTCTCCCTTTGTTCTTTGTTTATTAATTTGATGCCATTGATCTCTATCTTCAAGAGGGATAATAAAATTGTTTTAAGAGGGCGGGAGAAGAACACACAATTAAATATTTATTGTAAATTTTTAATTAGTCTAATTATGTGTTATATATACTTAATTTTGAGAAAAGAGTATGGTTGAAATCAATATCTAACTTGCTAGGGCATTATACTACATTATAAATGATTAAGGTGTTCGACGCATTTGAAAGAGATTTGAGAAAAGAGTATGGTGACAAGACCCGTGAGCAGGTCGGGTTGCCTTAACACGAAAGGATTTGACTGGGTTTGTCGCCGGTATGCAACTCTAGCAAACAGCAACCCAATGTTTTACTCCCTGATGTAGCAAGTACTAACCCCTCCTTTGTTTTTTTTGTAGCATATTGTGAAGCTCTAACGGCCCTTCATCTTGGAATTGAAGGATTAGTGTACTTTTGGAAGGGAAGGTTGGTTCCGGAATATAATGAGTGTTATATAGGCCTCTTCTGTCTTCTCCCTCGTGTATGTATATAATTTTGTTGATGCAATCTGCTGCTTAAGTATGTTTGTTTTGTCATGGAAAAGGAAATGAAGACACCAGAGTAATGAAATCATAATAGTAATGCACTAATTATTGGCATCAATCCACTCACAAAGAAAAACAAATATCACTATCAGCTTTTCATTGCATCAATGTGTGACAATATGTGTTATGCTTGTTCCAAACATAAATATAGACGTTTGATTTGTACAAATAAACTCCTCGCCCAAGTGTGTAGAGTTACATTTCAACTCGTGATATCACACGTCTAATGAATTTACTATATAAGTTATAATAAAAGGTACTGTTGGGATATGGATTAATATGCCTACACGACTATAAACGGGCCCAAGCCCACCGCAAGGCGTCCCGGGCCCAAGCTCTATATAAGGAGGGCAAAGCGTCCAAGCCAGAGATCCCTCTTCTTCCCTTCCCACACTCTTACCCTAAGGTCTCTCTCTAAACCCTCTCTCTCTACATACCATAAACCGCATACTATATCATACTAACTTGGGCGTCGGAGCGTAGATCCCGGGGGCCGCCCCCCGCCTCACAGGTTCTTCCCCTCTCGAGGAGATCAGACGAAGGAGTCCAGATCGGAGCCCCATAACCGCCTAGTACATTCTAGGCTCAAACAGGTACTAACTCCAATTTGTACCATGCTAACTCAAATTTGTACCATAAATTTACCTTCTAACAGATCGAACTTAATATGTTCGAAACAATTACGTTGGAAGCTTAGAGCCATCGCTTACAATATTGTTAAAAAAAAATAGCGTATCAAACCGGACGGTACAGTTTGGTTCAGACTGTAGATCGTTAAAAATGATTTGATCTAGTTCATAGTCTGTATTATGAGATGTTTTGATTTTTTGGTATAGTTTGGTCTAGATCGCGATTTATTATACTATAATGTGGACCCAACCCATTTCTAATTCACGTTAGCAGGCCACTCGACCACTCTCCCCAATGATACTCAAGTCTCAACCTTAATTTTTCAAATCTTCATGCATGATCTAGTCGGGACCATATAGTATTTAAGCTGATCTGATTCCCTATCTGTGCTCCAACCGTCCAATTTAAACTGTAAACCGTATATATGATCTAGTATAGTATGAACCAGACCGCATCGTTTTCCAGTCCTATTCCTTTCATAGCATTAGTGAGCCTGGGTTTTCCTTTATGAATGTTGATGGGCTCAATGGTTCATCTCTTTCTAAAACCCAACGAAGGCCCGACTGGATCCGGCCCGTTTGGGAGTACGTCTCCCCCTGCCATAAAAGATAAAACCCTAATCATCCTCACCCTGCCGCCATAAACAACAGCAGCCTCTGCGGGAGTAGTGTTCTCTAGCTCAGATCGTATTCCGTCGGCGTTAGTGTGAGGTATCAGGGAACTCGGCGGCCGGGAAAAATGACGGATAAGACGGCGCCTGCGGTGACGATCCGGACCAGGAAGTTTATGACCAACAGGCTCCTTTCGAGGAAGCAGTTCGTCATCGATGTGCTGCATCCCGGGAAGGCTAACGTTTCCAAGGTATATTGGCTTGTTCGTACTTCCATTCGCCATTGTTGTTCTCGCGTGTCCCTTTTCTTGAATTCGCTGATTCGTTTTTTTGTTGAATCGAAGGCTGAGCTGAAGGAGAAGCTCGCGGGCTTGTACGAAGTGAAGGACCCGAACACGATATTCGTGTTCAAATTCCGTACCCATTTCGGCGGCGGGAAATCGACTGGGTTTGGGCTGATTTACGACTCTGTCGACAACGCAAAGAAGTACGAGCCTAAGTACAGGCTGATTAGGGTTAGTGCTTTCTCCTTTCCCTTCTAATTGCAAAACAGAATTAAGGTTTTCCGTCTTTGGATGAGTTGCTTTGCTGGGTTCGTTTCAGTCTATGTGATCTCCCTTTGCTGCTATTCATAATGTAAATGGGTGCATGTTGGATTTCATTATTCTTTGTGAAAGTAAGTGAAAGTCGCTATTGATGCAAATCTGAGTGTACATCCGCCAGTGAATGATGGCATTGGCAGCACATACCGTTGTCCAGGGTTCATGATTTGTTGAAGCTCTCGTTCTTAGGAAATATGCCTTGTTTATTTGTGAGGCTGCTTTGACACCCCCCATCCTTTGTAATACTACGAACACCGTTATTTGATACAGCATTACCTCTTGAAGATAGCGGCGGTTGTTCCCCATTGCTATCTAAGCTGATACCAGCAATGGGCTCCCTTGCATTTTGGCTATAGCAATTTGCCAATTTCAATTATTTTATTTTATTTGTAAATGTCAACTTGGCAGAATTTTTATCGAGCTGCTTCTTTGCTTGAAAATGGGGTTATCTGTTGAGTGAGCTGCCTGCCATGTTACTCTTGAATTGGACGATGCAATATGCTTTGGCCCGTTGAGTTTGTGCGTGAAAGTCTAGGTTTTTAGTTTGATCTCGGCACTGTAATTGAATTTGGTCATTTTGGTATGATGACAGAATGGACTGGCCACCAAGGTGGAGAAATCTAGGAAACAGATGAAGGAGAGGAAGAACAGAGCTAAGAAGATTAGAGGTGTGAAGAAGGTAAGCGCCAAATCCAATGCTCTCTTTTTCCAGTTACACTGTCGTCGGATTTCATTTATCAATTCACATCTGTAAACTAAACCTGTTGTTACACCTATTTGCAGACCAAGGCAGGAGATGCTGCCAAGGGCGGCAAGAAGAAGTGAGATCCACATGCCGATGGGCGATCTTTTGTGCTAGTAGTTGTAGCATTGAGTACCTGTTCGTTCTGTCAATGGCGTTTTAGCCATCGAACTTTTGTAGTGGCTTCTGAAAATTGTTCTGATATATTTCTGAGTGGTTTGGTGTCGTTATGAATCTGCTTGGCCCATGTTGCATGATGTATTTGTGGTCGGATTAGAGCCTGGTTGCATTGAAATTTATCAAGGCCACCCTTGCTAGCTTTTGTACGAACAGTGGAACCTCAATCGTCAAAGCAAGGTCTGTCCGAATTAGGTACTTATTCTTCTATATTCACTTGACGGGACGGGTAAATGTCACATTTGGTCACTGAGATTACTAAATTGTGTCATGTTTAGTCACTAGAAAAATTTAATATCAATTTTGGTCACTTGAATTACTGAAACATGTCACATTTAGTTACTCCCCCGTCAGTTTTTGTCCAACTCTATTAATGAAGTCGGATGGTAACTAACGGGAGAGTGACTAAATGTGACATGTTCCTGTAATTCGATTCTATCTATTCTTGACGTTGTGGTTGTTATACCTTCACGTCATGCATAAGACATACAAATCAACTGAATTTGACTCGCACTACATCAGTGTATCAAAGATAAATCATTTTTCATAACTTTTTTATTTATTCGGAATCACAATTATCGTGTGTTGTTTTTGTTTTTTTATTTATTTAATATATATACAAAAGGCATATGGAAATTTCCAATACTCCAATATTTCTTGCAACCATGTCTACTATTATTCTACGTTTTCTTTAATCCAATTAGTTTGATCGGTTCAAAAGTCGGAAGTCTAATCCCAAGCCAAGCATCATGCTAGAGAGGACAGAATGTGTGTAAAGAAGTTTGCCCTCATAGTCTTATAAAATCAATAGCCCTTATGCTTGATGGATTTGGGCCCAAGAGTTTTTCGAGTCTCTAGTCTCAACCGTCAGCCTTATTATTATAATATTATCCCCATATGAAGCTGTTCATCCTCATATGTATGCATCAATCATGATTCATGATTCACGGTTCATCAGCAATAATCCCACCGAAAAGAAAGCATCAAAATTTTCCCAGGCAATGTAATAGCCTAACCCCTTAGAACCTTCGGACAAAGAAAAAAACGAGTCTCAGCCAACAAAAACGTGCTCCATTTCGCCTCGCTGTAAACCAGGGCGTGGGATTATTTCCTAAAAGGAATATTGTCTAGAGAGAGATAGAAAGAGCCAAACGCAATGTGTAAAGGCTAACGAGTTTGGTCAGAGGTGCAAAATTTTGTTCTTCAGCTGGCTTGGTGAAGTGACTCAAATGGAGCTGGAGTCCCTTCCAAAGATGAACCGCTTCACCCAGTCGGTGACCACCAGAGATCTGGTGCGCCAGCTCACCAGCTTGCTGTAAAACATAGAGAGACGAGAGAAATAAGGAACGGCGGCGAAGTGAGAATTGCTTAACGCTGAGTCTCGCCGGAGATGGGAAGAGCTAATGGAGAAAACATTCATCTATTACCTTGCGTAGACGGAGTACCAGAGCCACTGAGTGCTGTGGCCAATGGACACCCAATCGCCTGGAAGTTGAGCAGCCGTTTGTTCCCCTCCCAGTGGAGCAAATTGGCCGAAATGCTTGTACCTGAAGCAGGGGGACGCAACGATCATGTTAGACCACAGCAAAACGTTGTTGTTTCGGATCAGTTAGGATCATGGTATAGAGTGAAAGGGAAGGGACCTGAAGGGATGGAAACGATGGCGGCCTTCTCCTCTGAACCTGAGGGGTCCTTCTGGGTTCTTCTCAGCTTCTTCCATCCGGTTGAAGCATTTCGCAAGGTAGGCGCCCTGCTGAGCCGCAACCTGAAAAGCAAAGACAAAATGGAAGTTCAGCTAAACCTACCGAGAAAGTAAAACCAAAACCCAAATCAGAGTCCATTATGCGGGGCCAGAGCAATGTTTGGATTCGGTCAAGTGGCCGATTCGGTTTGGGCAAAAGACATGTGCAATGGGTGGGGAAGTAACTGTTGTACGCACCTGAGCTGTTGCTGGGAGGTTCTTGACCTGAGCGTCGACTTCTTTCAGCGCTGTTTTGAGCTCTTCGATGCTGATTGCGACGGAGCTTTTCGAATCGTCCTTGAGAAGATCCGCAATGTTGCGAAGTTTCTTTGTCTTCAGGTAGAGATCCACTTGAGGGTACCTTTCACAGATGTCGTCGACCACTGCTTGAAGTTGCTTCACCGTGAGGGTACCAGAGTTCTCCTTGTCTGCCTTCTTGAATATTGAGGATATGTCCTCCTGCAAGCAACGGTGGTGCAAAAGGCAATTAAAAGCACAAGCCAATTCGATCAACTCTGGCCTAAATTGCATTGGTGAAAATTAGCACAAGTTGCTCAACAATGATTCGACAAAATTAGATTTGTAAACTAATAGGACAACCTTGGGTATTTGCTTCAATCAACCTATTCCAGATAAGAATCTTGACAAGAGCTCACAGGAAGAAATCAGAAGAGCAGGACTGCTATTATTTAAGATATTAACAGTGACTGGAAAAAGGAAGAGGGAGAGGGAGAGAGCATCCATTTATCAAATAACTTAGTGTCAGAGAGCTTCCACGACCAAGCAATTGCTTATTTGCTTGTGAAAATTATATGCTCATCAATATTAAGGGAAGGCCAACATTGATCAATAGTTCATAACAGGGGACATTGATCAGTAATTGATAATAAGGGTCTTGGATAACAATGGAAAAAGAAAGTGAAAACAATACCATGACTCTGCGCTGGTTAATTGTAGCACAGTCACCAAGGGCATAAATGCTATCAGTTCCCTCAACTCGCAGCCATTCATCAGTTGCTAAAACACGCCTGGTTTCCTGTTGACAAAGAAGCGTTTATGGTGCTATTGGTAAATTGTAAAGTACAATAAGGCAAAGAAAGACCAAGGGACTAGTCAGTGAGAGTGAGAAAATGGCTAACCTGACCGACTTGCTTCATAAAATCCTTTACAACAGGATCAGTTCCAATTCCAGTAGACCAGACCACCATTCCGTAAGGCATGGTAGAAAGTTGCCCATTAACCCTGCCTTTAGTGGAGATCTCCTTGTCAGATACTTTGATAACCATTGACCCTAGTTTCACATCTATGCCATCTCTTTTGAACTTGTCTTCAGCGAATTCTGTAATTCGCTTGTCAAACCTGCAATGAAGATTTGGCAAGCATGAGAAGATGGCACATTAAACATTTCAACAGTAAGTTCTCGAAGTGTCAGCCAGCAGTAATATCCACTTCTCTTTCCGTTCAGAAATCGCTAAGAAAGCAGGAAAAAGTCTCACCCTTCCCTACCTTTCTCGTTAAAAGGCTAATTAAGCGTGCAGGGTATTTTCTGAACAAAGTGAAAACCTCTAAATAAGATAGCTACAGGACTCCATCAGTAACATCATAACAAAAACACAGACAGGATTCACTTACATGGTTAGAATATGATCTGCTGCTTCAAGCAGTGTTATCTTGACATACTTCCCAGCTGCAGGATACAACTTGACCAGATCTTCCTTCACAAAATCATGAAGTTCTGCAGCAAACTCCACCCCCGTGGGCCCACCACCAACCACCACAAAATGCAGCATCTTCTGCCTCTCTTCATCGCTCAAACTCGGCAAGCTTGCCTTCTCAAACGCATCGATAACGGATCTACGGATCTTTTGAGCATCTTCTACTTCCTGACACGCAACAAAAAATCCATCTACCATGAAAAGCAGAACTACAAACACAAATAGAAATAGAAATCCGTCGATACTAGTATACAAACAGAGCAAATCACCTTGAGAAAATTGCAATGTTCGACGACACCAGGAGTATTGAAAGTGTTGGGACGGGCCCCCATTGCTATGACAAGGTAGTCATAATCCACAACAAATTCTTCCTTCCCTTTTCCATCGATGTTCTTATTGGAACGGCAGTGAACCTTCTTGCTCTGGGAATCTATCTTGAAACACTCGGCTTCCCAATAATGGACGTCAACATTCTTCTGCAGAAGGAGAAAATCAAACACGAGCTATGACGTGAGCCACTGGTTCACTTCCCACAGACACCATAACTACAAGCGCAATAGACATTTTAGAGAGTTCAACCTTCTTGACGATGTTACGGATCGGCTCCACGATGCTACGAGGCTCCACTGTTCCAACAGTGACGCTCGGCAACAGAGGAGTGAACGCGAAGTAATTCCGAGGCGAAATCACTTGAACATCGTAGGAAGGATTGTCCAATTGTTTCAGGAAGCTCGTCCCTGCCCATCCGGTTCCGAGAACGACGACGCGCTTCTTCTTGATCTCAGGTGGAGCAATCGGACTCGTCGAGTTCGCGTCCGCATAAGCCAAAAGGCCTCCACCACTACAAACAAATTCCGCCGCGAACGAACAATCCAAACAAACGCGTAAGCTTGGAACAACGAGCTAAACACTAATAGTACAGGATACAGACTCTAAGAACTAGAATCGATTGTAAGAAACTGATTGGGATCTGAGAAAATTTTCGATTCACAGACTAATCCTCATTTCTCCACAATACGTTCAACGTATTTTCAGAGAAACGCCGCAGAGAGAAGGAACAGATGCACTAAGAGCCCGATTTTCCAAAAAAAAATTCACAATCAGATCCACATAAACGCATCGCGAAGCATGTAACAAGGAAATCCGCCATGAGAACACGCTCAGGTTGCCAAAACAACCTACAGAAGCTCAGTAGTGCATGTGCATTCACTCCAAAACCGTTCAAATCACAATCGAAATCCATACGTGTACTCAGTTCAGTTCGGAAAATTCAGAGCAAATCGAATAACGAAGCACGATATCAAGTAACCGTCCAAAACACAATAAGCAACGGGCGGACGGAAACGAGGAGACACAGAAGCGCATCGGAGAAACACGGCACCATACCTGACGGTGAAGACCACAAGCAGCTTCGAGAAGGACGAGCTGTCATTGTACGTTCGAGAAGCTCTCTCGAACAGCTTGATCGCTTTCATCTTCCAAATTCTCCGCAGGATATCCCGACGTCTCTGGTTCTTGCCGCCGATTCAACAGTTGCCCGGAGCGATTAGAGCGAGAGAGAATTTCTGGAAAATGGAAATCTGTGAGGGACGAAGGAATAGAAGAAAAGAAAATTCAGAACAGAGAGAAATTTCCCCCAAAAGAATTGGAGAGAGGGAAAAGGGAGTGATGCACGAAATGCGGAACGTGAGAGTACGTATGGGGTGAGAGCAAATGAGCGTTGTTGATCTGGAGGTTTCCAAATTCCAGCCCTTCATTCGTTCTTCTTTTTGTTGCCTTGAAAGGCAAGGATACGAGGCCACGTGGGATACGGGGAAGATTCTTTCCCGCCTTGCTTTCTTCCAGATACTGGGCCCGCACCTAGCGTTTCTTTGCCGCTTGACGGGCTGGGCTGGGCTGGGCTGCGTGAAAGAAGGATTGAAATGAACCGTCAGATTCTGTAGGGTCAAACTGAAGATTTGATTGTCAACTTCTATTTTCTTCCACTTGGGGAAAGGAATTTTCGTATTAGTTGTCGGTCAACAAATACAAGGAATTTGGAATATACATTCAATTTAATCACGCTAGCAAATAACAAACTGTCGTCACCGGTATAGAGAACGGTCCACCAGCGCCAGCGGCACATGCTGACGTCTAGAAGGCTGCTTGCTTGGGTGCATTCCTCACTGGCTGGAATCCGCCCGTCATTGGCATAAGCACAAGTCAAATTTCTTCCATTGAGCAGTGAACATTACCGTTTTGGCGAGGGCTGATGTGGAAATCGGCTGCCACATCATATCACCTGGAGAGACTGCAGAATTTGCAGAGTCACACAAGTCCTCAGCAAGACTTCCCTAGCCAAGCTTCCTTTTCTTCCAGCTCTTGCTAGAAGGCAATGATTTCGAACTATACCGGGAATTAGCAAGCTCGCGAGGTACTGCAGCTCCGGAAGACTTGAGCACCTCGACGAACTCTGGGAACAATGCCTTGCTCTCCTCGTTGATGAACGCCATCGCTTTGCCTTCCACCCCCATCCGGGAAGCCCTGCCGATCATATGAACATATTCCTTGATGGAATTCGGCATGTCAAACACTATAACCTGCCTAACACCCAACAGATCAATTCCTCGACCCAGAACACCAGTGGACACGATCACCGGAGCTTCTCCCATCAAGAATTGCCTCATCGCTTCCCTCCTCTCCTTCATCGACTTCTCACCGTGGATCGACAGTGCCTTCAACCCGGTACTCACTGAAATCGCATTGGAAAGTAGATCTGCTCCTATTCTGGACCCCACATAGACCACGGCTGGTGGGTCGAAATGCTGCTTGCTTGATAGAATATCGAAAAGCTTCTGCTTCTTCTGCTTGGTATCGACCCAGATGGCCACCTGTTTCACTGCCATACTAGGCTTGTTGGGCTGGCCAATGGAGATCAAAACAATGTCTTTAGCCATTGAGCTAGCCAACTTCTCGACGGAATCAGAGATGGTAGCTGAGTACATCAAAACCTGGGGTTGAGCCAGACTGAGGAAAATCTGCATGACTTGGTCTCGAAACCCCCTTTGGAGCATGCAGTCGACTTCATCAACCACAAACATCGTGACATCATCTAACTCCATATCATGCTTTGCGAGGAGATCAATCAGTCTCCCTGGAGTCGCCACGATCAACTCGACACCTTGATGAAGGCGGTGGATCTGTCCGGCCATGGGATCACCACCAACAACAAGAGCAGTCTTGAATGGCAAACCTTTGCCAAGCAACTTGGCTTGATCCTCCACTTGTATGCAGAGCTCCCTGGTTGGTGTTAGAACGATCGCCAATGGCCTCTTCGTACGGTTATTATCATTTTGTGCAAGGCGAAACGCTGCACAACGAGAGATGACGGGAATCAGAAAGGAAGCAGTTTTCCCTGAACCAGTGTCGGCAGAAGCAAGCACGCTCCTCCCATTCAAAGCAACCGGAATCGCCTGCATCTGGACCGGTGTAGGCAAATCGAACCCTGCATATTCTACATTGTTCAAGAGCTTCGAATGAAGATTGCAGCAAGAGAACGACAACACGGGAGGTGGAACTGAATTGCCCTTAACATGGATGCCGAGTTTCTTCCTCAGCAGTTCAGTCTGATCAGCAGTTAAGGACATGGATTGCGATCTTCCATCAGACACATAAAAGCACTCATCCTTCCCAGGTACCTTCTTGATTGCAGCCGAGCTTTGGGCCTTGGCGATTCTATCAAGGAGAGTTTGCTTGCACTCCAAGCTACATATGTCGTCGTCCGTTTGATTGCAGATGTACTCTCCGTAGCGGCCACATATCACGCATTTGGGATCCCCCGGAAAAGCTAATCTCTGCTGTCTAGAAGTCGGTACAATCTCATCAGCTGCATCATCAACTGAGAAAGAAAAGCAATATAAAAAAAACACTCATTCAGAAGCTGAAGCTGCCGGCTGTCATGAAATCATAAGAACACAAGGTGAACCAGGCATCGGAGTGAAACTCTAAGCTCCGGCGATGGCGTCCGATAGAACAAAATGTTCCGTTCCAGGAATTAGCTAGAGAAATTCATTTCAGACTAAATTCATATGGGAATATAGTAACAGAAGATAAGATACAGTACCTGAAATTTGAATAGCATCTGCTCCGGCAGTTGGATCTCCAGTCCAAAATTCCATGATTGAGAGCTAACTTCAAACTTTCTGCAGAAGTTAAACCCTAGAAATGCAGGGAGACGAAGTTCCGTCGTTTGAAGAAGACGGTAGAGGCCGGGAAGGGAAATCAAGAGGAATCCCTAGACTCCCAGCCCATGCTGGCCAGTTTCTCGTTACGAAGAATCGAAGATCGCCGGGTAAACGTCTGGATTACCCGATCTCTCAGAGAATCGGCGGGGCGATGTGGGGAGAAGTATGGGAATGGGGATTCTGTCTGATTTGCCGTCCGACTCCGGTGATTACACTGGATCCCTGCTTTGGGCCTCGTAAAGTTTAGATTCCAGATGGATCATGGGCCTTTCTATTACTGAAGCTTTTCACTCTGGGCTAAAGGGTGGGCTCGTGTTGCATATCAAAGTTTTTTTTATACACAACTGAAAAATCATTCGTAACTTTCAAAAAAAAAAAATCATTCATAACTTGGTTATTCAACCGGTTCCAAAGATTGTTCTCGATTGACTTCATAGGTGAAAAGGCCTTTGGAAGCTTCCAGTTGCAATAGGTAAAGTCAGCACTAACTTCAAAACCAAGTAAACTAAAAAACAATATGTATTTATATATATTATTAAGATAAAACTATATAAGAACAAATTTCTTGTAGCATAATAAAAATGTGTTGCTTACAATTATCGGAGGTGAGTCACAAGTGCCGAGTTTCAGTATTTTGTACTGTCGAAAGGAACTACCCTCACAAAATTTTCGAGCGAAAGTGTGTCGGGCGACACATCCTGCTCTAACTTGGGTCCACCCCTGCCGGTCGATATTGCTTATGGGTGGATATTCCTTGAACTCGAGAAAGAGAGTAATGTGTTTGCCGCGGATTCGGTACTTAAGCATTAGCATCGAATCCACTTAATATATGCTACAACTATGAGTTTGACTCACTAGTTTCAACACTTAGACCATCCATATCTCTCTAGTATAATGGGTCAAATTGTGTGATTTAAGTGAATCGGTTCCATAGAACCCGTTGCCACACCTATCCGTAGGGCTGGCATTTCGGTTAGTTCGGTTATAACCGATAACCGAAATGCCGGTTACCGGTTAACCGCGCCAGGGAGGAAGGCTACCGACAACCGCCCGAAAGAATGCTTCGGTTAGCCGGCAACCGACCGGTCGGTTACCGGTTAGTTGCTCGGTTAACCGAAGTAACCGCAACGCGTGACAAAGACGTTTATAACTGACTAACCGAACCGCTAACCGAACCGACCAGGCCACCTGTGACTTCAAGATCGATACAAATTGCCTAAAATTAAACGTTCAGTCTTACATTTCTACATCTAAATCACTCCACAAGTCAAGTTTCAATCATTTTTGCATACAAAATAGATTTAAAATCACCAAATTAATGTCTCAAATACTAGATCATAAAGTCATAAACTACATAAAGTCACAAATTACAAGTAAGCACCAATTCATCACTTATCATACGAAAGGGAGAACAATCATGTGTTGTGTGCTTGCTTTTGTGTGGTTGTTACGATTGAAGTAATAAACATTCTAATTGTTCTCTTTAACTTGTCGTTGAAACTACTATGCATTTAATATCTTGTATTTCATATTCATAATTAGGTGGCGAGCAACTATCTGATCCACGATAAAATTAAGCTGGCTACCAGTTATATAAATCCGGTTCTTTTATAGTAAGATATAAATCAGTTAAAAATTATATTTTAGCTGTTTGTCAAAGATCATGTAGCTGAAACCAATTTTGAGGGGGGGTTCAATCACAGTAATCAAATACTTCATTTATCTTTTCTTGACATCTTCAATGCAGAGTTGGTGAATTAAGCACAGATTTGATATTCATTTGAAATTCCGAAACGTAATGGAAGAGGGGGGGAAAATCTACCCGCGATCCCGTCGTGTAAGGGAGAACAACTGTCCTTAATTACTAAATTAAACTGTTACGGCATGATCCGCGCAAAATGAGTCCGCCGAAACAGTTATCCTTTTTACACACGCAAAAAACAAGAACAAAAAAGCGATAGGAGATGTAGCAACTGCAGCTAAATGGAGCTTTTCATAAACAAACCATGTCATCTCCCGGCAGAAAGGGCAGAGGCTGCCCCTTCCCCAATCAAATGCAGAAACCCTAAAAAGGCTATGAAAGGTAATAAATTACAAAGTGTTTTTTCCAGGCCAAGAACATACACACAGACACCATTCGGATCTTCAATTGGAAACGTTGAAGAAGGAGAAGGAATATCTGCACACACAATCCGGCCTCTCTCTTGCTATGGTGGTGGTTCTATCTCGTGTTTCTACCTTTTTGCCTCTGTATCTACAACAAACAAACAGACAAGAGACTCCGTGTGATTATGTACACATCGCTACTTCTTCTCTTCTCACATCTCCATGTCCATGAACAATCCCTTCTTCTTCCTCTTCGGCGGCGAAGAAGCGTCCGAGAAGAGCGCCACTGACAAATCCGAAACCTCCTTGTCGCTCAGCCGCGGCGGCTTGGGAAGCCGGCGAGCTGCTCTGTTAGGAGCTCCAGGCGCTTCGATCTCGTCGATTTCGCTGTCGTAATCGATCGTCGGGGAACGGAACGCACGCACCTTCGTCGGCGTGCTGTAGGCGAAGTGTGATTCCTTCGCAATCGAAGTCTGTTGAGGAGAGGGAAAAGAACAGATGAGATTCAGTTCAAAAAGTAATTGAAACCAGAATTAGGGATTTTGGGAGGAGGATTGAAAATGCAGCGACTGCGAGTTGCAGAATTAGAACTTACAGCTTCGGAGATCGGTTTGGAGACGAGGAGAAGCTGCTTCAGATCTTCGTGGTTCACTCCACAGAGCACCTTAATCTGCAAAAAACAATTACAAAATTAGATAAATTAAACGGCTCTATTCAGTAAAAAACCGTCGGATTCAAAACTAATCAGTCTCCAGAAGTTGCTAAAAATTGAACTGATTAGCAAGCAGAAAAAACTCACCAGAATGTCCTGCGGCAAGCTCGCGAGAACAGACTTCTCCTCCGTCCGCTGCTCGTCGATTTCGGCCATTACCGCGCCCAGCGCCAACGGCTCGCTGCAGAGCCTCTTCAATGGAGTCCGAGGACTCATCTCCGAATCCCAGCAGCACGCCAGATTCTGCGAGATGACAATCCTCTTCCTCCCAAACGACCGGACCCTCCCGAACTCGAACGGCGGACACTCCTCGCCGCAGCTTGAAGACGACCACCTCATTGAACTGCTGCATCTTCGTCCCAGCGCCATTACTGTCTTCTCAAATTAGATTCCGAACGAGAATCTGAGGCAGAATCGAAGAAAGGGAGATCTGAATCGGATTTGGGAAACCCTAAATATTCTTGAGCGGAAGCTAGTGGAAATGGTAAGTGATTAAATCTCTTTACCGAGTTGCTTTTAAAAATGACGGGGAGGTTTTGGGGGGTTTTATATACCAGAGGGGAAGTTGGAAAAAGGAAAGAGGGAAAGGAGATGGAAAAAGGCAGTAAAAAAAAATTAAAATAATAGAAATATCTGGGCGGGCTGGTGGTGGGCTTTGGATTGGGCAGGCCGAGAAAATACTGGAGGTTTCCTAGGAGAAAAGATTTTGTGCTTCGTGGGGAAGTTTATCCTTTGGCGGTTAATTTTTAAAAATATTAATATTGGCGGAGAGGGGGCAAGAAAAACTAGCCGTTTGAGAGTTGAGGGACACGTGGCGGACGATGATTCGAGTAGGAGGTGAAAGTGGCCAAGTTGGGGTCATGGGGTGTGCTTGCCCGTGTGATGACGTGGTTGATATGGTCGGTCCAAGTCGGCTACTCGGCTTCTTCTCGAACACGCTTTAGAATTCTCCGCCTTTTTTAGTGGGCGGAAAACGTTTTGATAAACTGACAGTCGGGTTACCTAATGTGCAAAACATAATTAATTAGTTTTTTTTTTTTTTGCCAGTTAAAACATAATTAATTATATTTCTTTATTTGTGGGCGGATCCGGAGTGTCCAGAGAATCCGAGGCAAGCCCACGGTGAAATTAATAAATAAATATTTATTAAGTGGTTGGGACTGTTCAACTACAATGGGCCCAGCCCAGATTCCTGTTATTTTAATTGTGTGAGTGGGAAATATTCTAAAACGGCGGCGGAATTAGGTGAGTTGGATCTCGGGATGAATTCAGCCACAGGTTTTCCGTGTGGAAGAAGACGAAGAAGAGCCCCCCACGTGTCAATCCAAACGCCGTGAGTCAACTCCACGTCGTCAACAGAAACGGGAAATCTCCGGTCCACACCACGCCGTTTGAATGCCTCAACTTCCAACTTGTATACCACTTTGTTGACCAGAATAATTGTCCCAAAGCAGGCTCGAAAACTAATTGCATCTCTTGAACATCTACAATTTCAGTTATGCCTTGGAAGTACACATGTCAACAACAAAATACGATATAGGTGATATGACCCTAATTTTAAAGGGTTTAGTATAAATTTGTATGATCCGTATATATATATCGCAACTCGTAGTATGATATATATAAAATTTCATTCAATTTCACTTTTAGTGTAAGAAGTAAATCATGCGAAAATTCATTTAATTGTCATAAAATTGTTGTTGGGTTTTCAGAACATCTGGAAGGTTAAAGGGAAATGAAATATTAAGATGTCCGAAGAATTTTTAAATGGGTAGGTAGAAACCGAAGCGATAACTAGTTCAAATGAAGCGAGGAAGCAGGGACGCTTACCTCGTAATAACTTCACATCCATGAATTCCGTGAATCCAGAGAATCCCGCCGGAGCAGAGGACGACGGTGCCAAGGCCGGATTTGAGAGTTCTTGAGATACTTACGGCGACGGCGGAGGAGAGACTGAATTCTGGGTTTGCCGTGAAGCGACGGCATCTTGAGGGAAAAGATGTGAAAGAAGAAGAGAGAAGGGAGTTCGTGCTAGGAAATGGGCTTCTGAAGGAAAGGGCGAAGGTTTATTTATATAGTTGGTCTCAGGGGATTTGAGATTGGCGCTAGAAATTTCGCGCGAAATATCTGGGTTCTGTATGAGGTGGGCCTTAACTACGTGGGCTTTTGTTGAGGCTCAACGGTTTAGAGTTTGATTAGGCCCAAATTCTGTATTTCCATTAACACCAACTACTTCAAAGTAGGCCCAACCCCTATCTGTGCCCCGAGATTCCAAATTCAAATTTTTTGTATACCGAAAAAATCGTAATCCTCTCACAAATTTTTCAGGCGACGACACACCTTGCCTTAACTATGTTCCGCCACTGACGGTAATCAACTCAAACAAACCAAAGGTGAACAAAAAGAGTCTCATAACATCAAATTCATCATAAAGAAAACACCAAATCCCAACATAACATCACCACAATCCTCAACAAAACATAACCAAATCCTTAACCAAACTGGCAAAAAAAAAAACGAAAGATTGTACTGTTTGCCCAGCCCAGGCAACTCTTGATTAAATCTCACCAAACCAGCTAAAACCCGAACCGACCCGACCCGAACCAAACCGAACCAACCCAATCCCATTTGTCCTTCTCAACTACCGATCGTACCAATTCTTGGGATGCTTGGAAGGGTAGAACATCTGGTCCTCAAAATGCTGGAACACACGAATCCTCCCAATGGGAGACGCCATCTTGGGCCGGAACCGGCGGTTTAGGGTTTCCTCGTCCATGAAAGGGACCGTTTCCTTGCTGCGAGGGGAAGGAAGGAAGATGGCCACAGTTTCCAGGTTGAGCCCGGTCTCGACGAAGTAGGACAAGAGCTTCATCTCGTGCGGTTCGAACTTGAAACCGGTCAGCTTGAGCACCTTCAGGTTCGGGTAGCTCGGGCCCACGACCCAGTCCAGGAGGGAATGCTGCTGAACCGCTAATGCGTAGCCGTTGCTGAGCACCATGTCCGCCTGCCACAAAATTATATGGATGAATGTTGGGAGGTGATATAACTTGTGATGTCTTGAAAAAGGAAAATATACTATGTTTCATTGATATGATACATTTAGTGATAGATCCGTGATTATGAACTTGTGATTCGTGGTTGTCGAAACAGTTCAACACCTGACTCTCGTAAGTCCTGGTCTCATGATGAACTTGACTCGTGAACACCCAAAATACTGTAACCCTAATTTTGTCTAGACTACATTACTACAATGTTAGGGCAAGGATTATGGGTTTCATAATCTATGGAATGAAACCCAAAGAATGGCTCAACATAAAGTAGATGGCAATAAAAAAAAACAAAAGATCCAACCTATTGACAATCGTGTCCTTTTTATGAATATGGAATGAGCATTGGTCGATTTAATGAATAAAACTCTTCTTGTTAATACCATGGAAAAAAAGAGGAGTACTGAAAGAAAAAATGTATACGCATTACTATATCAATTTAAGGAATAGAATGTTCAACATACCCTGAACCAGCCACGACAATCTATGTGAATCTTCTCGATGGAAGGGCACTTTCTGAGGAATGATACAATTGTAAAGACATTGCAATATCTCGATCCTTCCATGAACAACTGGATTTCCTTGAGCCTCGACAAACAGAAGAAATCGTTGATAGTACTGTTGCCATCAGAGTGTTTTGGACACAACCCCTGTTTATAATAAAAATATGAGATGAATTTGATAGTATACACATAAAATGATAACTAACCAAATTCAAATAAAGATCAGGTGTTACACAAAATTTTAGAAAAATTGGTCACCTCCAACAGTCTGCTGGTGGTGGTCAGAACCTCAATGTTTGACATGTCATACATAACTTGGTCGAGCTTGTAATGATCCATAGCTAAGTATGCCCTGATCAATAACAAACAACTACAATAAAACGAAGGAGAAACAACACTATCTCATAACGGAGATGGACAATGATCCATAAAGAAACAATAGTGAACCTGTGGGGCTTGAAGTCGAGAATGCAATCAGTCAGCTTATCAAAATCCTTGTATATGAAGACGACCAACGGCCCAGAATAGTGCAATGTCGTTAGGTTGGGCGCGTCGATGGCGACCCCTACGATCTCAAGAACGTTTGCAGGCTTGCACGCTTTGAACTTCTTCAAATGCTCGGCGACAATCTTGAAGTACATGGGGAAGAAACAATGGAGAAGCTCGACGGTCTCTAACTTCGAACAAGCTTTAAAAAGAGCCTGGAGAACGGTCATGTCTCGCAGGTCCATTTTACTAAAGGATAGAATGCGAAGGCATGGAAGCCCGGTGACCACAAAATTATTTTTCGGCTCCGGCAGCACAAAGGCACAGAAAGACAAGCGGAGGATTCGCAAGGTCTCTATCTTGAAAATTCCATCAGGTAACAAGAACATCTGATGTGTAAATGAGAGTTGTCGGAAATGGTTAGTTCGATTATAATTGAGAATTTGGAAATTGAAATTTAATAATCTTGGGTTGGGGAAATGGGTTAATTCGTCCAAGATTCGAATATGTAGAGATGGTATATACAAAAATTTCTTTTATTGAAAACAATATCAAAATTAAATTAAAAGTACGTTTAACTTATTTGTTTTGATTCGTTATGGTTCAATTGCAATTTCCGTCCAATCTATGGAACCAAACACAAACAAATAATTTCGTTGGATCCAAATATTGATTCTTTAATTCAAGCGATGTGAATTGTATTGTTGCCACCATTACGTAAAAAAAAAAATCGAAGAAATTGACATGAATGGGTGGTTTGCTTATGGAATTTGGATCCAAATCCAAAGCTTGTGGGATTTGCATCAATATAAAGTTTGCTAGCACAAAAAAGTGGACAGAAAAAATTTTATACATGAAAGTTGGAAACAAATTTGTGTGCCCATGAATTTTTATCCTTTTTTGTTTAAATCTAGATTTAAGAAATTCACATAAATAGGTGAAATCTGAAAAAGATAATAAAATGTTTGTGATAGTGACTACTATATCCTCATTTCTTTTCGTTATGCCAACTATTGAGGGCAATGAATTAGTTCTAACTTCTAAGTTAACAAATCCGAAAAATTCTATCATAAAATCCGGGTTTTTTTTTCCAGATTTTCTAATGAGCCAAATCCGCTACCTATAATTTATATAAATTCCATAATATTCGGAAAAAAGTATTTTTTTTTTCGACCCCTGATTTTGAAGTCTAGTATGTTTGCTAATTGATTTCTTCACCAAACTCTTTTTTCTTTACATATTATATTTTAAAATTCATAAATAAACAAAGCTTGCTTTTGGTGCACACCTGAAACATAAATGAATTTGGATCAAACATTAAAATTGATGAGATCAATATGTTATTTTTTTATTAATCAAGTTAATCAATTTTTAGTGATTTAAAATGATTATTTATTTGTTTGACACATATACCTCATTGCTCTTATGGAAGAAGTCGAAGTCGAATTCCTCAACTCCTTTTCGGCCAACCTTGTTGATCCAGCCTGCAACCATGGTCCGATGCTCTTCGTTATTGAATGGGTCTAAAAAGAGCTTTAGGGACTGGATTTTGGGCCCCTTATGTTGGTCAATGATCCGGCTCACGGTAGAAATATAGAGCCTCTTGCGGGCCAGTTTCTTGAAGATGGGCTGCTCGAAGTCGAGTCGTCGGCCAAACTTGTGGGAGTCGCCAAACGATTTGGCAACGAGAGCACACTGGGCCAACTGCTTGATATTCAGAAAGCTGAGTATCATCACCACGACGTCACCAGGAAGATGGGGGAGGTTATATGGGGCATCATGGACAAGAGGGGGAACGGGAGGCTCTCTAGCTCGCTTACGAAGATTCATTTGTGGTGTCGTTGATATCGACGACGTTGGGGCGAACCTCTCAGGAACTCCCAAGTTATTGTGGGCAGTTTCCATTGTGAAATTTTGAGAATGAAAATTTTATAACTTTTGTTCAAATTTTGCCGATTGATAATTTTTTTTTAGTTGTTGTTGGTTTGTGTGGTGGTTGGAGAAATAGTGTTGTTTATATAGAAGGGATGGAAATGGGTAAATAGGCAACTAATTTAACTTGAGTTACTTTATTGCTCAAAGTAACGTTCAGTTTTGACCAACTTTTTTATTGTCTACATGGCTTTTTTAGTTGGCTATTTAATTAAATACCATGTTATTTGGAATAAAATGCATACTAATAAATACAGTTCCAAATTATAATTTAAAGGAATATCTTAAACAAAATGATAAATTTATAACATATTCCAACAATTGAATTGGGCTTCATAGGGCCGAAAATTTGGTTACCTTATCATTATTTTTGGAAGTTACATTATCAAGTTCTAAAATTATGTATGTGGACAGCCTTATTGAATAAGTACAAAGGCACAATGAAAATTAAAAGGTTACCTTGTTAGAAAAATGTAAGAATATGTTCTTTTTATAATAAAAAACAATAAATGTGTGGATTTATTTACCAAAATTAAAAATAGAAAACACATGCATTTTATTTATCAAGGTAACCTTTTAATTTTTTCACATCCCATTCAAATAATAAGGAAATCCACTCAATTGGGTTGTCATCACTCAAGAAAAGGAAATTCATTAATAAAAAAAAAACGTATATAAAGAAACTAACGCCACCATTTTAATAATATATTTACCATTCTAAAATAAATTTTATTATCGAACTTCCATATGTACTAATTTCTAAAACATTCAAATTCTATTTACCTTTAAAATTGTTTGCGCCAGATTCGGACTCTAGTCAAATATCCTTAGTAGCAAAATCCTTTTTGGGTACCTGGCCCATGTATGACAGCAGGGGGGAAATTTTGTGTCAGAGCAATAGTGTAATATCCTATTATCGTTTTTATTAAATTCTAATTTTTATTATGCAAATGAATGAAGGGAATACGAAAATTGTAGATAGAAAAATCACCGTAGGATGTAGTTGCAGGACCGCAGGGGCGGATTAGTGCATGCTGATACTGTGAGAATGTCGCTTCTTATTGAATAGAACACTAGGCGCTTTTGTTACCAGATGACAGTCTTCAAGATAGAGACCTTGCAAATTATTCGATTGTCTTACTGCAATATCGTTCTGCCAGAACCGGAAACTAATTTCGCGGTCACAAAGCTCCCTTACATCCACGTTCTTTCCTTCAGGAAAATGTACCTGCAAGTCATGACCTTTCTCAAGGCTCTCCTGAAAGTTTGTTTGAAATTGTAAATTCGAGACTCTGGAGCTTCTCCGCTGTTGCATCCCCAACCCAAAAACTTCATTGCCACCAGGCATTTGAAGTTCAAAGAGTACAAGCTCGCAACCTGTCCAGAGATCGTTGAGGTCGCCATCGAAGCGCCCAACCTTACGACACTGCACTATTTTGGGCCGATGGTGATCTTCAAATACAAGAATTTAGAGAAGCCGAGTCATTGCTTCAAAATCGTCAGGCATTAGAATCTCATTCTGAAACCCTCCAAGAATCAACTACAATCCATAGGACAATTAAACATATGAACCATACAATGTCATGGTCGAAATTATAAACAAAAATACCATAATAATAATAAAAAATATTAATACCAACACTGAAGTTCAGCCACTTTCAACCAAATTGAACCATCAAAATTAGGGCAAGAAAGTTAAAACAGCTAAATGTACAAAATGACTCTCAAGCATCTTGAGATTCATTGATGTGCCTCGTTTCAACTGCTGAAGAATCACACGATAATGTCCGCACAGTTTACATTATCTGCACAGTAAGAACGGAAAATGATAAGAAACTCAAATCTCCACGGACAAAAGGCAAGCGAAACACAAGAACGGAAAATGATAAGAAACTCGAAACTCCATTGACAAAAGGCAAGTGAAACACCGGATTATCAAATAAAGAATACCGCTCAGTTGACAATTGCCATCTTCTTCATCGGGGCCTTGAAACCGTCGGTGACCAGATGAAGAGACAGCCCTAGGCAGGAATGGATGGAAAGAGATGCAATTTACCATGTCTGCAATACATAGAACCAGGCAGAAATCAAGTTAGAGATGAGAAAAGGGGGACAGTCTATCCACAAAAGTGAAAACAATGGATCTATATACCTGGTTTGTAGATCATAGATGTGAACCAAGCCATCCTAAACAAAAACACAATTCTAGGGTAAGAGAGAGCAGAGACAGGGTAATTAAAAGGTGATTGCGCAGCCAATAAAATTGAACAGATACCTCATCACCTGTTGCAAGATGCCTGCCAACTGGTTCAATGTCGAAATATATCCGCTGATTGGTTTGTGCCGAGGACCTGTACAGCCTGTCAACAGGGAAAGTATGAGAGTATGAACGTCAGAACATCTGAAACAGCCTGAAAACCAGATATGCCCATTTTGTAGATCATAGATCTGAACCAAATCATCATAGACAAGAACGCAATTCTAGCGTAAGAGAGAGCAGAAACAGGGTTATTAAAAGGTGATTGCCTATCCAATAAAATCAAACAGATACCTCATCACCGGTTGCAAGATGCCTGCCAACTGGTTCAATGTCGAAATATATCCGCTGATTGGTTTGTGCCGAGGACCTGTACAGCCTGTCAACAGGGAAAGTATGAGAGTATGAACGTCAGAACATCTGAAACAGCCTGAAAACAGGATATGCCCGGTTTGTAGATCATAGATCTGAACCAAATCATCATAGACAAGAACGCAATTCTAGCGTAAGAGAGAGCAGAAACAGGGTTATTAAAAGGTGATTGCCTAGCCAATAAAATCAAACAGATACCTCATCACCGGTTGCAAGATGCCTGCCAACTGGATCAATGTCGAAATATATCCGCTGATTGGTTTGTGCCGCGGACCTGTACAGCCTGTCAACAGGGAAAGTATGAGAGTATGAACGTCAGAACATCTGAAGCAGCCTGAAAACCGAATATGCCCGGTTTGTAGATCATAGATCTGAACCAAATCATCATAGACAAGAACGCAATTCTAGCGTAAGAGAGAGCAGAAACAGGGTTATTAAAAGGTGATTGCCTAGCCAATAAAATCAAACAGATACCTCATCACCGGTTGCAAGATGCCTGCCAACTGGATCAATGTCGAAATATATCCGCTGATTGGTTTGTGCCAAGGATTTGTACAGCCTGTCGAGAAAGAAAGTATGAGAGTATGAAAGCAGATACCCGGAAGAGAAATATGCTCTGTATATATAATGGAAAAAATCAATTAACGGGGTTGGTAGGTTGCCGTTACATTTCATCCGTTATGTAACGACGCGCAGTGACTTAACAATGGGGTTTACCAAAATGGCATTACAGCTAATGGGATGTTTCTAGAAGATAATTATCTTAAAGCTAGTATAGTATCGTCCTGACCGGTAAGGCGATAACTAAGTACCAACTATCCGAGTGGACAAGACAGATAATTCTCACAACTACTTACTTATAAAAAACGTCAACAGCCTTCCTTACATCCCAGCAAATGATATACGGGTCCTGCAGGAAATAAATAGAATGCTGTCAAGAAATTGAGAAAAGCTGCATATGCACATGAGCAAGAATGATAACTATGTTCACTCCAAAAAAAGTATGATAACTATGTACATTAAGGTTTTACTAGAACAACATACAAGGAGTGAATACTTCCACAAATATATGAAGAGGACATATCGGAATTAGAGGATCACATATTAACAGTCGAAATGTGTCACTACAATTAGGAACCAAGATATGCTAAAACGAGGAGGCAGCTTAGTATAACTTCCGGCCTCCAGTGTATAGACAGTTTCCATCTTTTGAAAATTGCACCTAGCAAGAAAGGAAATCACCTGATTATTGATCCCATAGTTCAAATTGAGGCATCAACAATGGAGTTCCGACCTACATGTGTAATCCCACCTTCTTGTCCATGAAGTATATACAAGAATTCCATATTGTCTTCTCTTGAAATAGCAGTTGTCTGGCTGAATGAACCACTGGCTGACATCCCATTATGAGACGGAGAAAATGCAATGGCAGATATTATCCCTGTACATGCAGCAAACAAAGTTCAGAGTCTTACACCTGACCAGTCGGAAATCATTTACTACTCTGATTTGGGAGGTACCTGTTTGTCCTTCCTTGTTTCCTTTAAGGGTTGAGTGTTGTATAAAATATCTAACGGGTCAACACACATTAAGAACTCTGATACACTTGTTATATCCAGCGAATACCCTATCAGAAAAAAATCATCAAACATTAACATAAAGATCATTGATTCTGAGATTTTAACCATTCTAAAGAGAGCAATAAATAAGATTTCACAAGTTGGAACTATAATAAACCATCAGATTGCCTCAGAAAGAATAAACTTTCATGTGAAGTACGATCACAAAGACAAACCGAAGAACTGCCTTTGAGAAGGAATCATTTGTTTACTTAGTTCCATCAGGATTAAAAGCAACTGAAATGGCCGTAGCAATTTCATCCTCAGCATCATAAGCACGGTATGTGCAACGCAACCGCAATATTCTCAATCTAGCATATTAACACCAACCCAGCTAGAGGGGAACAAAATTAAGCTGATAATAGAAGGCCACTTTCAATTCAATTACTGTAATCATCGTAGAATTACCGTGCCAGAAGTAGCATCCCATAGATGAATTGGATGATCATTAGTAGTAGTAAACACACAGCTAACATGCTCTTAAACAAGAAGAGCCGATTCTCAGTTCCATCAAACAGCAGGCATGCCACATTACTGCTCATTCAGATTCAATAAAAAAAGGAGGAAACAAGGAAACACCTGAAGAACTCACATAGGGATACCAACTGAAATCGAAATGGGCTCCCCCTCATCCCCAATAACGCTTGCACCATAGGAATCTGAAGTTCAAAGCACGAATTCCCCACGCTGTTACAAGAAGAAGCTCATTCATGAAGGTGTAAAGAAACAAGACAGAACATCTGGGAATTCCCAGTTAAACCGACGAACCTGTACCAGAAGCTACAGAATAGGCAGATAGATCACAGCCATCGTAACAATCTGGTCTGGCCATGGAAATGTACCCACGTTATTGATTACTTAAACAAAGCACGCAGTCAATAAGCTAACCTGAAACCCTAAATTCTCAATTTCCACCAGACTTACAGCGAAAACAGGCGCCCGCTTATTGTCCTCTGAAGTTGAAAGAGACCTATAAAACACCGCGAGAACAGACAAAGCTTGAATGGTTGTTGTAGTGAGGAGAACCTCTGAACTGTGCAGAGAAATGGCAGTTTCTATGTGGAGGAACGTCGAACCTAACTGTAAGGCCAGTACGAGTAATCGCGTTCGCTGGAGCTCGACTGCGACGACGTCTCTGCATCCTCTCTGAGTACTATGCGATTGCCCCGGTATATTCTTCGCCGCCAGGAGAACAGCTTTGGCCAGATCATTCTTCTTCCTCGGTTCCGGCGGTCTCGTCGTCCTCATCGTCGGCCGTGCCCGCGAGAAAACCAGAAGATTTTCGAGAGTTTCTCATTGGGCCTCGGATTTCAGAATATAGAATAGGTTTGACTAGTGGGCCCAAACATCTCCATTGGGCCTCGGATTGTTGGTAAATTATCTTTTTGTATAAAAAGCATACTCGTTATTATGTGAAGACCACGTTTTGATTTTCACAGCTTGTAATTTGTAAGGACACCCACTCAATTGTTTCTGTCAATGTCATAACTAAAAAAAGGAATAAAATTTTTAAAAAATCAATACAATATATTATAACCCGCTCAGATTGACAAATGTTATTGTAAGAACTCCGAAGTTAAACGTGCTCGCTGTGAAGCACTACAATGATGGATGATCTTATAGAGGAAAGTCACTATATATGCACCACAAAAAAAAAAACTATGAGAACCTAGACTTAAAGAGTTAAAGTGGACAACATCTTGCCGGGAAAAGTTTCGAGACGGTAAACTAACAATTTAGAAAGAAAAAAAAAACAAACACATCAGATATACTCATAACAAATGAGCACAAGACCCATAACATTAATTCATCACAAAAACATAAAAAATCCCAACATAACATCACCATAATCCTCCAAACAAAACATGACCAAATCCTTAAAACAAACCAAAAGATTGTACTCTATGCCTAACCCAGGCAACTCTTTATCATTCTCACCAAAAAAAAAAAAAAAACCAGCTAAAACCCCAAACTGACCAAAACTATATGACCCGATTCCCCTTTCTCTCCTTCCCAAACTAAGACCGACCGTGCCACTTCCTTGGATGCTTGGAAGGGCAGAACAGCTCGTCCTGAAAATGCTCAAAGACCCGAATCCTCACTTTGGGAGAGGCCATCGTGGGCCGGAAGCGCTGGTTCAGCCTGGTCTCGTCCATGAATTTGAACGGCCCATTGCCGCTGCGAGGGGAAGGAAGGAAGATGGCCACAGTTTCCAGGCCCAGCCCGTTCGCGAGGAAGTAGATCAAGAGCTGCATCTCGTGCGGGGCGAACCTGAAACCGGTCAGCTTGACCACTTTCAGGTTCGGGTAGCACGGGCCGATGCCTCGTTTCACGAGGAACTGCTGTTGCAGCACCCATGTGAAGCCGCCTGGCCTGCTGCTCCGGCTGATCACGCTGTCCGTCTGGGCAGCAATTCCACAAAACCAGAAAGGAGAAAAATGGCACGGTCAGATTGGATGCAATGGGAAAGTAATCTGGATTACTATACAAAACAAAAGAACAAAAAAATGTTCGAACATACCCTGAACCAACCACGACAATGTATGTGAATCTTCTCGACGGAAGGACACTTCTGGAGGAATGATGCGATTGCGAAGAGACCGCAGTATCTCGATCCTTCCATCAGTAGCTGGATTTCCTTGAGCTTCGAGAAACAGAAGAAATTGACGATAGTATTTTCGCCACGAGAGCCTCTTGGACAGAATCCCTACATATGATAAAAAATATGAAATGAACTTTTTGCGAGTATATACTTCAGAATACGAACTAAACCAAGATCGGGTGTATAAAAAAAATATCAGAAATTTTTTGGGCACCTCCAACAGTCTGCATGAGGTGGTCAGAACCTCAATGTTTGACATGTCATACATTAGCTGGCCGAGCTTGTAAACCTCAATCGAATAATATACCCTGATCAAGAACGAAAAACCCACAAAGAAATGAAGGAGAAAGAACATTATTGAAATGGGCAATGATTCGTAAAGGAAAGAACACTGAACCTGTTGGGCTTGAAATCGATAATGCAATCAGTCAGCTTATCAAAATTCGTGTATTTAAATATCACCATCGGCCCAGAATAGTGCAGTGTCGTCAAGTTGGGCGCATCGACGGCGACCTCAACGATCTTAGGACAGGTTACGAGCTTGCACTCTTTAAAGTTCTTCAAATGCCAGGCATCAATCTTGAGGAACCTAGGGAAGAAACAATGGAGAAGCTCGAGAGTCTCCAGCTTCAAACAGGCTCTCAGAATAGCCTCGACGACAGTCATGTTTTGGATGTCCATGTTCCTAAATGTGAGGACGCGGAGGCACGGGAGCCCCGTGACCGCGAAATTGGTTTCCGGCTCCGGCAACACAATGTCGCAGTACGACAATCGAAGGATCTGCAAAGTCTTTATCCTGAAGATCTCATCCGGTAACAAGAACACCTGATGGGTCAAGAGTAGTAAGAAATGGTTAGTTCAGTTGTAAATGAAAGAACCAGGAATTGAAATCGATTAATTATGGGTTGGGCATATGGGTTGATTCGTCCAAGATTAAAACAAATAGAGAGAGAATCCACCAAAAATAAAGGAGAAAATATTGTCAAAATCACGTTTAACCTATTTGTTTGATTCGATTTGGTTCAATTGTGATTTTATTACTTTTCCTCTGCATATAAGACAATATGTTTAACACCTATACCTTAAAGTCATAGTAGAAGTCGAAGTCGAACTCCTCAACCCCTTTTTGAGCCGCCTTATTGATCCAGCTCGCAACCATGGCCCAGTGCTCTTCGGTATTGATCGGGTCAAACCAGAGCTTCAGCGTCTGGATCTTGGGCCCTTTGTGCTGGTTAATGATATGGCTCACAAAAGGAACGTAGACCCTCTTTCGAACCAGTTTCTTAAAGATGGGCTGCTTGAAGTCGAGTAATTGACCTAGCTTGAGGCAGTCGCGAAACGACTTAGCTAGGAGGGCGGACTGGGCCAACTGCTTGATGTCCAGAAAGCTGAGTATCATCGCCACGACGTCATATGGAAGATGGGGAAGGTTGTAGGGGGTATCATCGACGGGAGAGGGGACATGAGGTTCTCTAGTTCGCTTACGAAGATTCACCTGCGATGTAGTCGGGATCGAAACCGACGACGTCGAGGTGAACTTCTCGAGAATTCCCATGTTGTTGTTGGTAGTTCTCATGGTGGAATTTCTTAGAAATGAAAATTGTTTTATATTATTTGTTGGAATTGTAAGAAGTGCTTCTTCTTTTTTTAGTGGTAGTTGGAGAGATAGTGTGGTTTAAATAGAGGGTAGGGAAATGTGTAAATAGGTAACTAATTTAACTTGAGTTACTTTGTTGCTCAAAATAATTTTCTTTTTTGACCAACTTGTTTGGTTCGGTATTAATTACTTTCTATGTTATGTGGAATAAAATGCATATTAATAAGTATTTTACCAAATATATTTTTTTTAATAAAATAAATGTGGTGATTTATTTACCAAAAATAAAAAAATGTAGGATGGAAACATAATAAACATAATTTTATTTTATCACATTTAAATATTGAATAAATGAATATATGTCGTCAAACCACTTTGACCGAAACTTAATTACCTGAATTTAGTGATAGAAAGCTAAATGTGATAAACATAAGAGTTTTGGTCACTTTGGTATGATAGACTAATTTTTATCCAAAACATGGTCTCATTTTTATTTCATTTATTCCATTTTTCTATGTGATAAACATAAGTTCTCTTTTATATTATTGCCATATAATTTAATATCCTTCATTTATTATTTTCTATTTTAATTTTTGAAAATAAAGTTTTTGTGTAAAATGAGCATATCCATGTATTTTCCATCATGCAACCTTTTAATTCTCACAGCCCATTCAATTGTATGGAAATCCACTCAGTTGGGTTGTCATCACTCAAGAAAAAGAAAATCAATAATAAAAAGAGTTTGAAAAAAAAAATCATAGAGAAAGAAACTAACACCACCATTTTAATAATGTATTTACCATTCGAAAAAATAAGATGATTAAACTTCCATATATACTAATTTCTAAAAGTTCAAATTCTATTTACCTTAAAAGTATGTTTGCCCAAAATTTTGAAATATCCTCTGTACCATAATCCTTTTGGGTACCTAGCACATGAATAATAGCAGCCAAAACAAAATATTGTTAGAGCAATAGGTTAATATCCATAGTATTGAATTTATTCATTTCTAATAGGAAGAAGAAAAAAGGGAATATGAAATTACGCATGGTAGTATTAATTGAATTTTCTTCCATAATTGTTTGTAAATAATCACCTATACAAACCGTCTTCGAATTTTGATGCAAGGATTATTAGTGCATGTTGATCCTGTGGGAATGCATCTCATACATTCTTAATCGTTGGATTACGACACTTGGTGTTCTTGTTGTCGGATGAGATCTTCAAAATAGAGACCTTACAAATCCTCTAATTTTCTTACTAGTTACTGCGAATTTGTGTTGCCGGAAGCGAAAACCAATTTCACGGTCACCGAACTTTCGTGCCTCCACATCCTTTCATTCAAGAACATGAACCTACAAGACATGATCCTCCTCTAGGCTCTACTAAAAGCTTGTTTAAAAATGGAGATTTGTTAGCTTCTCCGTTATTGATTCTCCAAGTAGTTGAATTTTTGTCGTCAGGCAATTGAAGTTCAAAGAGTGCAAGCACGCAAGTCGCAAACAATCCTAAGATCGTTGAGATCACCATCGAAAGCACCTAACCTCAAGACACTGCAGCACTCACTTATTTAGGGCTGGTGATGGTTTTCAAATACCAGGATTTTGAGAAGCTGACCGATTGCTTCAAAATCACCAGGCATTAAAATCTCATTCCGAAACCCTCCAAGAATCAACTACAAGACACATGACAGTTGGAAGATATAAACAGTTCAATGTCATGGTCGAAATAGCGAACAAAAATACAACAACAATAATAATAACAATAATTATTATTCATACCAACAGAGAAGTTCAGCCACTTTCAGCCAAATTGCACCATCAAAATTAGGGCATATAAGTTAAAACAGTTAAATGTATAAAATGATTCATGCATGTTCAGGTTCATTGTTGTGCTCTGTTTCCACTGTTGAAGAATCACACGATAATCTCCACACTGATACACAATTTTCATTTTCTGCACAACAAGAACGGAAAAATGATAAGAAACTCAAATCTCCAATGGCCAAAAGCCTAGTGAAACACTGCACTTATCGAATGAAAAATACCGCTAAGGTGAAAATTGTCATCTTCTTCATCAGGGGCTTGAAACCTTCGGTGGCCAGATGAAGAGACAGCCATAGGCAGGAATGGATGGAAAGAGAAGCCGTTTACTGTGTCTGTAATGCATAGAACCAGGCAGAAATCAGGTTAGAAAAGAGAAAAAAAAGGGGGATCTATCTACAAAAGTGAATACAATGGATTTGAACGTATGAACACCTGAAGCAGCCTGAAAACCAGATACCCACTGCCCCGTTTGTAGATCATAGATGTGAACCAAGCCATCCTAGACGAAAACACAATTTTAGGGTAAACGAGAGAAAAAACAGGCTAATTAGAAGGTGATTACTTAGCCAATGAAATCGAACAGATACCTCACCACCGGTGGCAAGATGCCTTCCAAGTGGTTCAACGTCGAAATATATCCGCTGATTGGTTTGTGCTGAGGACCTGTAGAGCCTGTCGACAGAGAAAGCATGAGAGTATCAAAGCAGATATTCAAGAGGAAACCCTAATCCGGAAGAGAAATATGCTCCGTATATATAATGGGAAAAATCAATTAACGGGGTAGGTAAGTTGCCGTTACATTTCACACGTTATGCCACGACGCCACAGTGACTTAACAATAGAGTTTACCAAAATGGCATTACAGCTAATGAGCTGTTTTCAGAAGATAATTATCCTAAAGACAGTACATCATCGTCCTGACCAATAACAAAGAACCAAGTAGCGGACAAGACAGATAATTCTCACAGCTACTTACTTATAAACAACTTCAACAGCCTTCCTTACATCCCAGCACATGATATACGGGTCCTACAGGAATTAAATGGTATGCTGTCAAGTAATTGATAATAACTGCACAAAAGCAAGTATGATAACCATGTACATTAAGCATTTACTAGAACAACAGTCAGTATTCTCGTGAAACAAGCAAATTTCAACAAGTAGATATGAAGAGGACCCAATATATGCTAAAACAAGGAAGCAGCTTAGTTTACCTTCCGGCCTCCAGTGTATAGATAGTTTCCATCTTTTGAAAATTGCACCTAACAGGACAGGAAATCACCTCATTGTCGATCTTGTAGTTCAAATTGAGGTATCAACAATGGAATTCCAACTTACATGTGTAATCCCACCTTCTTGTCCATGAAGTAGATACAAGAGTTCCATATTGTCTTCTCTGTAAATAGCAGTTGTCTGGCTGAATGAACCAGTGGCTAGCATCCCAGTATGAGATGGAGAAAATGCAATGGCAGATATTATCCCTGTATATGCAGCAAACAAAGTTCAGAGTGTTACGCCTGAACAGTTCGAAATCATTTCTAACTCTGATTTGGAAGGTACCTGTTTGTCCTTCCTTGTTTCCTTTAAGGGTTGAGTGCTGTTTAAAATCTCTACCGGGGCGATGAACATTAAACACTCTGATACACTTGTTATATCCAGCGAATATCCTATCAGGAAAAAAAATCATCAAACATGAATGTAATATCATTGATTCCGAGATTTGAACCACTTTAAAGAGAGCAACAAAAATGATTTCACAAGTTGGAACTATATTTAACCACCAGATTTCCTCAGAAAGAACAAATTTTCATGTGAAGTACAATTACGAAGACAAACTAAGGAAATGCCTTTGAGAAGGAATCATTTGCTTACTTGGTTCCATCAGGATTAAAAGCAACTGAAATGGCAGCAGTAATTTCATCCACGGAATCATAAGCACGGTACGTGCAACGCAACTGCAATGTTGTTAATTGAGCATATTAACAACAACCGAGCTAGAGAGAAACAAAATTAAGCTAGTTGCTGATAATAGAAGGCCACTTTCAATTCAATTATTGTAATCATCATAATTAAGCGACAGAAGTACCGTGCCAGAAGTAGCATCCCACAGATGAATTGGATGATCACGAGTAGTAGTAGCAAACACACAGCTAACAGGCTCTGAAAAAAGAAGAGCCGATTCTCAGTTCCATCAAACAGCAGGCATCCCACATTACTACTGCTCATTCAGATTCAATAATAAGTAGGAAACAAGGAAACACCTGAGGAACTCATATAGGGATACCAACTGAAATCGTAGATGGGCTCCCCCTCGTCCACAACAACGCTTGCACCATAAGAATCTGAAGTTCAAAGCATGAATTCCCCACGTTGTTACAAGAAGAAGCTCATTCACGAAGGTAAAGAAACAAAACAGAACATCTGGAAATTCCCACTTAAACCGACGAACCTGTACCAGAACCTACAGAGTAGGCAGATGGATCACAGCCATCGTAATAATCTGGTCTGACCATGGAAATGTACCTCGTTATTGATAACTAAACCAAAAGCATGCAGTCAAATAAGTTAACCTGAAACCCTAAATACTCAATTTTCACCAGCACTAACAGGGAAAACAGCCGCAGCTTATTGTCCTCTGAGCTTGAAAGAAAGCACGAGCCATCAGGAGACCTACAGAACACCGTGAAAACAGAGAAAGCTTGAATTGCAACCTTTCCTCTTCACAGAGCAGAGAAGAAATACTCTGCGGCGAGAAAGAGGGTCGGGAAAGTGACTAACCATTTGACGCCTTTGAGGAAGTTGTTCGAGTAAGGAGAATCTCTGAACTGTGCAGAGAAATGGTAGCTTCTTTGTGGAGGAACGTCAAACCTAACTGAAGACCAGTAAGAATAATGATGTTCGCCGGAGCTCGACTGCGCCTCCGTCTCAGTAGCTTCTTCGATTACTGTATCGGTGCCGTTTAGTCGTAAGGTAGCTTCTTCGCCATCGGGAGAATAGCTTTCGCCGTCTCGTTCTTCTTCCATCGGTTTCCGCGGTATCGGAGTCCTCGTCGTCGTCGGCCGTGCCCGCGTGGGAACCAGAAGATTTTCGAGAGTTTCTCTCTATCACCAGTCTGGCAATTTCAACCCGCCCCGCGGGTATTACCCGACCTGACCCGCGATGGAGCGGGTATTACCCGACCCGCAGTAGCGTGGGGCGGGCATGGGTATCTACTTCCGCCCTGCCCCGCCCCGCCCCGCCTCGTTCTAGACTCATTTTATCTCAATTTCTTACAATTTCTATACATATTTCTCCTATTTTGACTTTTCTTCAACTAGTTAGAGTCGCTCTTTCAACTTGTTAGATTCAATTACCCATTCTATTATCACTAGTTTTCATTCTTAAAGTATTTTTTCCTTCGTTTTATCATAAAAATTAAATTTTACTTGTTATTTTTTCAAATAACATGTAAGAGTGGGTCGACCCGCCCCACCCCCCCGTACCCGCGCGGATTTTACCCGCCCCGCCCGGTAGTAGCGTGGGGCGGGGCATGGGAATTGAGGTACCCGCCCCGCTCCATTGCCATCACTAATCCCCACCTGCATTTCACAATATTGACTTGGTTTGACCAGTGGGCCCAAATATGCTCGATTGGGCCTCAGAGGTTGGGCATCGAAAGAGATAACGGGAGTTGTAAGGCCCAAGTTCGTTTAAAGACGTAGCCAGTGATTGACGTTTATGCCCTCTTAACTCCTATTAAATTACTCAAAAACTCCAGGGAACTGGGAAATCAAGAATTTACAGGTTGATTAAAGCTCACCGTGCCAAAATGCTGTAGGATTATAACTAACCCTTTTCACATATATATAATATAAAGTCAGCAGAGTTTAGCTATTATGCTGACAGCGCTTTACGTTACGTACTTATCTTCTCACTCGGTCACAGCTATTGGGTTGATCAAACAATGTCAGCACGTACTTCTTAGATGTCAGATACCGAGATCTAATGCAGCTAAAAAGTGTGATATAAGTATGAGTTGGTCAACTTCTAATGGTACTGCCATACTTGGCCTGCATTAGCTTTGGAGCCAGGTTCACAATTTACTGGTATAATGCAATTCTGCAGATCATCATGAATTGCATCAGTAGAAACTAATAAATAAGTTCTTTACAAGTTTATTATACAAGTAATCATCTTGATGAATAACTACAATGAAGAGCTTCTCAAGAATGGGTCATCCTTGTACTTTGAGTACAGTGGAAGATCGAGCGCTTTCTCTGCAACCCTCCCGTCCTCGTGAATCTTGGCAATCAAACTCTCAAGAGTCGAGAAATTAGCCTGATTGTAAATCGACCCCCTTTTAGAGAATGTAAAAGACAAGGATATGGCAGAGAGCCAACATCCAGAAATGGAACAAAACCCAATCTACGACGTACCTCTGGTCGAATATAACCAACTATAACCAGGCGCAAGTCTTCACCATAGAAATCGTCTTTGAATTCATGAAGCAGCCATGGCTCCTGCAAAAAAAGAAAGTGGATTAGATTTGGAGAACAGAGGAGAATGTGGATGAAGAGACCAATTAGTAAATTGAGTAGATATGCATTCATTACAATTGTCTTCTCAGTGTTATTGAAATATGGGTTCCAACCAATGCTCATAGCCATTTTGTAGACACCTCTGGTTGACAATCCAGCCCACCCAAAATACACCCCAGAGGGATGTTGTGAGAGTAAATCTGAGTATCCCTCTGTCGATAGATTAGCTGAAACAGACGATGGCATTTTATCAGGCTGTGTTTGGGGACTGCATATGCATTATAAATAGAAATGAGTGGGTCTCGGTACCTGTGGGGATCCCAAGAACCTTTGAGCCACGGCCATATCCCTTAATTACAGGGCCACCAATGTGCCATGGTTCTATTGGCAAAGTGCCCTCAATCCCTGCAAGCATATGATTCAAATACTTCCCGTAACAGCTGAGGAGCATAAAGGCTTCATGCGTTCGTCCAAACAGAAAAGCAATATGGATGACTAGAGCTTACAATCTTCGAAAGGAGGAAGGCCCCATTTTTCTAGATGCAAATCTAATAGAGAATTTATCAAATCGTCTGCAGCTGTGAAGAGATCAGATTGCTTGGGGATCGAGGGTACAGCAACTACTTGCATTCCAGCAGCCTTGCCACCAGTTAGACCAGGCCTGTTGCAGTTCAATCCCTCCCAAATGTTATTGACTAGAAAGGAGACTCAAGGAAAAAAGAGAAACTGGGATTTAGCAGAGGTCCAAGCATAAATTCACTTACACAGAATCCTCAATCACTAAGCAACGTGAAGGTTCTATGTTTAGCCTGTTAGCTGCTTCCAAAAATCTGGATTTTCAATTCAAATGGTTAGATCTATGCCGATGACAGATTCCACAGAAGTAGTAAGCTGTTTTGACAACTGATATCATACATCTCAGGAGATGGCTTCCCAGCTCTTACTTCATCGCCACCAATAATCACTGAGAACGATTCCTTCCAGCCTATTGTAAAACAGGACAATGGTAATCAACTCAAACGCCCTGGAGGCTGCCATTACTGAAGGTGAACCAAAAATTAAACTTTTTCCAGCATGACAGAAAACCTACCTTGGTGGCAATTGATTTTAGCATCAATATTTGCCCTTGGAGAGTTTGAAGCCAGAGCCATGGGTACTTTATGATCAGCCAGGTGTTTAATCAATCGACAAGCACCTGGAAGTGCCTTGATATTGCACCATCTGCAGAATTGTTGTAAGATACTCCATGACTTAAGACACCCAAGGTATATGACATATAACTGTATAAGATATAATAGAGCACCAAAACAGTAGCAATAGTAGTTCAAAAGCGACAAGACTAAAGATTCTAAACTCATGTAGGTACTGATTTATACACACAAGCAAGTTCATAGGTTAATTACTGGTCTGAGAACATTGGAGTGATTTCACTCATAAATTCTTCTGTTGAGCAAGGAAGTCCATATTCTTGTACTATAACAGCAGAAGCTTCAATAGGCGTTTTCCCGACAATTTTATGAACTTCTCTACCATCCCATTGTTTGCTATACTTCACCAAGAAAACTTTCATAACCCCAACAACCAAGGCATCTGCGAAGAAATTACAAACATATTCATTCCACCACCTGGGGATGAACAGATACCAAATTGACAGTTAATAAAAAAGAACATCCAAGGTAGGAAAAAAAAAAGCAAAACCTGTATTAAGAAGGGTGCCATCGAGATCGAGAATCACCCCTGAAACTAACATCTTCAGGCTGCTTTCAACTGACATCTCAAATACCAGAACGAGACCTTAAACAAAGCTGTTGGATGTCTGAAAAGAAAAGCCAATGAAAGTCATGACAAGCTTGCACGGGCAACAACAAAGTCCCAAATACTCTGAATCTAAATGCATCTTATTAGCTTCAGGACATGGATTTGAAAAGGGTATTGCCAAGTTTTCATTTTTGCTAGGTTCCAGTTAGAGTTAGACCTTAAACAAAGGATATTTGTTCTTTCAGGGCAAGAATAGGCATCAACTTTCTACTACTAGCTTAACTTCTTATTCCTAGGTAAGAGTCTAGGCAAACCACTGAGAGTCCTTGAGGTTGAGGGTGCAGAACATAGAACTCTTAAGTCCTAATTCACCACTTATACGAAAGTACGAAACTAATACGCGGAAACATTTATATATTAACGGAAATCCAAAACAAAACAATCTAAATACACTGGAGACCAACTTGTATTCAATCTCTGTACAGGTTCGAAATCGATCCTATCCTAGTGCCGTAATTGCTTACTTCTAGCTGGGGGAGAACAAACAACGTTCAAGAATAAACTATCTACCCACACTGCTGAACCACAACTAACAAGAACTTGCAGGCCTTTCATCAAACATGTTATATGCTAACAAGAGTAGCCAACCACGAACCAAAAATCATGATAAGCAAAAGAACTCGAATTGATGTCTTACAGAAGCGGAATTAATGAAGCAACGAGCTCGAAGAATATGATTCCGCTTTCTCCATCAAGCTTCCCTGCTTATGCTAGATACTTGAATTTGCCCGCTACGAGATTCTCCGTACGCAAACTGCCGAGAAGAAAGATGCTGCTAGTGCCGATTTTAAACTGATTCATTTCCCAGCTTGAAAGCGTTTCTCGACGAGCTGGCACCGCCTTGGCCGTCGATCACAACCAAATTCCGGCCGGCGAGAGAGAGAGAGAGACAGAGAAAGTAGAAGAGAGCTTTTGAGAAAGGGACGATTGAAGCTTGTCAGCGAGAGGATCGAAGGGAGAATAAACTGTTCCCGTGGCGAGCAGTTCATACAGTTCTCCATCAACCGAATCACATTCTATCATGTTATCGGAGAAATTGGTAATGGGCCGATGTGGACGGGCTGTGTTGTTTTTTTTGTTTTTTTTTAATCTGGGTCTGGCCTGCTATCCATAGTCCATACTACCCGATTAAATTAGGGTTATAGGTAGAATATGCCACTCTACTATGACGTTTTATCAAATATGTCCTTCTACTATTTTTTACATCAAATATGCCCCTGTACTTTGAAAAAATTATCAAACATGCCCTTATGTTAAAATTTTCATTGAAAAAATCGTCAATCGTGGTTGAACCGAGATTTAGATGACCAGGCATCGGCAAATGGGAGGAAAAATGTCAGTTTTGTCCCCTGTTTTATTTCACTGGGTCTTTTCAAAATGAAATTATTTGAATGATTTGATTATACAAAAGAACGAAAAAATTCTAAAGTGAATTTATTATGGATATTTTAGTCATTTGTGTTAGGGGTGTTCAAATGGTTACCATGGTTATAACCAAATCAAATAAGGCTAAATTCCATTAACCATGGAATACAATATCATAACCAAACCGTCCAAACTAATACAACAACCAAATTAACCAAACTAAAATTTAATCGGTTTGGTTAATTGGTTAACCAGATTAACCAATATAAAATCACATTATCATTGACGATGAAAAGTTTCCGGTTAATGCAACAATTCGCAATTTATATAATGAATAAAACATAACAATCAACACGTAGTTATAGTTGATCCTTAACAAAAATACATGCAACTAATACAATTATCTTACGATTAGTATAGAAGTATTCACCTAACAAAAATTTATGACAATGGTATGAGTTAATGAATTGTTTTGTTTGTGTAAATTGACTTAGTCTCTTAGCAATTATCATAGGCTGGAAATGACATTCCTTTCGAGTTTTCATCCATCATAATGTATGAAATTTATCTAAATTAGGTGTCCATATGTTGTGGTCTACATTTTACATATACAAATATACACTATATGAGCAATATTGAGCTTTATATTTTATGAGTCTAAAAGGGATGAACGTTAACTCTTGAGTGGTTATGCAAAGTATTAAGAATGTGTATATAATATATGTTAGATATATGACTAATTACTTAATTGGTTAATTTGGTTTGACTGGTTAGGAGTGTATGAAACCAAACCAAACCACCTAAACCAAACAAGCTAAAAACTTTAACCAAACCAAACCAATTATCCAAATTAACCAAACCAAATTATCCAAATAGTATCGGTTAAAACGGTTACCATGGTAACCAAACCGTTTGAACACCCCTAATTTGTGTCGCCCAAACTAAAGTTCGGCCTTGGTTAACGGTTTTTGGATGAAAATTTTAACAAAAGGGCATGTTTGATCATTTTTACAAAGTACAGGGGCATGTTTGATGTAAAAAATAGTAGAGGGGCATGTTTGATAAAGCGTCATAGTAGAGGGGCATATTATACCTATAACCCATTAAATTACTAGCATTCAAGGGTCGTTTGCTTCAAGGATTTGGATGTAGGATTTGGTTCTCAAATCCCACACATGAAGGATTTGTCCAAAAGCCATTGTTTGTTGAGCCAAAATGGAGGGTACCAAATCCGTGGGGTCCATTGATTTGGGTCATGATTGATGGTTTTTCAGTTTGTCCCCAAATCCCAAGGTATGAGGTGAGATTTACAAATCCGTGGGGCCTACGGATTTGGAGCTCCATTATAAAATAGCTCAACAAACAAAAGATTTCCTCAAATCCATAATGCCCAAAATCCCTAATAAATCCCAAGATTTTTAATTAGCAAATCCATGACAAAACCCTCGTTATAAAATCCTTGAAGCAAACGACCCCTCATTTTAGAGTGGAAGTTTGGTTTGCTATTTGGATGCACCAACCCGCATATATTGTGGTTGATCATACCCATAAGTTATAGGTAGTGAATTGGGTTGGGTGTGGTTAGTAAAATAATGATCTTTCATTACTAACCACAAACAGTTGACCCACAAAATCCATTATAATCATAATAGACTACTAGTTTTGTTTGATCTACTACCAACCACACCATTAACTCACAAAGCTCACTGTACCTACATTAGGCAAACAACATGTAGTTTTACCTTTTATTTCATCATATTTATTATTGTATTATATTATATTCATTGGCATAGTGAAAATTTATAGCGGGTGCGGTGGCGGACCGAGAAATTACATAAAAGGTATTTAACGATGAAATAAAATCATCAAGGATTGTCAAATGGTATTGAGTAATTGAATTTAAATACTAACATCGCTAAAATAAAAATTTGCAAATGAATTTTTTCTCAAAATTGGAACAAGGTTTGTCAGTTGACAATGGTAGGCCTAACCTATGTCCGCCCCTAAGCGAGTGCCATGTGGGATTAATTTGCATTATATCTAAAACAACGACTTTCGTCTCTTTCTTCTCTTTCAAAGCAAAATTTGAATACCAAATACTTTGTTCTCCATTGAATCAGTTTCCTTTTATTGCAAATGAAAGGAACCAATACAACGAGATAGAGTCCCAAATACTCTATATATGTGGTACATTGATTTCCTACCAATCACTACTTCCTCTTCTATATTTATCTACTTACCATGTAAGCCAATGTAGTCAAACCGAAGTTGAATTAAAGGTACTCTAATCTTTCCAAATCTGCTCGCATCAGGCCATTCCCAGCAACCACGAACTGCAATTCTGCCTGCAATAAATTAGCGATTTTTTCTGGCTCCCGACAAGGCGCTTCATGAACAACATTACATCTTTCCCTCCATACAAACATCATCAACATACACCACATTGTTAATTTGTATCCATGATGTGGATAAGGAAGACTCAAAGTACTCAAAACTTTTATATGGTCATAGAATTATCTTAGACGAATGTTGATCTCAATATTCAAATATAGTATATATGGTGGATGTTATCATTTATTTTATTATTTTTATCATCATATATGAGTAATCAATTTGCTAACATACAATTATGTTACTTGATCTCAAAATCTGCACAACTCGTCTCTATAATAGTATATCTCCATCGCTTGAACAACTCGGTCGTTGTAGTATAGTGGTAAGTATTCCCGCCTGTCACGCGGGTGACCCGGGTTCGATCCCCGGCAACGGCGTCGTTTTTACTTTTCCCATTTTTCACTGTCGCTTTTCTTACTGCCCTTCTCTTTGCAGTCAGATCTTAAACCTTGCTGAAAAGCGCGCCATTATCATCTTTCCCAGGAGTTTCTGCTGCTTCTAGGGTTTTAGTTTAAAGCGGGAATCGATGGAAGCAAAGGAGTAGCAAGCACAGTTCAATAGAAGGCTTCTTGATTCTTCTTCGTATTTTGTTTCTTCTACTTATATTTGAATTACGGGAGGATAGACCTTCTTCCACTGCTCAGCCATGGAAACGGATGCTTCTGACTCTGAGCACGTAGTTCCGTTCCAGCTTCAGTTCGACAAGCCCATCGCTTCTCAGGTTCTTCCAATCCCCATTCTTTGTTTGTTCTGATGTCCTTCACTGCCGAAATGATTTGGTTTCCGGCGCCTGTGTTTGGTCTTCAATTTGTTTTTGACTCCTTTCTCGGTAGGTGAAAATAGCGGAATGGAACCCGGAGAAGGATCTACTTGCAATGGTGACTGAGGACTCGAAAATCATGCTCCATCGATTCAATTGGCAGCGGCTATGGACGATTTCACCAGGTGATAGTTCTTCTATCGCCATTTTGCAGCTTTTCCTTGCTCCCGGTCCCTCAGTTTATGTACTGTGCTGCCAGCTGATGCTTTTCGCTCGTGTTTCTGGGACTTTGGTCAGGCAAATCCATTACGTCTTTATGTTGGCGTCCAGATGGTAAAGCGATAGCTGTTGGGCTCGAAGATGGAACCATTTCATTGCATGATGTAGAGGCGAGTATTTCCTTCACTTCTTTGCCTTGTATCAACAATGCTGTAATTGGTGTTTCCTGATCCATGTATGTCATGTTTACTTAATAGAGCGGGAAACTGTTGAGAAGCTTGAAGTCTCATACGGCCCCGGTCGTCTGTCTTAACTGGGAGGAGGAGAGTGAACTGGTTAGATCCATTTTCGTGTCAGTTCTATTTGCAAGCTTGGGATTGTGAAATTTCTGATTGACTTTACTCTCCTACTCACTGGTCATGGTAAATTACTCATACCATTTATATTTGTCAAGCTGAGTTTCAGAACAACACTGGGAATTCGTTGGTGTTTGAAGATCGTACTCCCCGTTTCTTCCCTCCTGCTCCAAGAGTCCCACGGACGCCTGGTGTCGTGACAAGTGATGCCAGTTTCATGGATGATAATGAAGATTCATACCGGCAACTTTCCAATTCGTCGTACCAACGCTTTAACATTCTGTGCAGTGGAGACAAAGACGGGAGCATTTGTTTTAGTATATTTGGAATATTTCCGATAGGAAAAGTTGTAAGTACATTGTTCACTGTATCTTGGTTTCTGACATCTTATTTCAGATATGTTAGATCTAGTCCTGCAGAAACGGAATTTTGAAATGGTTCTAGCTAAGAGAATAGACTGAGTAGGGTTTTGACTTATATACAATTGATAATCCTTTCACTTTGTTTATGTTTTTTATGTGTACACATGTTGCAGAATGTACACAAATTTTCTGTACCTGTATCAAACAGTGATAAAACTCAGCACCTTCTTAATGCTTCCATATACAAGGTATGCTGATACTCTAAGTCGTTAGCTTCAGATTGTTGTCTGTTTGATGAATTAGATTCATTATCTAAGTATACTATCTTGCTATTTTTAGGTTGCATTGTCAAAGGACCTCTGTCAGTTGATTGTCCTTTTCTCTGGAGACCTCATTGAAAGTACAGCTGCTGCTTCAGAAGCGGATAAAGTAGCTGGTTGTGGCATGCATGGCTTAGTGCTAGATACTTCTGTATTTGGGAAAAGGTATTTATATTAGTTACCACGGCTATGTGTTGCTCCACCTCTTTTCCCCACTTTTCGAGGTGATCATGTTATGAATTTGTTTTTGCTTATTTTGTGAATGTAGGAAGAATGAGCTCCATCAATTAGCCCAACAAGCTTCTAACATTGAGGACTTGACAGAGGTTATCCGGGCGTCCTTGTCAGTGATGAGTAAACAATGGACAGATGCCGTTCAGTCATTCAGCCAGAAGTTTGTTTCTCTAGACACTTTGATTACTGATCATGGTAACTCCTGACTTTAACTACTTGTCATTCCTTATACTGTATTTAATCCTGTTAACTGGTTTCTCAATGCAGCACTGGACTCCTCTCCCCAGGAAGAGTTTCTGAGCCTTTTAGGTGGTGCTCGTACTAGTCCAGCAGTTCATCAATTTCTAGTCAACACTCTTGGAGAAGCGGTAGGCTTCACTCCTTGCACAAGTTCCATTTTCCTGAATGTACAAATGGTTGACAGCTATTTCCTCTGATTTCTGTTTGATTAGCAGGGTGTAAAACGTGTGTCAAAGTTAGTCTGTGGTGCTGGAAAAGAACTTCAACGTGTAGTCCATGACCATCTTCAGGTGCACAATTGTTTACTGTGACCGCTCAGTATCAAGTTGTTTGTCAAGTTTTCATTGGAGTTCAGTCTGCTTCTTTTATAAACCCGTCAAGAAGTTGCATGAATAATGCTATAGTTTTCTGATTGGGTCATTTAGGAAGTCTTGAGATGAAACTAAGGGATACACACTTTTCCTAGCCTGCTGCAGAAATAATTGCATTTAGGATGGGAGAACTGAGAGGCCTTTCAAGATGGCGTTCACGCTTCCAGGTTATTGGCTTGGATGAGACGCTTGTTGCTCACGCAACAGAAAAGTCAGGCATGATGTTGGTACAAGTTGAACGATTCATGAGGGTGCTCACTTCTGTGGAGCAGCAGGTATCATATTTTTCTATCTAAATGTTGAATCTTAGCACTTCAAACTTCTTTCAGATAGATGAACTTCTCATGTGTGTATATTTGGGTCTATTCCATCATACATTGGTGTCAGCTTCTAGCTATACATTGTTTTACCCAACACTCAAAAGCATTGCTCCTTCTGTAATTATTGTTGTTACAGTGTGTCAGTGATGAATCGGATAAAAACGGGTTGTTTTCTTGGTGTATTCATTTTTGTATCTCAAGTCCTAACTCGGTATATTCCTCTGCTTTGTTTTCCAGTTTTCCAATTTCTTTAACTGGCTTCTCAAATGTATAAAGCTGTTGATGCAAGAACCCAGTGATCAACTTCTTCCATATAATAGGTTTTACCATCAAGCTTTCTCATGTTCAATACTGCAATAGCGTTTAATTTGTACTGAAAGAAAATACCATTTACCTTGGCAGTGAACTTGTTGTCATATTCCTGAAGTTCCTATATAATCAAGACCCAGTTAGAGAGTTGCTGGATCCCTCTGAAGTTGATCACCCAGTTCAAGCTGACTTGTAAGTTACCCTGTGGATCAGTGCTCTTTTTACAGCTTCTGTAATCTAAAGATGGTTGTAATACCTGGTCATTAATAGGCCATCATGGAAGGTTGAAGGGCTATTTATCAAGCTGGTTTTAATCCGAGATAGGGTGATATGTTTTTTGAGATCTGTATCAATAATTTTTAGTTGATTTCTTATACCAAGGGAAATTTCCATTCCCCACTTGTTTTACTAATACACTTGGGTTAATGCAGAAAATGTTGAAACTCATGTTAAGTAGCACCTAGTCAAATCTGTTAAAATTTCTGTCAATCTATGCAGGGAAACAATGCAAAGAGTCTGCGACTTGGTTCAGTTTGGGGGATTTTCGGACACCGAATATCTTCGCAGGACATTAGCAAAAGAATTCCAACAAATGGAGTCTAGGTATGTAATTTTACATTCATGTTATAGATATCTAGCTGAAACATGCAAGTGTAGAAATCACCAACTTCTTGTTGATTACTTATCTATTTGAACAAATTTTAGTTTCAAGGAGGCTTTTCTGATGCCATTTACCACAATCTCGAGGAAGATACATGTTGTGGATTTGCTGCCTCTCTTTCCTCTTCCATCTTTACCACTATCCAGATCTAACGTGATTCCCATGTCAATATCATATTATGAGGTACTCTTGCGCTTAAGCATCCTTCTGGTGTTCTAAGTGATTAGTTGACTTTCTAGATCCAATGTTTATCCAAGTCTCTTCTTTTCTGTTGCAGGATGATTCTGAAGCAAATGAGAACAACTTCAATGATTACATATGCTTTCGAGTCCCCGCTGAGTCCCTTTCCGATGACGGAAATTATATAGGCATAGTACGAGGGTTTATGCATGACCAGAGGAATCTTAAAAGAGGTTATTCGACATTGGAAGCTGTTCTGCTGTCTATGCCAGCAGGTTACAACTGTGCTGATCTGTCATTATACAAGGTTCAGCACTGAACCATCCACGAACCAGTGAGGCAGTTAGTTTCATTATATTTTCATGTTCCTAATCCAGTTTTTCTTAAAACAGGACACTCAAGTTGTTTTGCTACTGAACGGGATGACAAACGCCCCTGAAACACCGGGAGATGCCTGTATGATGATCATTCAAGCTAATGAGCTCCCATTTGCACCTGTTTCGCGATCCATAGACCTAAGCCTATGGAAAATGCATCACTTACAGGTTAATCCCATTCTGCTCTTCTCCGGATTAGTTCTGCACAAATATGTTCTTGTAGATTGAATTTTACCACAGGTAGCCCTCCACTGAAATTTCTGACTGAATCAGTTACCAATTTTATCGAGTCATACTTAGTAATCACATCCTTGTGACTCATCACACTTGGTTCGGAAACCCGAATGACAGGTGTGTCATAGAAACTGAGAGAAGTTGTATGATTTAGGAGTTAAATTGAAGGACAAGACATTAGTTTTTAGCACATCTGATATCCGAGTCATCTAGGACGTGCATATCAAGCATGGATCGACCAAATTATTAATAGATTTTATCGGGGGCTAAAAAAGGATGAACTATATTTGTATCAAGAACGATATGAATGTGTTCAAATGACATAGTACCTTGACTAGAACTACCGTTTATCCTTTCTCTGTCCCACTTGTCTGCTAAAGCCAAATGTGTCAATGCAGGATTCTTCTGCGTGCCTGCAGACGGAGAACGAGAAGATTCGCTCCATCCCTTATTCTGTAGTCGCTCCTTTGGCAGTCAGTGGTAATGCTTTTAGGCTTTTCTTCTGTTCTGCTGTTCATTAGTTTCTTCTGTGGGTCTTTCTTTCTACTGGAAGAGAGCTCCTATCAACTCTTTTATGTTCCTCCCTCTTTTTTGACCGAATACAGCGACAAGGGGAGTTGCTTGTGTTTTTGCTGCAAGAAGGCGTGCATTGGTTTACATCCTCGAAGAAGATGAAGACGAAGTTCTTGAGACCGAAGCTTGATTCGATTCTCTTTGTTGCTTTTTTTTTTTTTGCTTCCATCGCCAATGTTGCCATTAGATATCTCCCTTTGCCAGGACTTCCATGTTTCCCCAAATATTACACCGTTCCTTGGTGTTTGGGTTTGCTAGGTGTTTCGCCGTTCCTGTTAGTCGTAATGCAACAGGCTGACATAGATTTCAAGAATTTTACCTTCTTATTGTCAGAAAGAGAGTCAGCAGCATGGAACTGTCCATCAGACATTTTGGAAAGGGAGTCCAGCAGACGGAGAAGGAGAAGAAGAAATGAAAGTAGAAGTAGTCAAAGTCAGTGGCTGATGCGATCTGTCATCTGAGCCGTCCGATGGAGTCAAAGTCAGTGAAATCAATGGGCTTGACTGACTGATAAATTTTCCGTTTCTCCTTTACAGTCTTCAATATTTTTGTGTAGGGTTTATTTCTTTTCGAAGGAATCAGTGACAAAATTGATAATGAAAACCTCTTTTTTTTTTGTTTTTTGTACAAGTTAAAATGCAAACTCCATATTTTTAACACACATTTTGTTGTTTTTTTTTAGGCTAAATTGCAAGTTTGGTCACTGGAATTACTAAAAAATTTCACGTTTGCCACTCAAATTAGTTTATTCCATTCATGGTCACCAAAATTAGTTCAACAATTCAAGTTTGGTCACTCTCCGTTAGTCTCCGTTAACTTTCGCTGATGTGGCAGTCAACTCTAATAGTTGATCGTTAAATGTGTGACGTGGCAATTAAAAAATATTAAAAAATAAAATTTAAATTTTTTATAATTTGCACCTCATTATAAAAATAAATTAAATATAAATAAAATTAAAATTATATTTTCCTGTCCCTTTGAGCTCGGCGTCACGGAGCGCCACCGCTTCTCCGATTCCATATTTAGGACTTGTGAAGCTCGAGTCTAACCATGTATAGAGCTTCGGATTAACCAAAGGACATACCTGGCCCATGTCGGGCAACATAAGATCTCCTTTAACCTCTCACTCAACTGCAATGTCTATAGTTGAGACAAAATGATTCAAACTTTTCTGCATATAAAGTCATAACAACTCTATAACCATGCGAACCAATAAGACAAGCAACACAATCAAGCGTGGATGGCGAAATGTTGAGACCAATCTATTAATGGCCGTTCTCAGTTAATGTCTCCCCATACAATTGTCGTGAGAACGGCACCGGCAACGGGTTCAGGCGGCCGAGGCGGAAGGGGTGCAGCTTGGTCGCCGGCGCCGACAAGAGGAAATTAAAGAATTTTTAGAGTGAAGGATATCGTGGTTTTACCCGCGGATTGAGGTTTTGGCCGCCACCTCCTTCTGCGCGCAGAAGGAATTAAAACCCCCTCAGTTTTGACTCTGTACGAATCGAATGAATACCACATCAAATCGCCTCCTTCTCCGTCGCATCTCCTACGGCGTGTTCCCCCTTGACTGATCGATACACTTGGGGTTTGTATCGATGGGTAACAGCTTTGCAACCAGCTTTCGGTTAGATCCAGCGTCGTCATGAGCGTCGGTCTTGCTTAGGAAACCTAATACACGAGGCGAGCTCTTCTCCTGACTGGAATTTCTAAGGATTTCGCAAGGAGGATCGTCGTAGACGCCGTCCACACCCTCCGGCGGCAGCTCTCGGCTTCTGAGCAAGCGCTAGATGACGACTGGCGAGTCGGGTTTAAATTTCTTCTCCGAACTTTGTTCATACAACTTCGACTCTGTGTTCTCTCTCACTCTAGGTAAGCTTATCGATGGAGGACTCCTGTGGAATTTTAATTTCAATTTTTTAATAGTTTTGAAAATGAGGTGGAAATTATAAAAAGTTTAAATTTTATTTTTTAATATTTTTTTAATTGCCACGTCACACATTTGACGGTCAACTATTAGAGTTGACTGCCACATCAGCAAAAGATAACAGAGACTAACGGAGAGTGACCAAAGTTGAACTGTTGAACTAATTTTAGTGACCATGAATGGAATAAACTAATTCGAGTGGCAAACGTGAAACTTTTTAGTAATTCCAGTGACCAAACTTGCAATTTAGCCTTTTTTTTTAACACATATTTTGCTTGCTCTTTACTTCACTTGAGATATAAAGCAAACGGATAAAAAAGGCACATAACCACACAGACATCAATATTCCCACATCACAAGTGGAGCTCATGGCGTTTGCATAACCAACTATTCAGTTATCAAATCAGTTTCTTAGTAAACAAGTCAAAACAATACCGGAAGAAGTCATCTCAGACCTTTGAAGCTGCCTCTCCGAAGGGAAGACTTATCACTTCCGGCTCGGTAGTTTCGCTTTCCTTTTATCCCTTTTGGTCTGTGGCTTTGCTCGGGTCTTGCGCTTGGAGGATTTCTTGAATGATGGTTTTTTACTCACGGGTAGCTTCTGGTTCTTCTTCTTAATAATGATTGGTTTTGCAATGGCTGATGGCGTTGTCTCGTTTGGTCCAGAGTCGTCATCTTCTCTGGAGATCTCACTAGTCGTTACTGTTACCTTCAAGTCCCCGTGATCATACATTGTCGTCCCTTGAGCCAGAAAAGGAGAGAAACACAGATTCAGACAGTGGATTATTAGACTGACTGTGAATGTCAGAATTGGACCATAACTAGTAGACTAGACATAATGCAGCTCATTTCGTCATTTGCCAAGAGAGGTATAATCATAAGACCAATAAACATCCCATCGATGGGATGTAAGAAACCTATGAACCCAATCAAAATCGTTACACGACTGAAGACTAATCCGAGCATGAAAATCCTAACAACCAAATCGAAATGGTTATCCAACAGAATACTCATCTAAGCATAAAAACCCTAAGAACCCAGACAAAATGGGTGCTCTTTTATTTTCATTTGCATCTAAGCATAACAAACAGCTTTTTTGTTGAGGTTTCTGTTTGATAATAGCAACTTCATCATTGATCAAAACTAAAAGTAACCCTATAACCAAACAGTTACTATCAAGCCACTGGCACCGTTACCACTCTCAAAAAGCATCCTCAAAGGCACAACGTGAAGATCCAAATAGATATAAAACTCGGCTAAATTCGATAAAAGTTATGCGTCTAAGAGACATACCGCTGACTGAAGCAACAGGCTCACTTTCCTCCGCGCCCTCATCATCCTCCTCGATCTCTTCATCCACCGGGGGAGCTCCTTCGTCCATATGAAATTCATCTTCCAACCTCCTCTGGATACAAGTACATGAACAGTTATAGAATAACATTTGACGGACACCACCGAGCATGAGAAATTCATTTCAGATAAAAGCTTCACAAGTGCAATTACAAAGATTCAACAACAATACCCTCCAAAGTCATACTTAAGCATATTAGTATCTGATTTCTGAAGCTCCTCAAGAGTCAAAAACGTTATAGGTGCAGAGTGATAAGAAGCCTAAATATTAGGAACCAATTACACGGAAATGGCGCAAGCCTAGTCAGAATGCAATTAGAAACTCGATTCTTTACTGTCCATTTTCCGAATGCCAACTACACTGTCCCGCAGCTAACACGACGTAACAGCAACCAAATGACGAGCAACTCTATAAACCCTAGGAACAGAGAAACAACGAATTTTCGAGCAAAAACAAAGTTTAGACGGCGTTTCGTTAACTAAACATATACCTTCTGCCGCAGTTCGATGCGCTTCCGTCGAGCAGCCTCCTCCTGTTGCTTATGAGCTTCCTTTCGTCTCTTCTTCTTCCTCTTATGGAAGCCAGTGACGTAGTCCCTTTTCGAAGAGAACCGAAACCAAGGAAATTTTCAACCATGTTAAAAAACAATGGTCTCCAGTAGTTCAATGCAAAAGAGAGCAAAAGGATTGAACACGGCCACCTGAGATCCTTCTCGTTGAAAGATATGGCCAGAGCTTTGTTCTTCAACGCTCGTTTCTTTATGTGCGAGACTCGGCTCGCCGATGCCTCCAGCCCTCCGTCTTCAATTCCGTCCGCCATTGCCGCCTGGGAAAAGCAAATTGCCGATGACCTCGTTCTCGTGTTGTTTTGGGGGTTTATGAGCGCGCCGTTTATATTTGGGCTTTCGGGGAAGAACATTGGTATGGACTTTTCGTGGGCTTTACAGTTCGGCCCAATAAAACGGTTATTATTATTATTTTCTTGAAGGATATAAAAATGGTTAATGACAACAAAAAAGAGGCAAAATGGTCTTTACACAGACATTTTGTTTATGTGATTATAAATTTGAAGTTTATAACGATTTTACAAAAGATCCAATTTACTAATCAAAATGTTAGATTCAACCAAATGACCATTTTGATTGGATTCTTAAGACGGTTCGCTTTTCGGGATGATAAGTTTCCATCATTATATGATAGAAAGAAATATCTTTGATTGTAAGATCCACTTCTTTTGTTTAGAACAAAACTAGCCCCCTCGGGTTGTTCCTTGCTTCAACTCCACCATTCTTGTATCCCAATTGCGCCAATAGATCTTTCCATTATGCTTCGTTCATCTTGATTTCATAAGGAAGAGGATCTAAAGAGATTCTTCTCTAATCATCTAAAGTGCGAGGGTTGACCTTGTAAGTTTTCGATGATTCACTACCTACGATCGAAAATCACGTGTCACTAGTGAGTTGTACGCTTATGAAATCAAGTTTACTTGAGGACAAACAAAATTCAAGTGTATGGTTAAACTATTTTGGAGAAGAGGTTTGTGACTCTCTACTTCTGAATGTTCGTCGAAGAGAGTGTTGTGATGAAAATCAGTAAGTTGCTTCTACTTAGAGTTAGAACTACAAGCATGGCGTCTTCGTCTGTAGGACTTTCTTTGACGGTTCATGTAAAGTTGTTGGGTCTTTCATTTGGGCGTTGTTGGGACACCCTGTGGGCTTCTTCGTTGAAGGTGGTGTTTTATGTCGTCATATAGAACAAGTAGGGACCATGGTTTGTGATAGTAATTTGGAAGACACGTTATTTTAGTTCCTAATAGCCTATTGGTTGTATCATGACGTTATTAGGGTTCAGGCAATTCACCTTGTTATTGACTGAAGATTAGGAGTCCTTTAAGTAGGCATGGCAACGGGTTGGGTTGGGGACGTATAGTGCATATCCGTTACCCTACTCAATGTAGTTTGGGTTTTACCCATATTCATACCCACATAAGAATCGGGTAGAAAATCAAAACCATGCCCATACCCATTCGGGTTTTGGGTATCCACGGTTATCCGTGGTTAATAATTTATTTTTACAATTTCTATCAAAATTTGAATATTCACACGTATACTCATATTAATTCGCTAGAATGAAGAAAGTTCAATTCAAACAACACAATTTCATGAAAATATTATATTTGTATGCTAAATATAAAATATGTTGAGAAAATAATGATCATTTCAAGACAAAATACATATAAATATATATAATCGTGCGGGTTCGGGTTGGATAGTGAGAAAACCATGCCCCACCCATTACCCGCAATATTCAGGTTCGGATTTTACCCGTACGCACTGAAAATTGTTCGAGTTCGGGCCCCACCTATTACCCGCAATATTCAGGTTCGGATTTTACCCGTACGCACTGAAAATTGTTCGAGTTCGGGTTTTACCCTACCTGATTATGTCAGATTCGGGCGGATATCCACGGTTTCGGATATTATTGTCATCCCTACCTTTAAGCGCTACGTTTCCATAAAAAAAAATTAAAGCAATAAATTGAGAGCAAAAATTTGAAAAAAAGAGTAGAAGATTTGGTACTCCGGCGTAGGGGTGAGCGTATGGTTCGATAAAAAAGTTCCAATCCATACCGAACCAAAATATAAACTGAATCTAAATCGAGTTAACATCATTCGGTTCCGTATTCAGAAAGGAAAATGACATATTTCAAAAATCAGGGTCCTTTCAATCAAACCGAATAGCCAAACAATTATAATTGCAAGTTAAAAATGGTTGATTTTTATGTCTGTACTTAGTCTGTCTTGAAACTTAAATATTTGAATTATGTTAGTGTTTGATGACTTATATATTGAAATGTTTGATTTTATCACTGATAATACATATAATTGCACATTTATTTTTTGCAATAGAAGTGGAAAATAATTTAAAAGAGAGAAGTCACAAGCTAACCTTATAAGTTTGATTTAGTATAAAAAACCGAACCAAATTATAATTCAATTCCCATTCTTGCTGATATTAAGGACCGAATACCGAACCGAACCGAACCGATGTCCACCCCTCGGGGATACCTAAACGCTCCGCTCAAGGCATCCCGCCCGTGGGGAAAGTACGAACTAGCTGCTTATAGCAAAGCGACAAGAACTCAGCAGTCCACAAAAGTCCACCAACCCAGCTCCCATCGTTGCCTGCAATTCGAAGGAATCCTCGCCATTCCGGAACTCAGAATTCAATTTCTTCTCCCCCACACGCCACACCAATTCAGTTCTGACTATAAGAAAAAATCTCCCTCCACCGGCCCCCGGCATTCCCACCTCCCTCTGCGCAATGGACGAACCGGGATCTTCGCCGCAATCCGTATTCTCCGACCGGGTCAAAATCAACGGCGCGGTCACCACCCAGCTAACGCTCACATCCGAAGGGAAGCTCCGGTGGAATGACGGCGAAGACCAGCGGTGCTTGGTGCTGGAAAAGCAGGTGCTCGGATTCGTCGTCGAAGGAACCAAGGTGGTGGTCAAGACGGTCGTCCACAGCGAAGGAGGATGTTGCGGTTGTATCGGTAGCAGGGAAGCAGGTCTGGTTAGGAAGGATTTCGTGTTCGAGCCCGTCCATGGAGATTCACTTAATTTTTGGTGCCAGCATCTCCGCGATCACCTCGATTCCTTTGGTAAGCAAGTTCCTGCATCGAATGTGACAGTAGTTGGTCTTTGAATACAAGGAGCTGGAAGTTCAGCGTACGGAGTCAATTAAAACTCTAGTTTCAAGTAATTTGAAGTCAGGAGATAGAAGGAAGAAGTTTGTGTTAAGTGGCTGCTGAGTATGGAGTTAATACGAACTCTAATTCTGATTATGGAGTTAATACGAACTCTAATCAGTAATTAGGTTAATTGCCCTGGTAGTTCAATTTGTTCACTGCAGAAGGTGCAGTTTTAATTTGAAGTAAGGAAAAGGAGAAAAGAAGTGGCTACCTATAGCTCTTTTGTTGTGGTTGTTGCTGGGAATTGGGATCAATATTTACATCCCTAATGTAGTTTGATGAGTTACTCCTTGATTACCCACCTCAGTTCACTAGGTAACTGATTTGTTCAATGTGCCAGTAGGCTTGTTGGTTTGTTTGAATCTACTCATGACTACTCAGTGTACTATCTCTTCTATAATTTGGTTTGGTGAATGAATTTTCATGGCAGGCCGGCCGAAGAGGCTGCTTGTGTTTGTGAACCCGTATGGCGGGAAGAGAATTGCTCCCAAGGTGTATTTGGATTATGTGAAGCCATTACTTGAGGATGCCGGTGTCCAGATTACATTGCAAGGTTGAAAACCTTCTGGTCATTTCTGCATTAGTTCTTTGTTCTAATGGATGTCGTTTTTTGGTTTCGTGGTTCTTATAACTTTGGTTTTTGGGTTATCAGAAACTATGCATCGACATCATGCTAAGGAAGTTGTAAGCAGCATGGAACTTTCCATATATGATGGCATTGTTTGTGTCAGTGGAGACGGTATCCTTGTTGAGGTTAGTTGGCTTATGATTTTGGTAGCTGATGGGATTTGTTTAGGATAAAAAAGTTGAGAACTTTTGTTGTAGACTTGTAGTCTCTCTAACTGTTCGTATTGAAGTGTTTATCAAATAATTTGTGATCCTTGACGGTTGCATTGTCAGCTATTTTTCTAATAATCTGGAAAGCACCCTGAAGCTATTGCCGTCCTTGGTCTTGTTTGATCCGTAATTAGTTTCAAAATGTAGTTCTGAGATCAATGAGCTGGTTTTTATGTCTGTTTAATATAGGAGCTTGTTTTTGTCTCCGTAAACATCAAGGGTTATTAGTGTCTGTATTAGTTTTTCCATTTTTGCAATACCTACTTAATGTCTTTTTCTCCTTACCCATGCTGAAATGTTTAGTAGGTGGTGAATGGTCTTCTGGAGAGGCAGGACTGGAGCGATGCAATAAAGATGCCTCTCGGAATGATTCCTGCAGGTTTGTTTTCCCCAACTTATTTTTGTTGAATCTTTTCATCTGTTAAGGAGCCATTGGTGGGCTCACAGAGTCAGTACTTCTACATTATTATGCGGGTTTGTGAAATTAACCAAAGTGATTCACCCACACAGTTGTAATGGTTGTTGACTGTAGACTAGTTGTTCTCTACGGTTGTTATCAATAACTGCCTCATTATGAGAGCTGGAAGATGCTTTTTCTCCTTTGTGGATAAAGGTTCTTTGATAAATAGATGGATAACTCATCAATTATAGACTGACTCTATCATTTCAAAAAAATTTATATTTGATAAACCTTTTATCCTGATTCAGGTACAAGCAATGGCATGGTAAAATCACTTCTGGATGCAGCTGGTGAACCGTGCAGCCCAGCAAATGCTGCTCTTGCTGTAATAAGAGGTTAAGCAGTGGAGCTTTTGCATTTCCTACCTAAATTTATAAACTCACCTGTATAGTTCATCGCGAGACCATCAATTTGAAAATTCTGCCCCATTTGACTGGTTTCTTTCTTGTAGGACATAGGTGCTCACTGGATGTAGCCACTATCTTGCAAGGAGAGACCAAGTACTACAGTGTTTTGATGCTCGCATGGGGTATTCTGAGTGATCCTGCATCACAACAAATTCAAATAGTCAAGATTCAATCTTCTCATAATTGTTGAGAGCAAGCTGTAATAATTGTTTCATCCAAACTTTATCCTCTCATGTTTCAGGTCTGGTCGCAGATGTCGACATTGAGTCTGAGAAATATAGATGGATGGGGAGTTCTCGCATGGACTTCTATGTATGTATCTCTTATTTGTTCAATGTATTCTTTTTCATCAAGATTATCAGGGTTTCTCTTCAAGAGTTACAACTTACAATCTAATGTTAATAATGCTCTTATGAAAAGTTTCTAATTCATTGGTTTTATTTTTCTTCTTCTCTGAAGGCTCTTCAACGATTGGTCAGTCTAAGAAAATATAACGGGCAAATCTCTTTCGTGCCTGCACCTGGGTTTGAAGCATATGGGGAGCCAATCAATCACAACAGTGGACTTACAAGTGCTCGAGAGTCTTGCGATGTCAGCCAGCAACAGCTCGTGAAAACCCATCCCTGTGGTTACTATGGTCCTGATGACGAATTGATGAACCAGGAATGGCGGACAATTAGTGGACCATTTGTTTCGGTCTGGCTTCATAATGTTCCTTGGGGTGCTGAAAATACCATGGCAGCTCCTCACGCAAAGGTTGGTCTTACTATTCTCTGTTCCTCAGCTCTCTAGTCTTTCGCTGTCAATCATAGGCCAATGTTGGAAAATTTTGACTACAAATTCAACCATAATGTGGCTGAAAATAGCACATGATAAGGGACCGGTTAAATTCTTATATGGTGAACTATGAAGGTTTGTCTCATAATGGTCACTGAACTAAAAATCTTAACAAATACACTAACGTGATTTTGGACAAAGTACTCCATTTCATCTTAATGACAATTAGGCTTACTAGTTACCAGGTCACTAAAATCGCCCCCAATCCAGCACTTGACTCATCCACCGAATTCCGAACTCTGTCTTTTCCGGTCCGGGAAGGGTTGGAACTCGCATTTGCTCACTGACACCTTGGGAGTCAGGTTGGGCTGAGTTGGAAAGTGTTGGGTGTCAGAGTGGGTGTGTGGAGTGCTTGTTGGACGATTTTGATGACATGGCCAGCACATTTGGCATGTACACTGTCCTGAAACAGCATATTAGGTAGAGCGACTGTTCTGTGCTGAATCACTTGGTCCAGCTGGCGCTTTGTTGAGACTTCATCCAATTATCTCTTTGTTCCAAACTCTATTTAGTCCTACTTGAATGTTTCTGAATTCTCTGCTGCTGAACTATAGTTCCAGAGATGCATGACAAAAAAATATCTGTTAACTCCTCTCCTTGTTTTGCAGTTCTCAGATGGCTGTCTGGACTTGGTGCTCACCAAGGAATGCCCAAGGCTAGCCTTGCTCTCATTCATGACAGAGCTAAGCAACGGCGGTCATGTGAAATCACCACACGTCATGTACCTCAAGGTCAGTCCATATTCTTCCATTACCCTTTTCTATAGAACACAAACTCGCTTCATAGGAATTACAATACCGAATGTCCTGTAGCAAATCACGCTTCTCTTCTCTGCAAAACCCAACAGGTGAAAGCGTTCATATTGGAACCTGGTGACCGTGTGAAGGAACCAAATGTCGGAGGGATCATAGACGTCGATGGCGAGGTGGTGGCTAGAGGAAATGGAACGTACAAATGCGAGGAGAAGACTCTTATGGCTTACGACAAGCTTCTGATAACCGTGAACCAAGGTCTAGCCACCGTCTTTTCTCCAATGTAGCTAGCTAGCTAGCTTCATTTTTCTTACATTACACTTGGTCTTTGTATGAACATCCCATGGAGTTGTTCATCATCAAACCAAGACATTCGTTTACCCCATTTAGAAGGTTTCTCTGCAGAATGTTTCTGACATTCACTCGGGTTTGATTTTTTTTCCTGGGGGATTCATGTATCATGTATGCATATACTAGATTTAGTTACAAAGCAATTCTTGTTGGAAGGATTCATCGATACTACAGGATCTCTGTTTATTCATTGTATGCAGAAAGTTGATGTTGATTTTTGCTTTCCTCCTTAGTTTGAATCTCGATTGACATTGTAATTCCAATGAACCAAATATTGATCACAAATACTCTTGTATGCCTCCTTCACACATTTTTAAGCGTTCCTTTTCTATTGACAGTTACGAACTGTAGCCGTCCGTTTGAACGGTTCTCCCCGCCGGCGGGGCCCGCTTCTCGACGGCGACTGGGAGCAGTTGGGCCGTTTAATGCGTGTGAACGCGAAACGCCTGCGGATTGTGATGTGATGATAAGAAAAGGAAATATGCGTTACGTGACATTGCATGAATTTGAACAGCGGGGCCATAGCGGCAAACCCGAAACTACCCCTCCCTTTCCAAAAGCGGCCGCCAAAAGGTACAAGTACGTTGATTAGTTCCATCATCTGTGACATTTCGTCAAACGACGTGAGGAAATGCCCATCACTGTTTTGGTTAGCGGTGGATCTAGTACAGGGTAGAGCACTAGACCACCTTTGAAAAAAGGCAAAGAGGGCTAGGCCGTAAGCTGAAAAACACTTAAACGAATACCAATAATCCGAAATTACAAGTGTTATACTAGCTCGAGATCTAGAGGAGGGTTGGGCCGTGGCCCGGGGCGGCCCCTAAATCCGCCGCTGGTTTTGGTGCGTGGGAAATGTGACATTGTAGTTCAGTTCTACAAGAAATTTCTGAGTTAGTAGAAGACATGCATTGTTTTTTTTTTTAAGTGAAAGACATGCATTGGTAAAAGAGTAAAAAACCTCATCGAATTCTTTCAAAAGTTTCTTAAAGGAAGTTCGAAGTTAGTCAAATTGTTAGATACGTAGGCTTGTTGTGGCAGAAGAGGTGAACTACATCGTATTTGAAATGAATGTACATGTTCTGTCAGATGATGGAAATGGTTCAACTAATTTGGACCAATTGCGTAGAAATGAGGTAGTTAAATTGTCTCGTTTGACAACACAAAATGAGAATGCACCAATTAGATCGATAACATCTGCAATTCATTGTTTTCCATCAATTTGAAGTGACAGGAGAAAGATAAGTATGTTGAATCGATGCATCAACGTGAAATTTGGAAAGAAAGAAAAAAACTATCAAGTTGCTTGATTTTCATAAACCGATCATCCAAACGACCTCTGCAGTCATCCTTTCATTCAATAATTCTCCTATGCTGGACTTTTTCCTTACAAAGTAAACTCTAGTGAATTGGTATAGCTGCCTAAGATTTCTAGTCCGGCCAACTTGAAGAATTTTATGTCAATATCTTATTACAATACTCTTTGCAAGCGGATATCCATAATCCGTTCGCTTAAACCTTGTAAGCTTCTCCATTCAATGATTAGTACGAACCAATTTTTTTTTTTGTTAATAGAAGATCTAAGGAAAAAATACTCAACGCTGGTGAGCTCGCCCGAAAATTAAAGAATCATTAAAAAACAATCTCATCTCATTGTACAATCAAAATTAGCTAGCCTCATGAATGCTTTTGAGACGGATCTCTGCTTGATGGATTTGAATAGTTTTTTGGTGGCATAAAATTTGAATTGTAAGTGTCACTTTGAATAAATGAACGGTATGTCATACTATAAAACGAGTTTATCTATAATTATTTCACAAAAACACAAATAGTGGTCTTTTATATTATAAATCAAAACTCATTTCAATCAAAACTCTCTTCAATAACCCTTCTACATTTTTATAAAATAAATAAAAAGATAAAAAGCAATAGTAATTAATAAAGATTCAATCTATTAAGATATTTTTTGGGAAGCCAATCTATTGATAACTATCTCCACTAATCCAAATACGAGCACCATATCCGCAAATCTATTATTTAATTTTTTTTTCTTTTCATTTTCACGATAACAGTCCAGTCACACTTCAATATCAAGAAAATAATTTAATGAAAAATAATACAGTTCAATTAATTTGGGGATTGCTAAACGTCGTCCTAAAAATTACTACATGTCGTCCTAAAAAGTATTGAAGTTACTCTCTTGCCCTTTCCTTCTTTTTTCTAATTTGCACCCAACAAACACACCATTCCAAAAAATCAAAATAAAAATTTGTAACCTAAAATTATAAATATCCTAACTTTCAATCCCAATTTAAATAAAAATTACATAAATTAATTATAATTTTATAAATGAGAAAAAATGAAAATTGCGGTTGTGCCGTGGCCCTACCGAAGGTGTGGCTTCGGTTGACCGTGGGTCAAACAAAGATGAATTTGCGTTTTGGCCCACGGTCAACCAAAGTTAAACATTCGGTTGGGCCAAGGCACAAACGCAATATTACTTGCGTTGCTTCTTCTTTGCAGGTGAGCATAGCGGCGGGAGGCAGAGGAGAGGGACTGCGGTTGCTGGCGTTCATTCTTTCCGGCCGAGCAGAGAGGCGGAGTAGTTGGACGTGCGTATTGGACGGTAGTTGCTGCCGTTCCTTCTTTCCGGCGGAGCAAGAGAGACGACGTGGTTGGGCGAGAGGCGGCAGTCATTGACGGTGGAGGAAGACAACGATGCAGGACAGAGGGTACGTCGGCCGCGCTGGGAGGTCGGCGCCGGTGGAGAAGTTTGACGGTGAGGTATGAGAGAGAACAGGGTTGTGTTTGTTTGGGTTTAGAATTGAATTCAAATTAGGGCAATTAAGTAAATTACTTATTAAAATTAGGACGACGATTAGTAAATTTAGGACGACATTTAGCATTCCAGATTAATTTTAAGGGTTAATATTTTCGTGTGACCTGAACTTTGACCAAAATAAACATTCTGGCTAATCTTTTCAATCTATAACATCCTGGCCCGAACTATACACCAAAATAAACAATTTGGCCAAACCCGATTTTTGACCGTTAACTTGGACGGTCAAATGCGTTGACTAACAGTCAACGCGCCACGTCATTGCCACGTCACTGGCAAGTCAGGAGATCTGATAAATATTTGTTTTGTTTTGTTTTTTATTTTGGTTTAACTAAGGTATTAGATGATTTTTTTAATTTATAATAATTTAAAACTAGGGAATGTGTGGAAATTGTGAATTATTTTAAATATTTTATGCTGACTTGGCAGTGACATGTACCGTCCAAGTTAACAGTCAAAAGTCGGATCTGGCCAAATTTTTTATTTTGGTATATAGTTCGGGCCAGGATATTATAGATCGAAAAGATTGGACAGGATGTTTATTTTGGTCAAAGTTCAGGCCATACGAAAATATTAACCCTAATTTTAACTCCCTTTGACAGTTTGACTGTATCCTTTCGCCACGTAGATTAAAAAAAAAAATTCGGCTACTCCGAACCTTTTATGATTGAAGTACAACACAGATCAGGCCGCGTGACGAGACGTCTTTCTGTTGCTCCAATATTTGCTGTTTCCTCCTCTATTTTTTCCACTACTTATTTATTCATCTCTCCTTCCTTCTTTACTCTCTCGGTTTTCTCCACAGCGGAAAGATTTGAAACCTCGGGGACTCTTCCTCTACTATGCGATAGTTTGGTTCCTTGCTCCGTAACTCTCCGCCGCGCCTCGGCATACAGAGCGAGTGAGGGTGGGCGAGAGAGCTCCGACGCCAAAATCACCACCATGACTACTCCCTCTCCGTCTCCGGCTCTCCCGCCGCCGCCACCGCCGGCTTTTCCCGCTGCTGCTGCTCCTCCTCCTCCCGCACTCAACAAATGCTTCAATTCCGATTGTACGGAGAGCAAGTCCAAGAAAGGCTGGCGGCTGCGTTCCGGGGAGCTAGCCGAGCTGTGCGATCGATGCGGGTGAGTATAACTGTAAAACTTCTCTTCAACGTCCTCTATTTTTTTTTTCCAGTTCGAACTTTGCGGCTGGCTGTTTGGCTATGGACTCTCTGGTTTCATAAGCCAATTTCATGTAGCCGGAGTTTGGTGAATTCGCGGCTCACGTTCGTTTTTGTGATGTGGCAATGGTTGGATTTTGTTGTTTCCTCTGCGTAGTCTGGCCGTTCTGTTTGGCTCTTGTTGCCGGAGCTCGGAGAATTGAGCTTGGGGAATTAATTTCTAGCTCTGTGTTGTGATAGTGAAATGCATGCTAGTTTGATTTCTCGACTGGTCTAATATGAGCTGGAAGAGGATAACGGTTGTGCTAGCATTGTTTCTCTGAAATCCTTTCCATGAATTCCACGGTTCTAATTGTGATTTGGTTTATGTCTATACAGTAGTATGTATGCTGTCGCTTTGTGTATGGGGAAGCAGCCTCTAGATGAGCTCTTGCAACTCCATTCCAGATTTTGACTTGGAGGTTGACGTTTGTTGAGTACTGAGACTGATTAGATATTACTAGAGTGTTACTATGTTAGTATTGCAAACTGCAACCCCGCTTGTTTAGTAGAGGACGGTTATCAGACATGTGCGGAGTAGAGGATGGAAATTCTGCTTATTGTACCTGTACCGGCTCGTTTCGATCTTTGATAATGTAATCCAGAACTTGGACATGGTAAATTGGAGATTTTAGAATTTAACGGTGGGGATTTCCTTGGAAATATGCCCATCATTGAGTTGGAAGGACTTACTATTTGCCATATAGTTGAGTGTAAATTGTGAACTTTGTCAGATCAAGTTTTTTCATGCTGTTAAGCGGAACTTTTTGAGGCCTTAACTTTTCATGACTTGACTTCTATATTAAATTTGTCGGCGTTGACATAGGACTGCTTATGAGGAAGGAAGATTTTGTGAGATTTTTCACCCGCGTGCTAGGGGCTGGAGGTGTTGTGAGTCCTGTGGGAAGGTAAGTTGAGCATGTCTCTTGATTGATCGCATTGATCTTTTCTGCTATAGCGATTCTTCTCTTAGTTTCTTTTGTCTCAGCTGTTCATTTTTCTCTATTGCAGCGTGTGCACTGTGGTTGTATTGTCTCTGTTAGTGCATTTACGTTGTTGGATGCCGGTGGGGTTGAGTGTGTGGCTTGTGCAAAGAAGAACGTAGTTTTGGTAAGTATACGTGGGTGCCCTGAACTTCCCGTTTATCAATGAAAGAATCTGAACTTATTTCCCTTGTCGGGATTGATGAAGCTAATAGTAATTTTTCAGCTTTATGACGTTGAAATTTTAGTCTTGGTTAATGTGGTGAAAGCTGCTGGAGAAGTACGGTTCTGATGTCTTTGTGCATCTTGTGTATCATTCAGCAGAGCAAGAACAACTCGTCCTGAGAAAAACACTAATATTTCATTGTCTCAATTCTGTATTTCAGACATCAAATCCCGCATGGACACCTTTCGTTTACCATGGATATTTATCTGACAGCCTGAAGAACCTTTCAGTTAAAAACTGGAACCATTTAGCTGGACCAGGTCCGGTGCCATGGAAACAAACACCCAGTGTGTTCAATACTTCTATTCGTCCGACTGATGCGCATCCTAGGATGCCTTGTGATGTTGGTAGTGCCTCCGAGACACTATCTTGCACTTCGCAAGAAAAAGGAAAAATTGATTATTTTGCTCAGAGGTCAACGAATGGGACTTTGAAGCTTAGTTCAAGGGACAAACCTGAGAATGGTTATTCAGGTACTCAAGGGACAACTGAATACATTGACTTGCCATTTTTTTTGGGCACAAGCAACCAACATTATGGTTGCTAAGGTTTTTATCTTTCTCTTTATTTTTCACGTCTGTCTGCAGGTGCATCTGGCGAGGAACAACATTCTTCTTCTGTAAGAAAAGATTTATCCACCCTGCAATTTGGCATGGTTGGAACAAATGCATCCGCAAATGAAGCTATTGGAAAATTTGGGTGCTCTGGAGCAACTGTACGAGCGACTTCATCCCCAATTGTAAAGCAGCTTTCTGTTACTTTTCAGAATGGAGGTGATTCTCCTGTTGAACCTCGTAGTCGCGGGAGGCCCCGGGCAGATGCCCGTGGAAGAAGCCAGTTACTTCCAAGGTACTCGCCAAGGTTTACTGACGAGGAGCTGGCTCAGATATCTGTAAAGTATCCTTTAATTGCTTGAGCGTTCTTCAGGTTTTATATCTATTGATGTAAATATGTGAATAAGTTCTGTTTTTTTTTGAATGTTTGAAGAAGGTTGCATCCGCAGTTCCAGTCTCTTATTTTCGTAAATATTGTTTTCTATATTATGCTGACGGGTCTGGCTGATCCAGGGACTTGATAATCATCATCTTATAGTTCTACATCGAAAACCTTAACCATTTCAAAGTTCAAATTCTATAATAACTCCTTTGTTTGAGAAACAATTGAGTCCTAGTGATGCTGGACGAATTGGACGGCTGGTGCTGCCAAAAAAATGTGCTGAGGTTAGAAACACTCATTTATCGTCGTAGTGAAACTCATAATAATTCTTCCCTCAAATGATACACTGATATGCATTATTCTCGTTGATTCAGGCTCATTTTCCACCAATCTCCCAGGCAGATGGTTTACCTCTCAAGATTCAAGATGCTAAAGGCAAAGAATGGATATTTCAGTTCCGTTTTTGGCCCAACAACAATAGTAGAATGTATGTTCTGGAGGGGGTTACTCCTTGCATACAGAATATGGGACTCCAAGCAGGTGATACGGGTAAGCAGCAAATCTAGTACATGTGACCAGTAGTACTCTGGCATGTATTCCTCGGATACATTTGTGTAAGAACTACTGAGGAAAAGAGGCAGCCACACCTCCTCAAACTCACAAATTGAGTGATTTGAATCTAAGTTCCATAATATTTTCTGTTGCCATAATGACATTTTGCATCTTGTGCATTGAATTTTGTCTGTTTCCTCAGTGACATTCAGTCGGTTAGAGCCTGAAGGGAAATTGATCATGGGTTTCAGAAAAGCTTCAACAACTCCATCATCTGATCAGGTATTGGTAGCTGGAATAAATTTTTTCCCCCTCTCCCAACTTCAACCACAATGATGATCAGCTGGTTTTGGTTTGGGAATTAATGCTTTTATTGATTATGTATGCAGGATAATGAATCAAGCAAGCCCATAACTGGGCCTTCTGGAAATGGAGAAGTTCGTATAAACTTTCTTCCCACGACATTTATTTTTAACTAGCATTTGGTTTTTTATAAACTTAAACACGATCTTCTATTTGCCTTGATACAATCAGGTTGACCTGTCAGACCCTAGTCCATGGTCTAAAGTTGACAAGTCGGGTTACATAGCCAAAGAAGTTCTTGATTTCAAACCTTTGGGGAAAAAGAGGAAGAACAGAATAGTAGGTTCAAAGTTTAAGCGTCTAAGATGGGAAAGTGAGGATATGATAGAACTGCAGATAACATGGGAAGAAGCACAGGGGCTGCTCCGCCCTCCTCCTGAAAACATTCCCACTGTTGTAGTGATCGAAGGATTCGAATTCGAGGAATTTGAGGTAAAATGTGTTTTTTTTTTGTCTTGCTCCACTGGAGTCTGTAAAGTTGCATTCTGTGTTCGTAAAAGTCAATGGTTTATCATCCATTTTCGCCTTTCTATTCTGCTTCTGATTATATTCACAGATACTTGTGTGGTTGAAGTTATTTGTACCACATCCATGCACTCTCAGATCTTATATATATAAATTTTGCTACGACAGGATGCACCAGTACTTGGGAAGCCAACACTTTTAGTAAGCGATGATGCTGGGTAAATGGCTCATTTTATTTACTTGAATCCTTTTGCGACGAACTTACTTTTTGTCGCACTGTTGGTTTCCGTCCTCAAATGCGTCTTCTTTCTTTAATGTGCCAGACCCTTCCATGTGTGTCTCTGCAGATAGGGATTTCGTTTTTTACTCTATATTTGAAACTGACTGTTACCTACCCTAAATTTTTTCATTGGATATCAAAAGAACTTATTATGTGTTTGTGCCTTCTTTTTCAGCCACAAGGTACAATGGGCTCAATGTGAAGATTGCTCAAAGTGGCGAAAGTTACCTGCTAACGCGCTTCTTCCCTCCAGATGGACATGTTTGAGTAACTTCTGGGATCCAGAAAGGTAAACAGTTGCTCTCCATTTTGCTTAAATCTACAGAACTTGTTTACTTTAGGATACATTTAGGTTTTCTTTGGCCAGTTAATCCAGCTCTTACCACCCATTTATCAATCGATTGATAACAAATGGAAATGAAAATTCATTTCCATGTCTCATTTTTCAAATTATAGTGTCCATAATAGAAAAAGGAAGTAAATGGTTCTTTTTAAAACAGAAAGAGTAAAATAGATAGAAAGGGAGAAAGAAAGAAAGCGATGGCAGTCCACCTATTCATCTTCACAACTTCCAAATCCCCACCATTTTGCAAATTCCCCTATTTTGGCATCCTAGAATATGATCTCTCACAATTTTCTTTATTTCAAACAGGAAAAATGATGAAAAGAGTTGGGAAAATGGACCTTTTCTTCAATTTTTTAAGCTATCTAAACAAGCTGTTAAGAACTTAACGCTTAAATCACATTGAGGCGGGTTAACGGTAGTTCAGCTTGTGATACTTGTATGTGGTTTTGCTTCTCTAATATACCTGAAGGGCCGAGATCACTTATGTGGTTTGACAAAATGCAATTTATGGATCGTTTGGATTTCTGACACTGCTTGAAAAAAAAAACCCCTCTTTTCAGATCATCGTGCTTAGCAGACCAAGAAGTGAGCAGAGAACAGCTCAAAAATCTGCTTCCACACCCTGATCTAGGTATAAATTGCTTGGAACAAATAGCGTATTTTTCTCCATATGCAGGGTGCACCGCTCTATAGACACAGGAAGTTAAATGTGATGAATCCTTTTTTCCTCGATTATTTGTTAGAACTATAAGAGTCTGAGTTTGTGTGTTTTTTTCCCTGGGACAAATTTACTAATCCTTTTGGTATATAATACCAACATAGTCAAGTTTCAATACACTCTTTCAAACCGTTTGATTTGGAATTTCCTTCTCTCAATTGCCCCAATTTGGAATACCGGGCAGCTGATTTCAAAAAAATGAAGACTGGTAAATCAGAAACAACGGGTAACAACAAGGAAGAAGCTTCAGAAGAAGGGCTGGACACACTTGCAAACTTGGCCATTTTAGGAGGAGAAGGTGGTGGCGAGGAGGCTTCTTCTTCTCAGGCTGCAACGACAAAGCACCCTCGACACAGACCTGGGTACACGTGCATCGTGTGCATTCAGCCTCCGAGTGGCAAGGGCCCCAAACACGAGCAGTCGTGCATGTGTACGGTCTGCCAGACAGTGAAGCGCCGGTTCAGAACCCTCATGATGAACCGCTGGGAGAAGAGGCAGCAAAAGGAGGAGAAAAGAGTGGCAGCTGAAGCCATTGCATGTAAGAAGCAGCGGCCGCCACTACCAACAACGCACGATGACCTTGCTGATAATGAGGGTGGTTCTCCAGCTTCAGGTCAAACCGCAGAACCCGACCCCACCACCACCGCTGCCACCGGGTCACCTTTCAAAGGTCAAATAATCGACCTAAACATCCAGCCGGACCGGGAGGAAGAGTTTTCAATACCCTACACACCAAGAGAGCAGCAGCAGAAGGCGGTGTCATCTTCGACCTCTGCGAGTAATGATGGTCATCGGCAGCAGCAGCAGCAGCACGAGAGAGAGGTAACATTGCCACCTCCTGGTGATGATCCTCTATCCAGAAGCGACCACGTGGCAACTGATGACACACCATCAGTTATTGAATTAAGAAGTGCAGCAGCAGACAGATCTTGCGATGACAGCATCTCATTCGGCAACAGCATATGGCTAGCAAATCGAACAGAAGCCCCTCCTGCTTCTTCTCCTGCCCCAGCTACTACCTGATACTTTCGACCGGTGGTGGCAACAGCATCCCTGGAATGGAAGTCTTGTTGTAGTTTGATGATTGTTCGTCCGGCTAGCGTATCCTGTATAGCAGCATTCTCCTCCCAAGGTCTGTACATAAAGGGGTCAGCATGGGCTGCTTGCGATTGAGACAACGGTGAAGAAGGAAAGATAGAAGGAAAGCCGCGGTAGAATTATCATGATTGTTTTCCAATAGTGGAGGGTTTGATTTACTTGAATCATTTTCGGCCTGGTAGTGAGGTTGAAGCTAAGTAGGAGTTTTGACTATTGTTAGGAACTAGGAAGGGGCTCTCCTCCACCTTCCATTCAAGAGAATGTACATTGTACTTGTCAGTGGGTGTTGTATTCTTCAGCTTGTTTGCTTGCCAGCATCCGGTTCCTACCATCACCATTGACAAAGCAAGAAAGCAGCATCAGAAGTAGACTCTCCGGTTAGTAAAATCGCCATTGGCTGAGCTCGAGAGCTGCATTTTCGGATCTAGACAGGATCATCGCGGATTGAAGGAGGGTAGTGGCGAAATGTCTCGCTAACTGATCTCTGTTCAGCTTTGAAGGGGCAACAGAACAGATAAAGCTCAAGTAGCAGAAGGACTAAGGGGATCAAGTTGAAGTCTCCTGCTGGCTTTTCCTAAAAGCATATTGTTCCTTAAGGTATGCAACAATTTGCCCATACTAGCAGTCACAGCTGATCATATTAGCAAACAAGCATAGGAACATCAAAACCAGAGAGCCACAGATCACTCCACAATAGCAACAAAGGTTTTCCATAATCGTGATATATATATCTCTTACAATGAATCAAAGAATGAATGAATCTCTCAAAACTTACTAATACTAGTACATTTTTTTTCTTCTTCAATATAGTGCCATGGAGCTCTAGGTAAGTAATCGTATTTCGCCTGTTGTTTCAGACGAGAGTAGAACAAGCCGCGGAAGCGGGGTCGAAGAGGGCAGGGAGCAGGTACTTCCTTGCGTTCACTCCATTGGCATTGTAGCTCGCCCCGGTGGTGGAATCCAGCAAAAGCTCCCCGGCGTATCCCGGATAGGCTCCCTTTCCATAGACACCGGTGCAGGCGGATGCAGCCTCCAATGGCGCCTCTTTGGGACCCTGGAAGTACCCGTTCCCAAACGGGTTGGTCGCGGTTCCGGCCAGGAGACCGGCCAGATTGATGATGATCCCGTCCATTCCGACGTCGTTGTTCGGGGAAACGAGTGGAAGGGACTGCGGGCCGTAGATTGGCTGGTGGAACGGCCACGCGCATTGCCCTGGACACTGCTTCTCCGAGTTCCCTACCCATATGTAAGCAAACTTGGACACCTTCTTCTCCCCGCCACTGATTTTCCGGGTAGCAGCAGTGCTGAAAGAAGATCCGTGGGTTCCGCACTTGCTGGAGCAGAACCCTTCCACGGCGACGTCAGAGGAAGTCAGAACCACGTTGATGGCGTTGGATTGGGCGCCTTTTGATGCCAATTGCACGATTTGCTTGGAGGAGAGGGATTTCCCCATGGAGTAACTCTCGTCGAGGATCTGGGTGGTCAGAGACAGCGAGAGCGAAGAAGAAGAAGAGTGTTTGGTGGTAGATTTGATGAGGTGGTAGTATTTCTCTGTGGATTTCCACCAGCTCCCGACGGAAGGCTGCTGCTGCTTGGAGGAAGAGGAAGATGCAGGGGAGGTGAGGGAAGCGACGAAATCGGAGACGATGGCGCGCTGGGATGGCTTGAATTTCCCGTACCAGATGAGATTGACGGCGATCTTGCCGGTGAGAAGAGCGCCATTGTGATACTGAAACGCCGTATCGTCGTCGCTACTCCCGGCAGTTTGGTCGGCGGCATTGAGCGATCTGGAGGCAGAGGAGCCCAAATGAAGCAGAGTGCAGAGGATGAGAATGTGGGGAAGGAAGCGTGTTGTTGAGGGAATCGCCATGGTAAGTTTCTATTTCAATCTCGAAAGGTGAGGAAATGAGAAGAGAGCTGAGAAGGGCAAGAAGGTGTTGTGGTGGAGAAAACTGGAACGGTGGAGTGCGGTATATATAGCTGCACCTGCTGGCTGTAGATGTTGTCGGGAAAGAGTGAGTGGATAGCCACTAATTGCCAGGCTGGCCGTAGCTCACACCATTTTGGGAACGCGTAGCAGCGTAATGTAAAAAGTGAGAAGTGGTGAGCTGTGGGAGTTGGCTTTGAGGTTTGAACAGTGGCAGGCAGGGGACCAAACCAACCAGCTAGGTGCTTACTGGAAAGCCATCAACAGAATCCAATGGATACATACAGTGAGTCGCCAGCTGGGTGACCGAATTAAAATAGATATAATAGTAATATTTTAATAATAATAATAAATAGGTCTCCAACCAGAAGACAAAATGCCAATTAATGAAGTGGCCGCCGAAAAGTACTTCACTGGATAATTTATTTGGGAATATTAGCTTAAGGGTTTGTTTACTGGTGAGGAAATTGTGTTGGGGATTGATTGGTTTTGGATTTTAGTTAAAGTGGGTCCAGGATTTTTTTGGGTGGTAAGACAGACACCAACTGGCGTCTAGATCATATTAATAATAACGCGATCCACGGAAACCCCAACGGAATCGAAGTTCAGGTAATTAATGACCTAGGTTTGGGTCGCAACACATCGAAAGAATGTGTGCCAAAAGGCTGATGGTCCTTGTCAGCCAAAAAAATCTGCTGCAAAGTTACATTCTCTAAAACAATGGGAAATTCTAACTTCCCATTCACGATCAAGCAATCTAACAATATGTTCCACAACTGCTCCATGACTATGGTTGGTGTCAATTCCTTCGATTAATGAGAGCCACGGCAGTAGATGAATCCATGTTGAGTTCCACTTTCCTAAACCCTTTCTCACACGCACGTTCGAGTCCTTCAGCCGCCTCTTGTGATTGTGCATTTGCCCAGATTGCAGGTAAAGGCATCAACACATCTGCCAAGGTGGTCCCTCAAAAGTCCTCCCGCTACTGCTCTCCCAGACAACCCATTCACAGAGACATCAATCTGGAGTTGAACCCAGCTTTCCGGAGGAGGGTGCCACGCCAATGACTACGTAACTTGGCTTCTTCTGGTAGGAAGGATGCATCTTAAGGCATTCTCACTTGCTTGTCTGTTGACCTTTATCCACGCAAGGATTCTAAAGATCGTCCCTGTTGTTGTAAATTTCTTTCCTTCCATCGCCTCTTCATTCCGCTGCTTTCAAAGAATCCAGCAGATAAGGCCGATCTCCACCCCATTGTCCTCTGCTTTGAGATTTTCTCACAACCAAGTTTGAAAATCCACAGTTGGTGAGGTGACTTGAAGCTTGTCTTTGAAGTGTCTCCAGACCCCTTCCGTTCTTTTACTTCTTCTTAAGATATGTTCAGGATTGTTTCAGATCTCGCGGATGACTTTCTCAAGCGTGATAATGTCGACCTTGAAAGAAGTCGTCACCTATCCATCGATTTTGGTAAGAGATCGTACGATGAAGTATGGCAAGTTCCATCTCTCTTGACTAAAGCAACAAGGCTTTGAACATTCCTATCATAAATGTAGGATACTAGCCGGGATTATAAACTTCTCCTCCCTTAGAGGATTGCCTAAATTCATTGATGATTCAGGACTCACGAAGTAGAGAATGAAAAATTATCGGGGTGAGCTTGGAGAATGAGTGATCTAATAGTCATCATTACAAAGGGTAAGATGGAAAGTAGGGTTTGGGGGGAGAGATTTGGGTGTCTACGCACATTTCTATACGATAGTTAATACACTTTTTAAATCGACTATAAATCTTCAGTGGATTATATCTCATTGGTGTTACATTGAATTTCAAAAAAAATTGCGTAAAATATAATTTTTTGTGCTTTGAATGATAATATCCCTAACAATCGATTAATTGACCACGAACAAACAAGAGGTCAAATAGTGGTATTATGTGGTCGACAGTTGAGTCTAAAAAAGTACACAAAAATAATACAAACCACGAACAGAGAAGTTGTTTATCGTTGATTAAGTATAGTCGACCTGTTGACCCTAAAAATGTCAAATAAAACTAACAAATATCCATAACAGAGAGGTCTACCGATAAAATTAGGTGGGGAATCTTTTCAGCCTTATCTTCCTTACCTCAAGCCAACGAAGTCGAGAGGGTACCATAATTCCAAAGAGTCATGTGATTGTTCAATATTAGGTGGGGGATCTGTGTGCAAATTATGATATGAACATAGAGACTAGTGAGCCGCTCAAAGAAGAGGTCAACTAATTGAGGATACATAACTTAAACTAACATTGCCGACAATGTGCCCTTGAATTAGTCGACGGTCTAACAATTTGGTCGATTTGTCAATATAAAGGTACCTCACAATCAAATCTTTTCTTCTTCACCAAACTCTAAACCTAGAAGAATATGATTATCCAAGTGTATGAATGATAAATCTAGAACTTCTATGCTTATATTACACACTCATGCTGAGATTAAGTCGGATTAAATGGTAAGAAATTCCATCTTTACTACTAACACCAATCTATAGTTGGAATCCCTTTACCGTGTAATCACTGAAAAATCTTTCGTGCTATCGATCGATCGTATTTTTCCTTAGTCGACAGGGGTCCAAGTTCAATACTTGCAAAATAATATTATAGCGGTCGAATGATGTATTTATAAGGTGGATCGTTTCTTTAACACAGCAAAACGAAAAATAATACACCAATCGACTAGTTGCTTTTTTCCTGGTTGACCGTTTTTTCCAAATCACTTAAAAACATATCCCTAAAAAAGTTGCAAACAAAGACTATATATGAACAATCAAACATCAAAACTAGATAACCACAAATCTTTTCTATAATCGTGATATTGTCTCTTACAATGAATCAAAGAATCAATAGAACTCTCAAAACTTCTAATACTAATACAATTTTTTCACCATATGTATCATGGAGCACTAGATAAGTAGTATTTTCCTCCTTTCATTCGATCATACAAGAGTAGAACAAGCTGCAGAAGCAGGGTCAAACAGGGCAGGGAGCAGGTACTTCCTGGCGTTCACTCCATTGGCATTGTAGCTCGCCCCTGTTGTAGAATCCAGCAAGAGCTCCCCAGCATATCCCGGGTACGCTCCCTTTCCATAAACACCAGTGCAGGCAGATGCAGCCTCCAATGGCGCCTCTTTCGAACCTTGAAAGTACCCGTTCCCAAACGGATTCGTCGCGGTTCCAGCCAACAAACCAGCCAGATTGATGATGATCCCGTCCATTCCAACATCATTGTTCGGGGAAACCAGAGGAAGGGACTGCGGCCACGCGCATTGCCCTGGGCACTGCTTCTCCGAGTTCCCTACCCATATGTAAGCGAACTTGGACACCTTCTTGCCGCCATTGATTTTCCGGTAAGCAGCAGTGCTCAGAGAAGACCCGTGTGTCCCGCACTTGCTGGAGCAGAACCCTTCCACAGCGACGTCTGAGGAAGTCAGAACGACGTTGATGGCGTTGGATTGGGCGCCTTTTGATGCCAACTGAACGATTTGCTTGGAGGAAAGGGACTTCCCCATTGAGTAGCTCTCATCGAGGATCTGGCTGCTCAAAGACAGCGAGAGCGAAGAAGAAGAGTGTTTTGTGGTAGATTTGATGAGGTGGTAGTATTTCTCAGTGGATTTCCACCAGCTCTGGACTGAGGGATGCTGCTGCTGCTTGGAAGAGGATGCCGGGGAAGAGAGGGAAGCGACGAAATCGGAGACGATGGCGCGCTGGGACGGCTTGAAATTGCCGTACCAGATGAGATTGACGGAGATTTTGCCGGTGAGAAGAGCGCCGTTGTGATACTGAAACGCTGTATCCTCGTCGCCGCCGGTGACGGCGGCATTGAGCGATCTGGCGGCAGAGGAGCCCAATAGAAGCAGAATGCAGAGGATGAGAATGTGGGGAAGGAAATTTGTTGAGAGAATCGCCATGGCAAGCTTAATATTTAGAATCTCGAAGGTGTGGAAATGGGTAAGAGCTAAGAAGGGCGAAAGTGGATGTTGGAGATGGTGGTGGAGAAAACTGGAACAGTGGGCTGCGGTATAAATAGCTGCAGAGGTGGAATGGAAGAAAGGAGTAGGGAAAGAGTGGAGGGCAACTAAGTGGCGGACAGCTGGGTCGTCGTAGCCATTACTGGGCAGCAGGGTATTTACTTTGGGAACGCGGTAGCGTAAAAGAAGTGGTAAGAAGGGGGATGGGTTTTGGTGCTGCCATGGAAATTTTGGACCAGGCCAGCTAGTAGCTTGCTGGAGCCTTCAACGGAATCCTATGGATGGGCGAGGCATGGGAAAGAAAGGGTTTACAGTGAGACGCCAGCTGGGGAAATCGAATTCGAATTAAATTAGGTGATAGGAGGAAGAAGACAAAATATGCCAACTGATGGCGCGGCAGCCGAAAAGTACTGGACCTGGTGCACTGGATAATTTTATTGGGATTTTTTTTTATATGAGAATATGAATTAAATACTTTAAAAAATATTGAATTATCCGTTCATTGAAATATGGGTAAATGTCACATTTGGTCACTGAGATTACTAAATCGTGTCATGTTTAGTCATTAGAAAAACTTAATATCAATTTTGGTCACTCGAATTATTGAAACATGTCACATTTAGTCGCTCTCGCGTTAACCTCTGTCCAACTCCGGTCATTCGAATTACTAAAACATGTCACATTTAGTCACTCGAATTACCGAAACGGTTCACATTTAGTTCACATTAATAGAGTTGGACGGAAACTAACGGGAGAGTGACTAAATGTGACCTGATTCAGTAATTCGAGTGACCAAAATTGATATTAAATTTTTCTAGTGACTAAACATGACACAATTCAGTAGTCTTAGTGACCAAATGTGGCATTACCCTTGAAATATGTAAGAGATGTTACATTATTTTGTTTAAAATTTGATAATGTATTTGAAAAAAATTTCACTAAAATAATATCATTTATTGCTTTATCAACATTTTGAATATACAATTATTAAGAAATCGTTGTTCTTCCAGTCTCGCTCCTACTTTCACTCACAACCATCTAAAGTAACCCGGCCAACGGAACGGTTCAAAACTAGTTAGTTGTTAATTGTTATGCACACTTTTTTTTTTGTCTTTTCTTTCCCTCAATACCTCAACTAGCAACAAGGAAAAGCAAAAGGAACAACGGTAAGGTTGGCGAAGCAATTTTTGGGCTAGCGTCCTGGATTTGTGTGGGCAAATATATGTTGGCCCAAATAACCCCTTCATCTATTTTGGAGGGGCCTATGTTTTTGTTCGGTCGAAAACTGTATAAACTATCCGAGCTTTGGATTATGTTAGCATACAAAAGCTATACTCATATGTAACACAAGCATATGAGAGAATAGAAATCACATGGTCGTTGAAAAATGTGTAACACAAGCATAATCGATATGGAAGATCGATTGGCCAACAAGCTAGGTACAAACTAGTTAGTATTGTCAATATTTGCTTTATTTTATGATGTTCGATTCAAAACCATCACATGAGAGATCCCACGAAGACAATTATGTTACTGTTGTTGAATGTGACATTCCAATGAGTTTTGAGAAATGCCTTAAGTCCTTAATAACATCTAAAGCCGAAAGATTAATTATAACTTTTAATACCAAGTCAATCTAAGTACAATCTGGTCTGTCTCCGTAAAAGTTGAAATCAGTTCGTCGATACGTTTAAGTCCGTATTCATCTTCTCCCTCATCGTCACCCTGTTCTTTAACGGGCTTTTTAACAATCTAAAGCCGAAAGATTAATTATAACTTCTAATACCAAGTCAATCTAAGCACAATCTGGTCTGTCTCCGTAAAAATTGAAATCAGTTCGTCAATACGTTTAAGTCCGTATTCATCTTCTCCCTCATCGTCACCCTCTTCTCTAACGGACTTTTTAACAATCTTCACGTTTTTCAACTGATGACGCCAACATCTGTGGCCACCTGTCCGGCACTCACAAGATCTTCTTTCCTTAACAAACTTACATAGGTGATAGAAGCACTTGTAAGCAGCTTTATTACACTTACGAACGGTTCTTCTCACCAGAAACTCATATAGATACTGCATATATCAACAATCAGGAGAGGATTAATTCACTTCCCACAGTGTATTCTAGCAACAAATTAGCTTTACTTAGCCAACAAAAAACAACAAAAAACATGAGAAAATAAAGCTCTACACACCAACCTTAAACGTTGTACTCCATATCTCTTGAGTACAACATTGCGTTAAACGCAGATATTTTGGATGACAACTCCACAGCAGACAGACCAAAAAAGCTTCATTCTCGCCGTCCGGTTCGCCGTCTATTCCACCCTCGAATTCAACACAGTGAACAGCTACCGCCGGCGAATCGTCGTTGATTCGGTTCCAATCAAAGGACGCCTGCAATGCAAAAAACATACGGTAAGAAACAAGATTCTATAATAGCACACCTAGCCACTCAAAAAATTTGAGTGTTTCATTACCTTGCCTAGGCGACAATCGAAGCAGAGCTCAACCAATCGGAACCGGCTGCTTGTTTTCGCGAGGAAGCACTTCAAGTCTGCAAACTCTCTGTTCCTCAGGATCTGGGGAGTAAACCTGATGTGGGCACGGCACAAGCTAGCTGCTGGTTCGAGATTATTCGTAGCAGCAGCAGCAGCATAGCCAATCGATAGCAATGCATCTTCCACATAGCCACTGTATTGGGCGTCGACCAATTTGGGGGCGTCGATATGAACAGGCATCCCTTTGGGGTAGGGACAAGCAAGCTCCAAGTGCTCGAGATTCGGGCTCAGAATCCTGAGCTCGTCGACGCGAGGCAGGTCGTACAAATAGAGCCACTGAAGAGATGGGCAGCCGCCGGAGATCAATTCGTAGAGAACTGCATCCGTCAAGCTGGGAGCACGGCCGATGAGGAGCGATCTCAGGTTCGGAGGCGGAGGAGATGCGTCGAGGTCGCCGTGGATCGAGTCTTCCAATGTTAGGGTTTGCAGAGAGTTAACCCCTTTGATCTGAATCAATTTGGTAAAGGGGCAGCTCCGTACGGTGATTGACTTCAGGTTCGTGCGATCGCAAATTTGAAGCCTCCCTGATTCTTCCGATCCCTTGTTCCTGCTATACATCGAACCCAGATTCAAATCTTCCAGCAGAGGGGCGCCGGCGATGACGTCGTTGAGAAGTCGGTCGTCCTCGACGGCGAAGCGGGTCAGAGAGAGCACCCTGAGATTGACCATTGGATGGAGACAGCAACAAGATCTCTCGAAACTACAGCCGCTGAGTTTGAGAATCTCGAGATTGGTTAATTGGGAGGGGAGGAGTACCGATTGATGTCCGAATTCGAACTTGATTTCGAGCTCTGTCGGCGGCGGGCGCGCGCCGATCATGTTCAACAAGGCTGTTACGAAATTTGAGAGGGGTACCCCGTAATAGCTTCCGACATCGATCCGCAGCGCTTCCACATGGTGGCCAGGGAGCTGTTTCTCGGCGGCGGCGATGAATCGTTGCAGGAGTGGCCTTACCGATCTGGAACTAGGAATGTGGAATTCTAGGGTTGGGTACGGGCGCCAGAGGCGGGTCCATCTTCTGGACAGGACGGTGGCTCTGGCGGCTTCGTTTGTCGAGGGTAGGCGCGCCATGATCTCTTGGATGATCTCGTCCGGTAACGCGGATAGTCGGTCGTCTTCTCCCCTCCGGCCGGCGCCGGCGTCGCAGAGGAGGGGCTTCATTTTGACTGGTCGGTTACACACTTACACTAAACAACCAGAATCTATGTTTATGTTGAGCACTTCCAATATCTTAGCGTTTTAAAGTACAATTTAAAGTTTTACTATACAATACAAATACGCAGCGAATCTTTCGGATCTTTTATTTGGCGATCCTCGTGCAAGCTAAAAATAGATGTACTCTCGAGTCGCTAGGTTCCTATAGGCCGTGGTCAACGAGAACTTATAATCACTTGTTCACTTTGTTGGATCATATCACGGCGTGCGTTGGGATCGATGGTTGATTTGACATTAAAAGTACAAATCAAATTATATAATAAGAGGATTTGTATTTTATGTTATAATATAACTTGTACAAAATCAAATTGTATCATAACAGAATTTGTACCGTAATATAAAAATACAAATTCAAGTTGTATACAACTTTAAGTTTCCAAAAAAACTAAAATATCAACATTGTATACAAATTCAAGTTGTATACAACTTTTAACACATTGTAAATTCCTCCTACAATCACCCGACCCCTCACTTCCCTAACCCTCCATCGTCGGCGCCATTTCCAATCCACCTCTGCCGGCCGCCGCAACCCTAGACATATATGGAAATTGGAAAGAAACCCATCTGCCCATATCACCATAAACACCAAATCAAACATGGCTCTGCCTAGTTCCCGATTCCGAAAGACCCATCAACACTCCAATACTTCACAGTTCACCCACATCAACCAACGAACCCCACAAATCCAAGTGAAGCTAACCCTCGATCTCGGCGACCGATTCCTTAGATCGACTGCGAACAAAACTACGATGCATCGTCCTACAACAAGGGAAGAGAAGGTGGAGAGGAGGCAGCCAATCGCTCATGTATCCGATGCTCTGCTCACAAGGGAATGGGTTGGCAACTTGGCCGTCAGTGGGATGTCAATGAGGGAATTAAGAGAAAGAAGAAGCAGGTCCAGAAGAAAGGGTAGGGATGAGTTGAGTTGGGTTGGGTTGGCTTGTATGACGTGGAGGGTTTATGGCAATGTTGTCAGAACCGAACCGGAGTATGACCCGGTAACATGAACGGCTCGGTCTTTAGTGGTCCAGCCGGCATTAGACCGTTTAAAACCCGTTTGAGAACCGGTACCTAATAAATAGTCATTTGTATAAATAGTAAACACTTCTTAATCATGGTATCAGTTCCCACCCAACTCTTCTCCATAGACAATTAACTTCAATATATTTATCACTCTTACTCTGCCGTTAGTCCCACAGAGAGACAATAATCCTACTCCTACACAAAAAGGGACATGGCCCCTGGAACAAATGTAATTTACACAAGCAAAGCAGAAATGATGTAGAGAGCTACCCATCACTTGAAATTTGTTCTTGTCCATTGCACGTACCTGAGAGACTCTCGAAACTTTAGTTTCCCAAATACCCAATCTGAAAGTTACTCTTTCTTTTTCGTGGTTCTTATCAGTTTACAATTTGTTCATGAAATTTGACAACCAACAACAGAACCAGTTTCTAGTTTTCTTAACTCATTCTTTGTTAGCTAGATGTATACTACAGATGGAAAAGACATGATGACTATGTGATGCAGACAGGTAATAAGGAAAGCTCACGAAAGAGAAAGCAAGTATACACAATAATAACACCGGCCAAATTAACAAAAAAGTCGCACCTTTCAGACCAAATTAGAATCAAGAGGAGGAAATCTACAGCGCTATTCTATGGATATCATATACACAGAGACATGAGGAAGACAAATAGAAAGTAGAAAGAAAAAGGAGAACAGGGGTTATTAGAAACCTGGAAGCAGAGTGTCTATGGACAGAAGGGGTCGATGCAGGGGAGAGGCAGCCGTGACCGGAGAAGGGAGAAGGGAGACCTCACCGGCCGGCCGTTGCGCTCGCCGGCAGGAGCGGGGAACGAGCCGCCGAAGACGACGACTATGGAGACGGGCGACGGGGGAGTGGCGTCGAGCGATGGCGAACGGCGACGACGTCGAGCGATGGCGAACGGCGACGACGTCGAGCGATGGCGAACGGCGACGGCGTCGAGTGATGGTGAACGACGACGGCGTCGGGCTACGGGGAACGGCGGCTGCGGAGGAGGAAGCTGCTTCTCCTTCGTGTCTGGCTGTCTACGCGAAGAGGAAGAATGAAATTAGGGTTTCAGCACAGTAGCCTCCCCTTTCATTTTCGATATTTTAGTTTTTTTTTTAATTAAAGCAACCGGCCCAAAGGTAAAAAACCGGGCGAGCGGCTCGAGCGGTTCAAACGGTTAACCGCTTCGGCCGCTCTCCGGCCGCCCCAAATAACCACTCCGGCTAAATAGTTGAGTCGAGCCGGTTTTATGGGCGGGTGGCGGTTTTGGCGGCTCGGCCGGCCGGCTCGGCTCGGCTTTGACAGCACTGGTTTATGGCGTGGCAGCCTGGCAGGTGATGTGTCGAGTTAAAATTGGGTGAATCGGTGTTTATGTTAGCCACGTCTGCAAAATATTGACGGTGTCAACGGAGACTGATGGAGAGTGACCAAACTTGAAATGTGTAACTAATTCTAGTGACCATGAACGGAATTAAATATTTTTAGTGACCAAACATGAACGTTTTTAGTCATTCAAGTGACCAACCTTGCAATTTACCCATGAGTGTTCCTTTTTATGATTTTTTTTGGCATTGAATTCAAACAATAATTGAACATGCAATGGATTTCACTCTTTTATTAGCACTTTGCTTAGTTAAGTCGTTACAAAAGCTAGTCATATTACACCGGAGTTTAAAAATTGAATCATACCGACTATCCTAACTGAAAAATCACCTTTCGGAGTATAAGTTGTAAGGCGGTTTTTAGAAAAATATAAAATGGTTGGATTACAATTTTAGTATAAAATACTTTACCACTGACTTTTTAGTAGACCTCCGATACGATTTTACAATTCTTGCATTACTCTTGGTGTTGTAAGTGCATGGAGATAATAAGTTAATGTTTCATGAAAATTAAGAATGAAGAACAAGAAGAGTATGGAATTTCTTTGGAGAACTATGGTAAAAAAAAAAGTGGGGTTTTTTATTTTTGACAATGGGTAAATTTCATTCATGAACCGATTGTAGTACAAGCAAAGCCATTTACAACAAAGGTGAAATAAGATCTAGGATTTGAATCCATTATGTGAAGTGATCCTTTTGCTATTTTTTTTGCAACCCAGTCCACACTTTTGTTCATTCTTCTTGGTGTAAAATCAACAGTCATTAGACTCTAAGATCTGTATGATGCAATGGATCCATGACCTCACTTGACATTGCCCTGTTGTGTTTTGGCCCTTGCCGCATTAATGAGAACTTGGCAATCCGAAAATACACTTGCAGTGAGTCCTGATGACTGTGCGAATCTAAGAGCCGTTAAAAGTGCCTTTGCTTCCGCTACAATCGTTGATGAACAAAACAAAGTCCCAACCCTTCCGTCAATTACGTGTTCATGATTGTTTCGAAAGGCAACACCATATGCCGCCAATTGGGATTCCGAGCAAAAAGTTTCATCACAGTGGATCTCCAACTGGGATTTCCTGCGAGTGGATCAATAATTGTACGATTGGGGGGGGGTGCTTGGGTAGAGATGGAGACAAGCCTCCATTGACTGATCGTTGGTGAATGTCGCTCCAGTCATTGAAAGCAATCTTTGTAAAATTGTACCAAAAGTTATACCGAAAAAGTTAATGATAGCGTATTTTGTACTAAAAGTGTGGTTGAGCAGTGGTTCAATCGCCTATCATTTACGATTCGGTATTCGGTATTTTCGGTTTTACCGACCGGTACGGTATGGTTTCTTAAACCGTGATTGAAAGAGGCATGACCCTGACAGGATTTTGTGGTTTTTTTTTGACAAAGAGAGAGCTTTATTCAAAAGAGATTGTGTTACAAGCACAGCCTTTTACAGCAGAGGAGAAACAATGTCCAGAATGTGGATCCAATCAGCTGGAAGAGATCCTTTACAGGCCTCTCTAGCCACCCAATCAGCCATCTTGTTACAAGCACGGGGAACAAAATCAACTCTGATTCTATCGTTCTGAGAAATGATAGTGCGCATACAATGGATCCAGGACATGATTTGCCAGGGACCTCTCAAAGAGGGAGAGTGCAGCACATCAGTGATAGTTTTACAGTCAGAGCATATTCTTGCCGAGAGCCCAGAATCATCAGCCACTATGAGTGCAGTAAGTAAGGCCTTAGCTTCTGCCACAATCGCTTCTGAACAAAACAACGTATCAGCCCTTCCGTCGATCACTTGCCCAACAGAGTTGCAGACAACAACGCCGTAAGCCGCCACCTGCGATTCCGAGACAAATGCTCCATCACAGTGTAATTCCAGTTGGAACATACCAGGCGGTGGGTTAAGGTTCAGACGGGGATGGATAGGCTGATTTCCAGGGGAAGGGACAGAGGTTTGAGGGTTAACACTCCAATCTGAGGCATAGCGGATAGCATTTGAGATGGTAGTGAAGCCCCTCGGACGAGTCCCTCTGAAAACAAACTCGTTTCGGGCATTCCAAATTGCCCAAAGGGAGGCGATTAAAGCCTTCACAGGGAATGAGGAGGTGCCTAACGAGAATTGGTAGAGCCACATAAGTATTGGCATAGACTCGGAGGGGAGCTGGAGCCCTGCAAAGTACAAATGCCAGACGTGGGAGGCATGGGGGCATTCAAAAGCAATGTGCCTCACATCTTCAACATCATTCTGACACATTGTACAAGACGGAGAGCTAATGACTTTTCTGAACCAGAGATTCCGCATTGACGCAACAGCGTTCCGCGTTAGCCTCCAAATGAAGTTCTTGATCTTAGGAGGGAGAGACAGGCTCCACAGCCATTTCCAAGCTTGTTCTGTGCAGCCCGGATGATTAGGGTCAGGGGTTCCTAGTCTCTCTTTCTCAGCTTTCCGGAAGATATGGTAAGCTGATCTAACTGTGAATCGTCCGGATTTCTCGTGATGCCAAACCCAGGAATCCTCAGTTTCGGTTGAGCCACAGGGGATGCGCCTGATCGCCTCGACTTCCTGTACAGAGCAGCTTTGACGAATCATGTCAAGGTTCCATTCGTTCACGTCATTCATAACCCATTCGAAGGCTTTAAGCTGCTGTCTTTGATTATGATGGAGACGAAAATTCGGGATGCCTGGGATCCAAGGGTCTTTGTCAAGGTTGATGCTTCTCCCATTGCCCATATTCTTCCTAGCGCCAAGTTTTAGCACTTCTTTGGCTTCACAGATGCTCGCCCAGATCCAAGAAGGTTTCCTGCCTTTTCCTGCATCCAGAAAATCAGTGTTAGGAAAATAAATACCTTTGAGGAGCTTAATCCATGTCTCCTCCTTTCCGTTGAGGATTCTCCATCCTTGTTTAGCCAGCAAAGCCATGTTGAACTGATGAAAGTCTTTGAATCCCATTCCTCCCTCTTGCTTTGCTGCCGTTAGGACACTTCCTTTTCGCCAATGTATGGTTCCTTTGTCCATGCTCCCTCCCCAGAAGAAGACCTTAAGCTTAGAGTCCATGATACGAGTGGTGCCTTTTGGGAGGAGGAAACATGACATCATGTAAGTCGGGTAGCTTTGGTAGATGGATTTCAGGAGGGTTTCTTTCCCCGCTTGGGAGAGAGCAAGGCTTTTCCAAGATTGACCAAGACCTTCCATTCTTGAAATCAGAGAAGAGAACACTTCTTTTTTTGAGCGGCCCCATTCAGATGGGACTCCCAAGTATTTCCCCATCCCTTCTGAAGATGGGATGTTCATGAAGCTGGCAATTTGGTTTTGTAGGGCAATCGGAGTGTTATTGATGAAAGTGATTGCTGATTTCTCGTTGTTGATGATCTGGCCTGTAAGGATCCCATACTTCTCAATAGTATCCTTGATGAGGGCAGCTTCGTTGATAGAAGCCTTTCCGAAAATGATGGTGTCATCTGCAAAAAGAACATGCGTAAGCCTAGGACAACGGGGGTTAAGAGTAATCCCCTTGAATAGACTGTCATTCACGTTCTTATCGATCAGACAAGCAAGAGCATTAGAGAGGATGATAAAGAGAAGAGGGGATAGAGGGTCTCCCTGGCGAATTCCTCTAGAAGGCTGAAAGAAAGGGGAGGGATGCCCGTTGAAGATGATAGAGAAACGCACAGTTCGCACACATTCCTTTATCCAGACACACCATTGGGTAGCAAACCCCATTGCCCTCAGGATATCCTCCAAACTGTCCCATTCGACCATGTCGAATGCTTTTTTCATATCAAGCTTGATCATCATATCCCAGTTGCCTCCTTTGGGTCTGGTCTTGAAATGATGAAGCACTTCATGAACAATGATGATATTGTCCTGGATAGCCCTGCCTCCCACGAAGGCTGCTTGCATCTCCGAGATAATGGTAGGCATCCATTGCTGCAATCTTGAAGCTAGAACCTTCGAGATGACCTTGTAACGAAAATTACAGCAACTAATCGGTCTGAACTGGGAAATTCTTTCTGGGCTTGCCACTTTTGGTGTGAGGATCAGATGCGTATCATTCCAATATTGCGGCATTGAGTTATTCTCAAAGAAGTTCTTCACTTCCGTGCAAAGCTGGCTGCCAACAGTTTCCCAATAATTCTTGTAGAAGATTCCTGGGAAACCATCAGGTCCAGGAGACTTAGTTGAACCCAACTCAAACACAGCAGATTTAATCTCAGAATCATCCACCGGTCTGCAGAGTGTCGAGCTCATGAGGTCATTAACCACCGAGGGGATGATGTGAATTAACTCATCATTGCTCACTGCATCTCTTTTTGTGAATAATCCAGAATAGAAGTCCATCACATGCCGTTGAAGTAATGTATGAGATTCAATCCAATCATTGTTCTCATCCATAAGCTTTGCAATATTGTTACGTAAGCTTCTCTGGATAGTAGTAGCATGAAAGAATCTGGAGTTGCAGTCCCCAGTATGCAGCCATTGAATTCGGGACCTTTGTTTCCAGAAAATTTCCTCTTCAATCCAGAGTTTGATGATCTCAGCTTCCAGAGTTCTTACCTCCTCCTCAAATAGAGGGTCATGAGTTAAGTCTGATATCTCTTCAAGCCTTCTTTTAATGCTTCTGATTCTAATTGCAGCATTATATATGTTTACTTTGGCCCAATTTTGAAGCTCCATTCTGCATTCCGAAAGGCTGTTTTGATGATTACCTCCCTTAGCCCAAATCTCTTTAATAATGGTGCCACAGTTTTCGTATTGTAGCCATCTTTGATCAAAACGGAAGATAGCATTTCGGGACTTCTTGATACCATGAATTTCCAACCGAAGCGGGCAATGGTCAGAACCAACCATTGGTTCATTGAAGATGAAAGCATCAGGGAAATCTTCTCTCCACTTCAGGTTACAAGAAAGATATAGGACAGGTAAAGAGGGGGAAAGACCAGGTCAACTAAACCCCAATCCAATTAACCCCTTCCTTTTTTACCTTTACAAAATGGGTGGAAAAGAAAAGAAATGTAAGAAGGGTGTCATTTTTTACCAAGCCTTTTTTTACCGCCTCCTAACAATCACTGGTCTCATATTAAACCTCCCTCTCTTGCCTTCTTCCTTCCCTCCCCTGGCCTTCCTCTCAAACCCAAAAGAGAAAATCTCCCATCTTCTGTTTTGCAAGAACACAATTTCTTGCTTCTCACGTCACCTCTCTCTCTTCCTCCTCATCAACCCTGAAGAGGAAGATAGTTTGATGACAATTATTGTTAATTAATTAACAATTAACATTATTCATTGGAGGGGATTTCTAAAAAAAAATTACAGCAAGATGAATGACCTTTTCTCAAATTCATTCAAGAAGTACACCGATCTGAGGCAGCAGACTCAGATGGACGACTTGGAGGCCGGGAAGGAGAACTCGAACCTCGACAAGTTCTTCCAGGACGTCGAGAACATCAAGGACGACATGAAAACAGTGGAGAAGCTGCAGAAGGCTCTGCAAGAAACCAACGAGGAATGCAAGACCGTGCACAATGCCAAGACCGTGAAGGCCCTGAGGGCCAAGATGGATGCCGACGTCGGTCAGGTCCTGAAGCGGGTCAAGCTGATCAAGGGCAAGCTGGAAGCGCTGGACAGGTCCAACGTCGCAGCACGCAACGAACCGGGCTGTGGACCCGGCTCGTCGGCAGATCGAACCAGGACGTCTGTTGTTGGCGGGTTGGGGAAGAAGCTCAAGGACCTGATGGACGATTTCCAGAACCTGAGGGCCAAGATGGCGGCCGAGTACAAGGAGACCGTGGAGCGGAGGTACTTCACCATCACGGGGGAGAAGGCGAGCGAGGAGCTGATCGACGACCTGATCTCCAGCGGGGAGAGTGAGAGCTTCCTCCAGAAGGCCATCCAGGAGCAGGGCAGGGGTCAGATTCTCGACACGATAGCGGAGATCCAGGAGAGAAACGACGCGGTGAAGGAGATCGAGAAGAACCTGATAGAGCTGCATCAGGTGTTCCTGGACATGGCCGCGCTCGTCGAGGCTCAGGGCCACCAGCTCAACGACATAGAGAGCCACGTCGCGCACGCGAGCTCGTTCGTACGACGTGGGACAGAGCAGCTCCAGGAGGCCAGGGAGTACCAGAAGAGCTCCAGGAAGTGGACCTGCTATGCAATTATACTGGGGATTGTGTTCATAATTCTCCTTCTACTCCCCCTCGTGCCATCCATCATAGCTCTCATACGTAGCAGCAGATGAAGGGAGGGAAAACAGAGAAAGGAACACTTCCGCCCATTTGGTGTTTGCCCTTTGAAGCCTTGTTATTTTTTTACTTCTTGGCTTCGAGAACAGAGGCAATGCTACCACTTTCTTCTTGTGCACGAAAGAGGAAGAGAAATCAAGAGCATCAAGGTTGGCTTGGCTTGTGTTAACTGTTAAGACGGTGGTGTAGGGGAAATAGACCTAAGCATGATGTAAAGTGTTTGTAACAGCAAATTAGAACTCTTCCCCTGTTTAATTGACCAAAATTTTCATGTCATTTCTAAGTAGCAATATATGATTACATTGAAACATGGAAGCAAAGAAACAGCTAGGGAAGGCTCGTTTACTCTGCAAACGCACGAGAGCATCATCCAACAGTTGCTGTACATTCTTGCATTTGCATAAGAAATGGGGACTCTTCCACTCTTAGCCCTAAGCCAAATTGTGCAAGAGGAAAAACAGACAGTTATCTGCATTCTGTGAAAACGACCACAGACAGTTATCTGCAGTTCATAAGTTACCTAGATTCTGAGATCGAAAAGGACCCTCTTTTTGGCGCATTTAAATTGGACTAACATTAGTACTACATAAAGAAGTAGGAAAAACTCGCCAAAAACCAATATATGAAAGAATGTTGGAGCAATAGGACATTACATTTACCAACAAACCCATATGAAGCATTAACAATATGAGAACAATGAAGAATCACTCCAGAATTGGTACAACATACTTTGTTTCCCTCAACCCAAGCTCGCCTGCAGCATTTGCAAAACATATTAAGCTGTTGGGAAGTCTGGCTGGCGACTTCCCAACGCATCAACATCAAAGAAGGGAACAAATATTTAGCACGAAAAACAGACGAGATCATGGTGAATAATGTACATATAGGTTTTCTATGCTCAGCCGGGAAGCCAGTTTTTTCAAGTACCAGAGCTGGGTAAAGCTGCCATGAACGAATTGTACGAGGACTCGAGATCGAAGTGAAGTTGCCTAGACTGCTGCTCTGTCAACTCATCCGAAGCCCCCATCTTGGACAGCCTAGAAATCCACTCTCTCATCTTGGTCTTCCCTTCAAAGTCAGGGGGCAAAATGCTGAGCTTGTTGAGTGAAGCCGAGAGATCTGACAACAGAGGATGCACCTGGTCCACGGCCACCATATTCAACTTCAACGAATCCATAGCCGTGATGAAATTCTGGACACATTCCGCAACTGTTGCAGCCGAAGTAGTGGCGGTGGCAGCAGCAGAAGCCCTGTGTTCGACCGTGGCAGGCACCCCAGAAGTCACCAAGCGGTTTATAGCAGCCGGGCAGTCCATCTTGTAAGTGTCAGCAAACCGCTCAATGCTGGGGACAGTGTCCTTCAGAGCAGAAGCCAAGGTCTTGAAATGAGCAATGAGCTTCTGGCACTCGGTCTCATAATCAGATGAGTTGATGATGTCTCGAACATAAGCCTTCTCCAACTTCTCCGTAGCCTTGATTATGGCATAGAGCTCGGCAAAGTTCTCGTACATCTCTCGCTCACGCTTATCATTCCATAGCTTGACCTCCATTTCTTTTTTCTGGTTTCGATAGAGTTGAGCACTCCCAAAACTTGGGTAGGTTAGCAGGATTAGGAAGGTGGAAGAGATTTGGAGAAGAGAATGGGACACGCGCAAAAGAGCACTAGCCCTCTTCACTGAAACAAATCAACAAACAGGTAGAGTTCACAAAATTAGAACCCGGCAAACCCCTTCCAGATACTGCACCAATCAAAACCATAATTACAAGCAACAAGAGCAATAGCAGCACATATTCCGCTCCTAAAATCACATTCCATTCAGAAGGGAAGCCAAAAGGGTAAGAAATTTGAATCACACAAACGGATTGTTGCCATCGAACAGAGTATACAAGATTTCAAACCTATCGAAACAAAAGAACAAAGGAGTGAAAGCAAAGCACAGAACTTTCCCCCAGTTCTGCAATCCAATCTCCCGGATTCGACGAACCCAATCCAGCAAATACAATGCACAGGCAAAATTCACCGTTTTCCAAGCTCAACAGATACAGATCAACAAAGGGTTCACGGAATTGTAAACGAACAAACACCTAGAAGAAGAAAACCTAGGGGGAAAAAGCGAAAGATATTTTGTTTTTTCCTTTTCTTTTACCTCAGATCATCATAAGGGGAAAGCTGCGGAACCAAGACAAACAGAGGAAGGCGGAGAGGGAAAACAAATTATAAAGAGATGCGTGCTGGGAGGAAGAGAGAGAGATAGGGCCACTTACAGGTAAGGAGGAGGTGAAGAACGCGGCTTTGAATGACGTGAAAGAGGGCCTCTCTCTTCTGTAACTCTTTCTTTCTCTCTTTTTCTTTCTTTCCCCGACGCTGTTAGTTCCCGAACATAATTTTTTGAGCCCCTCGAAAAAGAAAATATGTGTTGTATCAGTCCATGTACTAAGTTTAATTGTCATTTTAGACCTCGGAGTACTATTGTGTTGATAAGTTGGTCGGAAATATTTAGCCACTTGGATCATATGATCATTGGGATGGGTTAGCATGCTAACCTACACTAAATATATTCTCTCTCCCTATATCTGATTTTTCCTTTTTCAGCAGCCTCTGACCACCAGACTTCCTCCGACCGCTACACTTCTCCGGTGAAAATCTCATCGGCAGACTCCCTCCGACCACCTGCAAAAAATATACCACTGCACTGATACGTTGTACCACTACACTGGTAGCTATACCACTGCACTGGTAGTGATATCAGTGCACTGGTACCAATGTCATATATGAGTATCAGTGCAGTGGTACAAATACCAGTACAGTGGTACAACATATCAGTGCAGTGGTATATTTTCGCAGGTGACCGGAGAGAGTATGTCGGCGGATTTTACCGGCGAAATGTGGTGGTCGGAGAAAACTTGGTGGTCGGAGGCTGCCCGGAAAGGAAGAATAGAGATAGGAGAGAGAAAGATCAAAGATGAGAGAGAATTGTATTTTTGTATATGTTTAGATTTTATTTAAAAAAATGTGTAATTAATATGGTGTATTTAATGCTTACTTTGTATTTAATAACAGAACATTTATTATGGTTACTTTCATTAATACTAGTCAATAATTAATGAAAATTGACCAATTAACAAGGGGGTGTCATTTTTCTAACCCCTTAAGGGGTTAGCATGCTAACCCATCCCTATGATATTTTTTGCAAAGGCAAGACAAGTTATTGAAGCGTCCACTTTCATTTATACAAATCACGTTTCACCAAGAGATGATAGTCCGCTAATCACGATAATCCCAAGTTATAATTGTGGATCGAATGGCTCATTTGGTGACTGGCTTTCAGATTATCCCAATGGCACGAAAGACGAATCATGAGATCATTTGAATTATAGATTTATGAAATGAAGCAATTTGACCCAATAGCATCATCTCACAATTGATCATCATTTCAAAATACTTGTTTCCATCTCTTGTCAATTCAAATTGTCTCAATCCAATTGTGAATCTTCATTTTGTGTTACCAAAATGACTATAGTCCATCATCACTTATCCAAGGTATGGAAATCAGTACGGTATCGGTATCACAATATTAAATATCGAATACCAAATATTACTCCAAACTCAATCTCAATCTCAATCCCAAAATAAATTTGGTATATCAATCACAATCTCTAAAAATTTGTTGGGTATCGGTATATACCAACTACCAAATTAATTATCTTCAAAATCACAAATCAAATATACAAGCACAAATACTTCTCCTATGCGAGTAGCTCCACAAACCATTATCAAAATATATAAAAAACAATAAATTTAATATTCTAGCAAAACAAATGGAAAAAATCTCAAGTATATTAACAACAAACTAGAAAAATGTGGTCATAGGAAGCACATAACCAACAAACTGAAATAGTGGACGATTAAACAACCCATTAACATACTACAAGTAACAAAAATGAGCTTAGTATGTGTTGTCAAATAGTGAGGGAATGAGCTATGTATAATTAAGTGCAGGGCCGACCAAGAGGGTGTGTCAGCCGACCCTACAGTATAGGGTCTCCGAATATTAGGGACCTCCATATAGATTCGTCAGTTAATCATTTAATTCGATCGTATATTTTAGGTTGTATTTCTAATATATTATTAATTGATTATGGATATGGTGACGAGTTAATAATATTAATTAATATTAATATCAGTTATTGGTTAATATTCTCATGTATATATACATTAGACATGTATATTGATAGTCAAAGTATTGTTTGTGTTTCAAAAACCCTATTTGTATTAAAAAATACTAAAAATCTTAATAAATAGCTATGATAACAATTGAAAATAATCTCATGAAAAATACAAAAATTAAAGAGATAACAGATAATTTTATTTTAAACAATATAAAAAGATATTATATTTCAAATAACGATATTATTATTATTATTTTAATTTTATACTTAAAAGTCAATCTGTCTTGATTTTGGAACAGGGCCTCCACAATCCATGGGACGGCCCTGATTAAGTGACCATCTTGGAGGTTGAAGGTCTTAATAGTAGTGGGTGAGGAAGCCTAGTTGGGAGGGATTAAATACGCACTAGGCTAAATTTCGATATTGTTCGATATTACGGAATATATCAATCACAATCCCGTAATCCCTGATACCAAATAACAGTTGAAACTCAATCCCAATCACAATCTCATAAAATGATGCGTATTCGATAATACTAAATAAAGATAAATTCAATACGTTATTCGATATATCTCCAATACAGGCACTAAACCAGCTCTAATCATGAATGTCATGACCTATAGACTATAGTCTCGATGTCCAAATTAAAGGACTGAAATGCACAAATCAAGATTCAAGAGACTCAAACGTGGAGAAGAATAGAATACTAGTTACTTCTACTAGCCGGTAGGAAAACAGAACAGAGAGAGAGAGAGAGAGAGAGAGAGAGAGAGAGAGAGAGAGAGAGAGAGAGAGAGAGAGAGAGAGAGAGAGAGAGAGAGGTAGCGTGTGGGTTGGAATTCGCATTATACTGCTTACGGCATCTACGTGTAGCAGTTGAGAGAGCTCTCTGCACCAAGCTGATTGCCCTTTCTCTTCGCACATTCACTTCTTTTCTTCTCTCTCTCTCTACATATCTCTCTCTCTCTTGCTCTCTTTCTCTCTGTTCTCCATTCTCCCCGTTACGTTCTGTTATGCAATGGTGATGAAGTGACCCTACAATACAACTCACCATTAGAGACACCATCCCCGAATTCTTCTAATCATTCTTTTCTGTTCCATGTTGGAAACAACAAATAATTAGGTGGAGAAATTTTGGTAATTGGAGCTTTCTCCCCCTCCATCATTCACTTCTCTTCTCCTCACAATCACATATTCACATGTAAAACAAACAAGTACAAACTACAAAGCCTTCTTATCTTACAATGGAGTGTTTGATCATTTGATTTTCATGTGTAACGAAAACGTATAGACAATAGAGTCGTACTTGGAAGGAACTGAATATGATGGGTAGTTTTACAATACGGGAAAAAAAGGCGGTTTGATTTTCCAAATTTCTGAGTTGGTTTTTCAAAGAACGTCGTAAACTCATTAGAGATTGAAGCATCGTGAAAATGGTATCAGAGAAGATCATATGCAATAGCTCTTGTGACGTAATGTTCGTGTCTCTTATCCATAATTTTTGTATGATCATCATGAAGTTAGTTTCGTCTTAAAAAAAAAGTAGACAGGGAATTGTGTTCCACGATGATCCTGTAATTTTGCGATAATCATATTTATACCTCGTAATTTTCGATCGTCTCTTCTTCCTTTTAAAGCATAAGTTCTAAATAACTAACAGTACATTACGTTTCCAAACACGCTATGTTAGCACTCAATAATTGTAGAAACATCAATTCCATGAGATTGTGGAATCCAAACTTAGGATGGATGGAGTAATGTAGGGTCTCTACATATATATTTTTTTGGACTAAAGGCTCTCTTTTGAAGTTTTTTTCATGCATGATTGTTAACAACTAAAGTAGTGTATAACGTGCATGCTTTTTTCCATTAGTTAACTCAAAAGGCGAGTGGCTTTATGTCAAAAGTGGGGGCAGTAGTTGCGAGTTTTAAAACAAAAATATGTGGTTGGTTTCTGACCAAATCGTTGATGGTGCCTAAAGCTAAAAGGCAAATCCCAGCTGCCCATAGCCGTTGGAACTTGGAAGGCGGCTCCTAGACCGACTCAGGAATCGGTGACAAGTTTGACGTTTTCAGGTCCTGAGATATGGGCCAAGAATATGCTTCTTTCAGTTTGGTCCGTAACGACATTAATTGAGCCGGCGGATCAAGCATTTGGGCCGGCCCAAACGTTTCTGAATGAAGAACTGTCGGGCGGATCCAAGCCCGTTTCCGCAGTTGTCGATCAATTTCCCGCTATAGACGTCGTTTCCGTCCAACTTCTCGTGTCACCAGATGTAGCCTCGCAACGACAGAGAAGTGTGATGGCTTTTAGGATGTCAATTTTGATATGATCGGTTTTCTTCGATTTGTTTGATCGCATATGAAATTGGTAATGTCAAATGTTGTGGATAAAGTAGGGCAGACATGAGCACTCTCTTCGACTTGATATATTCCGACTCAACTTGTTATTAACTCGTTTTTGTCGAGATTACATGTAATTTTACTCAAGTTAGTTAGCATTTTACTTTTCTTAGCTCATATAGTTATAATAAAGTTTCTCAGGTTTCTGTTTGAATTGCATACTCGTATAAATCAATGTATCTCCAACTACGTTCCTTAATAAATTACTAAACCTACCAAAGACGAATATTAGTATCGATATATCCACTCTAACCTGCTCATTGCCACATGGCCTCCCCTTCGACTTGGGAGCGACAAGTATGATCGAATAGTTTTCCACTACACACTTACATCCTCCACCATAGTCGGATCTGAAGATGCTAGTTTCCATCTACCCCAATCTCAGATTGATTACTGATTAGCATCCTTTGGGATTAATCAACCACGATAACGTGTTTCGTTCATAGAAAAAGAACCAATTCATGTGCTATTTGCCTATTTACAAAATACCAAGCAAACAAATTTTAGTTTTAATATTTTCGGGTTGTACTTTACTATAATTAGGCGTGAGTGTTAAGTTAGTTTGATAGTAAATTAATCAATGCAGCCAAAGAGCGAGTCTACATAAAAGTGTTTTGATGACCTATAAATGTAAAATCGTAGAGTATTAAATTTTAAAGCGTGATATTGACTACATTAAAATCAATATTGACGTTTGTTTGGTTTAACGGAAGATGGGATGGATCACACATTTTTCAGTCACTGTTATTTACGGTTATTACCAATAATGGAATTGTTTCTCTTATATTCGTTTTACAACGTTGCTTCCGAAAATTCCGACGATGCTTCATAGGTATGTTTTTACTTCTTATGGTAGACTTGTAGTTTCCTTCGGGACCATTTTCATTTATTTTTGGAGGCTCTTATTCCTCCGTTTTCAAATTTAGACACTTGCACGATGACTTCTCATACGCGAGATCTGGGCTATGGTCTAGGAGTGCTACACAGTAGATTTTGGCTACACTGTTCGGTTATCGATTTATCAGAAGTTCTTCTAGATGAGGTCTATACTCTTCTTTCCATTTTCTCGTTTAGTTCATGTCATTTTACTTTTGGAAACTTTCATAAAGCTAGCTACCCTTTTGTAAAAAAAAACACACTCCATTTTATCATTAGTCTGGTTGCATACAGACTATTACATTTGGTTATTGTGAATCTTGTAAATGTGTTATTGAACCATGCCCTCTAGACTTATTTTGATAAAAAAACAAGGGTAAATACAATATATTAGCCACAACTATTATGAAGCGGGGAATTATAGCCACAACTATTGAAATTCAAATTATTAGTCAAACGTTAACTATCTGTTAACAATTTCGTTAGTAATACTGACTAAACTTTTATGGTTTGAAATTATAAACTAAAAGCATTCCTACGTGGCCGCTGTCGTGGTCGATGACGTGACCTTCTCCGTCAAAAATTCAATAACAGTAACAGACAGTTAGCCATATCTTAACCTGCAACAATAGTTATGGCTAATAATTTAAATTTTCATAGTTGTGACTATAATTCCCCATTTCATAATAGTTGTGGCTAATATATTATATTAAAAAAACAACTAATTGGGACAATTTATATATCTTGACCCCATTCTTGTAAAATCAACCACTAAAATGTCAGTAATTTACATGCCACACAAAGCCAAAATATTGAACCATCCTCCACCCATCCCCCCTTTTTCCTTCTTTTACTCCTCCCTAAACCTAATTAGAATAGAAATTCAAACATGAACATCCCAAAATTCAAAACAAAAAAAACCAAAATTTCACTATTGGTATAATTCCCATATATAATAATAAAAAAACCAACACCCCATTGATCTCTTATCTTTTTCCACCGTTTAATAGGGGGGGAAAAATTCAAATGCAATTTCACATATTAATTGCTTCCACGGCTAACCATCTCCTTGTAACGGTTTATTGACTCCTGCCTCTGCATCCTCATCTCCTCGTTGAACTTGTTGATGAACGCCTCAACTCGGCGATTCAACTCGTCCTGACCCAGCGACGGCTCCTTCTTCAGCCTCCTCTCCCCTCCCGCCGTCGCCGCCGGCGACGGCGTCCCCCCGCTCAGCGGGGGGAGCTGGTTGGTCCTGTCTTTAAACGTCTCCGATTTCTTCACCAACGCTGCCGGCGGTGGACTCGGGTCGTCGAGGGAAGAAGATTCCGGTGCGTTGACGTGATGACGGCCGTGATTCTCCCACGTGTCCGATTTCTTGAGGTGCCTGTTCAACGGAATTGGACGACCTTCCGTTATCATCTTCCACGTGTTCTCCAGCGTGTCGTGGCGCTTCGGCTTCGACTGCGACACCCTCCTCAACGCTCTCCCACCTGCCCAGTCAGCATTGCCAGCTCATTAATTAAGATTCAAAATAAACAAATAAAACATTTATTCTTAATTATATTCCCTTTCTCAACGGGAAGAATTTTTTGAAAAACAAAATTGGAAAGGGGCTGTTACGACTTTTCAACACGCGCCCGCGTCAACTAGACGCCACCAGCTTTGCTTTGAACGATTTTTCTCCCTAAACGACAACACTTCAGACCTACGCTTTACTTCGAATTTCGGTACGGCCACAAAAAAACGGGAAATGGATGGCCAGCAACAGCAGGGAAATCGGCGCCGGGAACGGGTCGGGTCCCGCCCCGCACCGACCGAAAGAAAAACCAAAATTAGTTCGACAGTGGGAGTTTCTGGAAAGTTACCTTCTGGAGTGTTGACTTTGACCGGCTTCCGGTGAACGAATCGAGCGGAAACGAGGGGTTTCTCAGCCGCCGGCACTAGGGACAGAGCCTCCTGTGGAAATTTCTCCGACGAGTCGATTCTCGTCGGATTCTTCTTCGGTGGAATCCATTCGGATCTCGAGATCACGAATTCATCCTCGTCACTCGGCAGCACCGTTACAGTCTGCTTATCCTCGAACATTAATCCAGAATCGGCATCCAACGCCACCGTCTTCATCCGCGGCCTCTCCTCCTCCGCCGCTCCGCCGTAATTGATAGAACGAGCAGCGAGAACAACATTGGAAACCTTTACCTCGTGGAAATCTGGCCGCACCAACGCCACAGCCTCCACCTTCCGCGGCTGCTCTTCCTCGCCGTGACCGTGGTGGAACCGCGAGGTGGCGGCGATGGTGATGATGATGCAGTTGATGACGAAGTAGAGGTAAGGAGGCCTGAGCCACGACGAGATCGAGCTCCAGAGCACCGGAGCTCTGTAGGCGGAGAAATCTCTCACCAATGGAACAGAGGATTTGACCACCACGCCGGCGGACAGAACGGCGGTGGAGACCAGCAGAATCCGGAGGGAAAAAGTGAGAGATGTCATTTTTTTGTTCTGTTTTTTGGAAGAAGAGAAAAAAAAAAAACTTTCCCGGCGAGGGAAGTGAGAGGAGGAGACGGCAGAGAAATGGAATTCAGTTTTCAGGAGGCTGGCTCTGAGTTAGGGAGCAAGGAGCGGGGAGGGAAGGGGATTATATAGAGGAGGGAGGATGGAAGCGGGCCGTAGGATTGAGGTTAAGTTCGATCTGGACGGTTGAGATCGAGGGAGAGTGTTACTGTCTGTAGTCGGGTGTAGGATGTTAGATGTGTTCCGTCGTTTGGAAGCTTTCCATCCATGCAAAAAGGGGTGGGTCCTACTGCCTGAACATATGGGGATTAAGATTAGCTAAAGTATGATTATGGAAGTATTCTTCAAGAGACTAATTATCTGTCATCCAAAAGACAAAGACCATATACTTATCTGTTAGTTCCATACTCTTAGTTCAGAATTTTTGTTTGTGATACCATATATTAGTTATATATTGGTTCAATCATGTATGTCAATGCGATTTGAACAAAATCGTTAATTGTTCTTGAAAAACGGTCAATTGAATGATGCAATTGCACCGTTACAAAGAACAATTTTGGTCGACCGCTCACAAAAAGCGATATGCATGATGACAAAACTATTCCATTACAAAGAAGATTAGTGTTCGACTGGAAAACCAAAGTAGTCGACCGGTTACCAATAACTTATTAGTATTGGAACAAGATTCCACCACTAGAAAGATTTCATAACCGAACAAAGATTGTTATCACTTACCCATGATTTAATAGCAGCTCTATAAATAACAATTTGCACTATTGGTTTATTACTCTATAAACCGTGTGAATAAATTATTATGGATTTTGAGTTTGGTGAAGTAGAAAAGACGTCGGAACATCTAAAGTAGTTATTTGTTCATTACGTTTAAATCAACATGTTGACTGCTCCGGATGTCTGGCTGATCTTTCAGGTGCAATTATGGGTTCATTATATTTAGAGCACTATCCACGACGTCAACTTGAGGTATGAAGACCTCTGTAGCACTAATTGGTTTGCCTTTTCATAGTGAGGTTGACCGGTTTATTTATGAACATTGATATTTTCACTATCAGGTCGCCCGCAACACATAAGTACTGCTCATTCATTCTTTTCATTTGTACAATAGTAGTCCGTTGTAAGTGTATTATTCGATCGACCATTTTGTGAATGCGGTCAACTATTTTGTCCAAATCTAATGATTATTATGAAAATCAATACAATATAGGAAATGAATTGAAGCTCATCAATTGAAAAACTTATAGTTCATGATTTGCTTTCCAACCTGATTGATCTGAATGAAAGTAACATTTCATTGTGGTGAAGATATTAGATCGAATGAAGTAATTAAGAGCATCTAATCATGATTGACTAGCTGTAAATTATGTCAATCTAAGGGTGACATATATATATATAATTTTATTAATGGGGATTAAGGGTGTGAAGTGATGGAGATTGGGAAGTAGTGGGAGGAGCTGCCGACTAGCGGACTAGGAGAGGAATCGGGGCACTTGCTTAGCTTTGCTTTGCTTCCGGAACTCACTACAATGATGATGTCTACATTATCAAGTCTCAAATGGATAAAAGCCAAAATAACCGGTTTGCTTAATTAATTATTGAGAATATTTTCTCCATAGTGACTATAGTTTTCTGAAGACTGTTCAGATAAAATGTGAAAGAAGACAGAACAAAGACACATTATTGGCTTACAATTATTATATACGAAACTATTCAGTACAATAGTAACATGAAATGCGATCATAGTATAACAAAACTGAAGAAGGTGAAATCATGAGTAATTTGAACTCCGACTACTGTCCGATCATATCAAAATGACATATTTTTGTAAAAGAACTGAGCGCACATAGTTATCTGAGTCGTGACATGTTAACAATTATAAATTCCTCTTCATGCATTCCATAGAAATGTCATACATTATTTTGGCTATGTTTCTAAAATAAAATAAAATAAAAACTTGATAGGTAGTCAAATTATCTAACTTTGGAAATCTAGCTAGTAACTAGCCCTTTGGATTAATAGTAACTATTCTTATCCCAAAGTATTTTCAAAACCTGATGATTAAACTCAATTACGGGCTACCCTTGTCTATTAGGATATATGTTGAGAGAGATTTGTTGAGCATTGTAGATAAAAAAGGCATTTTACCATTTTTCATAATACGAAACACGTTTAAACTTTTATTATAACTTTTACTAGCCAGATAATTTCATATTTAATAATGATTTAACTTAATTATTAATTTAATTTAATTTTTTAGAGAGGACACATATAAGTAAAATTCCTGAATCCGTCACTGATGACGGATATGTGCAAATTTCAAGTTTATAAGTTGACTTTCGTGTGAGAAGGCATCTAAGGACATGGTTAAAATTCATACATGAATCTCTCCTAATTACTACTTGAATTATTTGGATTAGTTGGTTTATAACATATATTCTTACATAAATAATAATCATTTAGTGTATGTTATTATTGTTACAGACCAAGTACTTATTTTGCCTCTTATATAGGTTTTTTTTTTGGTTTAATTATCATAATACTATTAATACGTACAATCTAGAATAAAACACTTTCACATGTGATAGATAGATAGTAACAGCCTTGCGTCTTTGACCAGTTGACCTTGTGACCTGTCCTTGGGTACATAAATGGTTATGTCATGGCCTAATTACCACTTGTTTCAATCCCTCAACACCTGTACTTAATGCCAGTTCGTTGGAATGTGATGGACTTCTATTTTGTTGAAATAATTAATAAAAAAATAAGGTGAAAAAAATATAATATGGCAGAGAAAATCTATCAATTGCTTGCATGATTACGCGTTAGACTTGTAATTTTGACTAATACTGATTTTTGCGTTAGGCTGATGATCGGTGTACCCTTATGACGCCGGTCGTATGCACACTTGTGTTGGTTGGTTAGAGGACAAATATGCAGTCACAGGATTGGGATTATAATAACGTTTAGTAGTGTGATGATTTGATGACCAATTTTTTTTTCCCCCTATAATCTTTTATCTAATCCCCTTTGTTGTGAACTGATTAATGAGATTTTTATCTTGATACTAGTAATTCATTAAAGTCAACAAACTCTGATCCTCATGAACATCCGACAATGTTCATCAAAGTGGTTTTTAGTATCGGCGCAATATCTGTGTCGGTGGTCATCTTAAAAGTAATGCAGGAGTGACAATACCAAGACCCGAATCCGGAAATATTATCAGCTCAAATATGCGTATTTAACAGAATCCAGTAAGTAAGTAGTGAAGAGTTAAAGTCGCGGCTTTTTATTGGAGACGGTAGCAGTTTGCTTGTTGGATTTGAAAAACAGAGTTTTGGTTAAATATGAGTTTTGAGAAACCGTGAATTCGGTGGTGGATTTGGTTCATTACGGATTTGAGAAAGTTTGTTGGATTTATTCATGAATTTTATTTGTTATGGATTTATAGCTTTTAAATTGAAATTATCTTTCTACCCTCAATTTAAAACATTTTTATTTTTACATGGCGATATAAAAGTAAATGATCATCATCAATTTATAACAACGTCTCAAATCCCACACCTCAAAATTACAAGCAAATAGTGGATTTTATTCATGATGGATTGAATTCGATCCAAACTTAATGAATCAAACAACCATAATAAGATATATATTCCTATAATGCTACTGCTCTAAATTATATACATAGTACTGTTTATTTCTTTCTGTACAGGTAATCATGCACATATTCAGCTTGATTGATAAGATCCCCTGCGACGATTGTGAATCTAACAACAAAGTGCCTACGGCAGAAACTGTACGTTTGTGCCGTTCTTATTGGTGAAGACTCGTGAAGTCAACTCCTGAGGAACATTGACTTCCCATTTTCTTGTTATTATTGTCAGCAAATTAATTAACATATATAGGCACAGTATGATCATGTGCGTACACGCGTACAAATTAGGATGTCGCAATTGTACACATTGTGGTGCAAAAAGTAGGCAGAAATTAAACACCCTATCTTAATTAGAAGTTAGATATGTCAAGAATTCCTTTATACTAATAATTCATGGGAGAAGTTTAATTATATATTTTACATCAGTGACTAACATGCCCGCTCAAACACAAAATAGAGCATAAACATATATATGACTTCTATATTATTAATCAAAAAAAGGAGCAAATACTTATATATGAATTTTATACCGTATATATGTGCTCATGATATTGTTTTCCGGCGAGGAAAATTCTAATGTTTGAAATCAATAAATGCACATTTGATTTCTTGAATAATGACAATAATACGGTTCACACCTCTCCAAACAATGTTTGAACGAGGGTGTTTAATGTTTTTTTTATGAGTTTGTGAACAGACTAAGTTATGTTATTCTACTTCTATGGAGGTCCAGTGAGAGCGCCATTAACTACCTGCAGCGAATTTGCAGAGAAAAATGTATATTTTGTCATTGCGAGTCAAGTGCTTGTTGTGGAACCTTTTCATCTTCGTTTCTACTATTAATAGTCATCGGGCGTAACTGCCTCTTTGTAACCGCTCTTCCACTACTTGTTGCTTGATGTAGCTAGCTTGAAGCCCTTGATTATATGCATACCAATCGATACCTCAACACCTTGATGACTTCACCTGATAGGTACGTAGCCATTTGTGCCATAGAGGTGTCATGCTTGACACCCTAGTACTTGGTAGGCAGGCGATCAACATAGTTAGCAGTTGTGTACATGTAATTATATAATTTTATTTTCATATTCACCTTTTTAACTTTCCATTATTGTTCCCCGTCGAGGTGGTTGGAAGTTGATCGATCTTCACCTTTAATTCGGAGTCATGTAGAGAAATGTCCAAAATCCTGCACCACATCATGTAATCATACAAAATCTAATCACCCATGAAAGGTGGAGTACATGTAATTATATAATACAACTAACAATATCCACCATTATTGTTTATTACCCAAATCAATAGTTGATGACTTACTCCAACTCCAAGTGTGTACGCGAGGACTTGAACCAGAAGAGGTTGCATATCTGAAAATAAAAAGAAGGGGTCAGTTTGGTTTTTGGTGATAGTTAAATTGATGGATTGTCA